TTTATATTGGCTACATATTCAAGATTTTTGCTTGTTAGATATCAGCTCACTTTTTTTGATACCTAATAAAATATGTATGTATTATTATTATGTTAACTTCTAATATATTAAAAGTTTTTTAAAAATTATTTCATTTTATATTTTTGTTCTGTTTTTACAAGTATATATATATATATATTATAACGGTATAATATATATATATTATACCGTTTAAGTATGTAATTTTTACACCGTTGGTACCAAAAATATAAAATGCAGATATGTCCTATATTTTCAATTGTATACAATTTTAAATTATTAATAATATATGAACTAAACTCAGTATAATAAGAGCCTAATGTCATTAATTTTCTTCGTAATTTGATGAATGGCTGGATCATAATATATAAATCTATAATGATATCCAACCAACAGATTTTCATATGATTAAGAAATCATTTAAAATCACAAACGATTAATATATAATACCTAAATACATAATATATAATATACGCTTATATAAGAAAGTCTTATTTTTTTATTTAGAATATGAGTTCTGTTAGACCTCTTCCGCTTATAACCAAATCGTTAAATAAACGAAAATCGCATTCGTATCAAAAAAAATAGGATGTTATAAGTCCTTAGTAATTATTATAACTCTAAGTGGTAAAATCACTTAAAAAAAATATATACTTCTGTTTATAACAGCTAAAGTAGTGAATACAAACTAGAATAATTTAAACATAAGCACTATTTAGGCATTAAATGCGCTTATAATCGTGTTAAGTATTTTCCTCGTTAAAAAAACGTGACTACAGATTTTAATTTATTTTTAATATATTTTATAGGTACATGCTGGGTACCATACTTGCCTGCACCCCTAACATCAGCACAATTTTCAGACCCAAATTCCAAGTTGCAAGAAAATCGGTCCAGTAGTCATTAGCGAAAATACATAGAAAATGTTGGAGGGCTACTATTTTACACATAAACCTAAGCTGTGAGATAAATGCTCTCACACCCTTCCAGTTTTTGGCTTCTTAATTAAATATTCAAATATTAATGATAAATGCATGAATATCAAGATTTTGCGCCTAAAAATATGTAAACAATTATTTAATATACTTTTTAAATTTTAGTTAGGTAACTCAGTTTTAGTTTAATAGGTCCTGAATTTAGACTATCTAAATTATTAATGCTGATAGTGTCATTATGGCTATAGACAGACGATTTATTTTAGGTTATAGAATTTTCTACGAAACCAAATCACTTAAAAAAAATATACATAATATAAAATGTTTATACTTACTTAGTCCCAAGCCTGAAAAAATTATGGTAGTTTCAGTCGTTCAGGCACAAAAGTAAAAACAAATAAATAACTTGACCAATCTTTTGACGTGGACCTTGGCAGGCTGTAGATGGTATATTATGCAAATGTAGTAACTCACAGTATATTAGATACCTGTGGACACTTATAGTGTTGTATAAAGTATATGTTTTTTAATTTAAGAATTGTCAGAAATAAGGATTCATGCATATTTCAAACAAATGCTAGTTTGCGACAATGTTAATATTTAGAATGGGTATCGACTTGAAAAAACCTACAATTAAAAAAGAAAACTATTAATCAGGGAAATTCACAATTTCAAAAATAAGTGCTAATCTTTATGAAGATTTTAAGCAAGTCTCATAATTTCATAAGTAATAAAAAAAATGATTGAGTTTTTAAAATTATTCTAGATTTCCATGTTCCGTCATGTCACATAAAATAAAACTTGACTTTGACAGCTATGTAGGTATATATTATGTAGTTTATAATACCCCATCATGACTCACTTTGACTTATTGATGGCTAATAAAATAACGTATAAAACCTCAATAATTATATTGAATCGGTATGCAAGAAAAAAGGAAATAATACATGATGGCTATTTAATTTAGAAACACTCTTTAAGAACCATTTATTGCGTTGAACAGTAGTATTTTCAATTGTTTATCTCATGTAATGTCGTCAAGTACTGAATATCTCGAGGCGAAAACAAAATACAATGTACTACCAGTCGAATCCACTTATAAATATTATACGTCAACACAGCGAATGTTTGTCCGACGGCAAGTGCGTGTGGCAATTCGCCAAATATGTTCAAAAGATGAAGTGCATTTTTTTTATTGTTATTGTTCTTTTTTTAGAAAAATTAAAAAAAAAAGTTAATTTATATTTTATTTTATTTAGCATATGGCAAATTTGACCTAGTCGGGCCTACTCTCAATTAATTACAATTAATTTGGTTTAGTTATTAATAAAATATAAAGCATTTAGATAATACTAAAATCTAAATAACTAAAACTTTCTTATAATTTGAACTATTTAATTTACAATTTCCTTTTTAAATGATGCCAATATATCGAAAATGTTCTATTTAACAACTTTTTGTTGATTTGTTATTAATTATTATTTTAGAAATACATTATATTTTATTACTTTTAGGCTTACAGAACCCTATGTATTTTGATAATTTTTTTAATCAAGAATAATCAATAATGTTTACTGGTCGATAACTAGTTTTGTATAAATACAACGGTTATTCACGTTTAAAATTTTAGATAGAAGGGGAAGTGTGGTGGAGTAGTGCGAATAACTAATAAAAATATTATTTTGCTTTAATAATTAAGTGCTAATAACTTTAGAAGTAATTAATTAAAACGGGTTTCAACCAGACAATATTTTTAGTAGAGTATAAAAAATTAAGAAAAAGATGATATGATCATTTAATATTTATAAAGCCTTTAGAGCTCTTAAATAGAAATACAAATGGGAAATATTTTGATATTATACCATTGTAAAAAAAAATTATCTTAAAAAAAATAAAAACATTAATAATTTCTATGAAAATTAGTGCTATTTTGTTAAATATAAGCGGATCGCTATTTTATATACGTATACTACATTTTTAGGATTTCATGATAATATAATTCCCAGTATGATAATTTAATACGCCAAGAAGCCGAAGAAAAAATAAAAAATACAATTTCTAGACGTTCGTGAACACACTTGGCTTTTATATATATGCTTCTTTTAAAAGCGTTTATGTAAATCTGTAAAATCTTCTTGACCTACGCTGTATACCATGGTGAATATAGTATATTATAGTGGAAAGATAGGTATAAATTGTTGAATGGTATTTGGTTCAATGTCGTCAATCGTAGAAATTTTTAGGTTCGTCTAGACGACCGACGGTCAAAATGGAAATTTGTATACATCTCGTATTTTTCTTCAATTGCATTTTACAAAACGCAGTATAACCCGGCACGGCTGTCCATTATAAACTGTGACAATAATGACATGTTTTTAACGTTTGGTTTGGCGCCACAGTTTTTATTTTCGCCGTACAACACCAAATCCAATAAATTCGCCTTATGTATGAAAAAAATGCATCCTAACGACGGAATGAATAAAATTAACAATTGAAAAAAACTCGAATAGTTAAATTGCGTCTGTTCAGGTAGAGCTGCTTTTGATCCATGTCCAAACCGGACATCACTACATTAATCGTTCTGGTGCTAATACGTACGTCAAAATGTAAAAACTAACAGCAATATAAATAATACAAGCAAATAAAAATTAGAATTCTAAATATATGTAAAACATTTCGATAAAAAGTTATTAAAATATAGGTAAAGCGTTTAGGGTGACTGATTAAGTATGGAATAAAATATTATGTAACGCTATTATATTTTATTTTTATAAGAATTACCGAAATAAATTAGTCTTATACAGACTATATTTTATTGGTTAACAATAAAAAAATTATTGTTTAAGTATTGGTAGTTTGTTAAAAAAATGTTATTAAAAATGTATATTCTTAATAGTTTATAATTCATTTATTAGCGTTGTCGCTATTTTTCGTTACATTTTCTGAATAATATTTCTCGAATATACTCGAAAGATCTTTAAAAACATTCACATGGTACGCATTGGCAATTGAAAAATTATAATTTGTTATTAGCACTTTAGATAAGTGGTATAGCCAGAGGTTACATAGATCATAACTCTTTCCGGATGGTTCCCATTTTTTAGTAAACACCAACGTCCTCGTGTCATTCATCGTCAAACGAATAGGTACTACTTTGGTATTTGAATGTCTTAATTGAATTCTTCTAGGTGACAAATCTTGATTATTCCACTACTTAAAACGATAGCTTGGAATAAAGAGAGTATTACAATTATTGACGCATGAAATTAGTTTATTGTCTTTGATTTCTCGTAAGGTATATAAGATATGGGCAATCTTTTATAAAATTACTTTTTTCCATGTGTATTACTCTTTACAAACCGCTTGCGTACAATCACCTTAAGCCGGTATTGTATTTTTATAATGATATATATTATATGCTTAATATACAAGACGTAAGTTTTACGATTTATACCTGTCACCTGTGGGCCGTGGGGACGTGTGGTAAACGATCTAAGGTTAAAATGAGGTCGTGCAAAAGGGTCAAAACTGTTCAACATTATAATAATAATGTGAGTATATTATTATAATATTATAAAACAGGGCAAAAGAATCAAAATAAGCGGCGTTACGATCGGCGCCAAAACAAGAAATAATATAAAACATTAATTACAATAATAACAGACCAAAAATAAAATTATACAAAAATGAATTTTTTTGATTTTAAGCGCAAAAATAGGTAGAGTCCTATTCGAACACGCATAAGTGTACCTAAATAGTGATTTTACCGACCGTAGAGGGCGAGGGTGGGGAGTAGTCGGTGCACACAAATTCGGTGTACCTAGTTGGAGGTGGCGGTATATATTATAAAAACGCCTGTACCCGTAAATGTGCTCGCCGCACCACCGCGGTGTACCTTTTTCCATAATATGAATATCATAATAGTAGTAGTAGTAATAATAATAATAATAATAATAATATTATTATTATTATATATGTATACCATTCGGGTCTGTCATCGTGGCCGCTGCCGTCGCCGCTCGCCACCACAGACCCGTTCAGCGGCAGTGGCATACGGTTGTACACGCAGTTCGGTCGTATGGAAACATTTAGAGAATAGGTACCTACCGACGGCATCCAACCAAACCGCATTTAGTGCTTACCCGACGTCCGTTTCGCGTGCTTTAATTTTTTTTTTTTTTTTTTGGAATTCAATTATAAACACATAACAAGCCAACGTTTCAATTTAAGCCGACTTAGTAATTTTGTTTTTTGTACACAAAAAAAAATACCGTTTACCGTTTACAAGTGCAAAGTGTGAGTGAGTGTGTATGTGTCTGTCTAATGTAAAAGTCCAACTTCAAACTAATCAGGTGTGTAATATAATAAGCTGCTGTATATTTTTAACCACAACTTTTTCTTCATTTAATGTATTCAATGTACAAGCAACTAATATACATTTTTAAGATTTAAAGCACATAATACGTACAAAAGGGTAAAAGTTTTTGGTCGTAGAGTATTTGCCAATGAAGAAGACTTCATGTCTATATTTGTTTTACAGCTCTCCATTTATTTTTGAAAAAAATATTGTAAAATCACTAATGAATATCGCCTATATTCTATAACATAACATATTGAAATTATAAATGATTTTTTGCTCTCCTGTGCAATGTTATTAAAATCACTTAGAAGTTTTACCATTTTGATTCACATCACTTTGTTTATGCAGCTGTATAAGCTGTAGTAAGTACACATGGTGTGAATATAATTAACTATAGTACTCTCATGAAAACAAGAGGCTTGTATTTTAGCAAGACTTTTATACTTAATAATATTTCCTATAGATCGATAATGATTATGCATAATTTCTTATAATTTATTCACTTAAACTGCATTTGGTCAACCTTCATAATATATTACTATAGCACATGTTTTCGATAGTTAAGCAAATTTATTAAAGTGTTTTTTTTTTAAACATGCGTTTTACATTTTTTTTTTAGTTTTAATCTTCAGCTAAAAGAAGTATACACATAAATTTACATAGGTAATTTTGTAATTACATAATAGTAAAAGGTAACTTAAACATGATTAAACACTTATGTACGTTTAATAATTATAAATTAAATATAAACGAATTACTTTATAAATGTCACCTAATTAGTTATAAAAAATTAATATTTATAAGATATACTACTACGTATATTATATAGTGGTATAGTCAGGATATTTTAAAAGAGGGCTAACTATGTTTTTACTTAAATAACAATATAATACTGCACTGTCATTAATTATAATGTATACTTCGGAAATTTCGGTGAGGGCTGCAGTCCTTCCTCTAAATATGTCACTGACTATTTGTATTGTGTGTTTTGATATATTGATCATTAAGCCGGGTTTTTAAAAGTGTTTTGGAGTAATTACATAATATCTTACTGGTATTTGACGCTTCAAAATTTGATAAAAGCTTATTTCTTTTACAAAACACAAATCAAGCTAGAATTGCTAACATGTTAGTCAAAATTTGTAAACTTTCTGAAATGAAATGTTCGTTTTAGACGTAGAGTTTAAAACATTACATGATCTTCTAGAGTGGAAGGTGAAAGTTTCTTTTTTTTTAAATTTTGAATTGTATTTTAAGAAATGAAAGTAAATGGAAGTAAAATTGCAAGACACATTTAGGCAGACAAATGCACATCATTGACTGTTAATAGTGTACGATCACAACTAATTTTCGAATAAAATTATCACTCGTATCTTTTTGGATCTCTTCAGTTAACGGATCAAACGCATGCGATATTGTCATACGAATGCATTAAAAATATCATATTCATTTCCGAATCGGCGAAAGCAATAATATATCGTTATATGTACCTATCGATGCCCACCGGTTATCGTCTACTTCTATTAGTTTAAATAGGTTAATAGGATATACCCTGTGGTAGTAACTGTGTAAGCATAGACAGAGTGATGTGCATTGTTCGATGTTCTTCGAGTTACCTTGGCTGTCGTCGTTGTCTAACGATCAAGAACACAATATTATCGTCGATAACCGTTAAATCGAATATCATTGAAATAATTAAAAACTACTAATACACGACTCTTCATCACTCTTGCACTAATAACTATCCAATTTTGTTCAGACATGAGCCCCGAGCTATGATGTCGCACGCAACACACACTACGGTCACGCGGTAGTACAATAATGACACGTCGGTTGCCGTCATGAACTTCTTTTCGGCGGCCGGTCTGATCCCTTGGATGCTGTTGCTATGCGCCTCGGCCTTCTTTTCGTCTCCAGTGCCCAACAAGGTAAGTCCGCGGCTGGATTAGTCGGCGGAGATTTGATTTCACTTTGTTTTTGTCGCTTTTCGCCTACCGCAATGGGTCGTCGAAAAGTATACTCACATAATAGCCTATGCGTTATACATTTTTTTTTTTTTTTTTTTTATGAAACAACATAATATTATATTGTTATTATTCGTGTTTTTGTGCAATCGATGTGGGTTAATTAGCGCCCGCAATCGATGGCGGCAACGAAAATTAATACACCGGGTCGTTCATTGAATTCGTGTTCTCCGAGCAAAACCACCCCCCGGGCACTTGGTTTACAGGCGGCACATTGTCTGGCACGTCTTGAAATAGTTTTTATGAGGTCGAGTGCATTTATAGTATGTGCACTCGACTAATATTAGTTGGGCGTGTCTCGAACACCTTTTCAGATATAATATATATATAAATATATATACATATAAAACCGAACTAAAGAAAATACACACTCTGCGCGTATAGTGTGTGTGTGTGCAGCGTGTACAAAAAAAAACCTATATGTCGGTGCCGGCGAGTCTAGGGTTGACTTCACAATGCGATCGGCACACCTGGCCAGTCGACTTATTTATTAGAAACCATTATTTTCGTTTCACAAACTCCCAATGATTATTCTCAAGGAATCCGTCAAAATTAATATCACGAACCTAACAGTATTCGCCCGATCGCGTTGCCTCTGTAACGTTTACCAAACATACTACTATATGATGTATTATTATGTAGGTAGGTATTTCAAAATTCAGGGGTTCGGAATTCATTGCGCCAAAATTGTACAGTTTACTCTAAAACTGGTTTATTATCATATACATCAGAACTTAAAAAAAAAATGTTTTTATACATAGTTAAATCTATTTTCATAGGTTTTTTTCCAATAATTAACGATTAACTAGTAACTCATTATAGCTCCTAAAGGGATAACTCGATGACTTTTTTTTTTAAAAACCCAAAAATATTTTAGAACTGAAAAACATATAATAAAATTCATATTTTATAAGTTTAACTTCTAAGAGAAAAATTTTAATTTTTACTAGAATTAATTCCGAAGTTTGGTTAAAAACTATTGGATTTATTAATGATTTTTGACTTCACAATCACTTGCCAATTGATGATAAAATAATATACCGACCAGTACACAAATGAATTTGGTACCTAATAACATTCTCCAACTATAGAATTATTATATTTTTTTGTACCCCTTTTGACAATTTAAGCTATTACGCGTCCTAATTCGGCACTTAAAATTAATGCTTGTCAACTATATAACCAAATCAAAACCGTTTGTGAATCCATATAACCGAAATTTTCCCAATGAGAATTTTTTTTATTTTTCTGTTTCAATTACATGATAAATTTACAGTATTCCGAATAATATGAAAACATATTAGGGTTTCTCATTCGGCTGGGTTAGGTTATGATGCGTAAAACCTAATATTAAATAAATGTTACAATTAATATGATATTGTGATGTTAAGTTTTATATGAGTTTATAATATGGGTCTTATTATGAATATATCTTTAAAAAAAAATAAGTATTAGCATATTTGGACACTTCATTTATTAGACTGTCAAATTCTATTAATTACGTTAATTGAATTAATACTCGCCATATGTATAGATAGACCCTATTATTATTATGCTAAAATCTGTAATATGGTAAAAATGATACTATACTATTACTACCATCATAAATCGCAAAGAGATTAAAGATCAGAAATAATCACTATTCAGGAGCCAGCAGGCTAAAGCATGTTCCATGTCTTGTAATTTTAGCCGTTAAGCTTTAAGAAGACAGTAATTTTTTTTACAAATCTTATTTGTTAAAAACATGTAGGATAAAATATACGCTTTATATATTCAAGATTATTTTGTCCGTGTTTAAAACATTAAGTTAATAACATCAATTATGCGTACAAAAAATGATGTATTATGTAGTTATGACATTAATAATATAGGTATAATTTAATAGAGTAATGATTTTACCTAAAATATATACAAACAAGTAATAACTAATGGCTATTATAAAATAAGGTTTTTAGTAGTAACTTTGTTGCTTGAGTGGGTTTCAAGTGTCTAGTGTTAACTAAAAAAGTTCAGTTCTTAAAACGGCTCTATTGCCATAAAATAATTATTTCGTGCCATAAGCAAAATTATTGATCTGTTTGTTTGTTAAAAATCCATACAACCCCCAAAAACTTGTCAAAATGCATTAAATAAAAAGCGTAGTAGATAAAATTGTATAGATTACGACTGAATATTAGGAATAAAAAAACAAAAATCCCAAGTTATTGTGTATATAAGATTGTTCAGCATTTCAATGACCGTCGATAATTCTCCGCCCGATCTCTAAATACAACACTACAGCGAGCGGTGGCCAATAAATTGACAATAGAAACCTTTGTGAGATCTAATCTTGTGTCTGACCAGAGCGACCTTGAAAAGAGCATCTCTACCATCAAGGCGTATATGTCTACAAATTATCTTGCTCTTGGAATAGAACCCAACCACTGTTCGAGACCGTTTCCTATACATGTAGAATACAGTGTGTCCTAAAAATCCCACGACTTCCCAATTATTTAAAATTTAATTTAATTTAAATTTAGAACAAAAAAAAAATTGACTGGCCATACATTTGGCCTAAGAGAGAATTTTAATAAGTAAAATTCTAAAATTACACAGTTAATGCTAAAAAATGCTTAAGAAAACAATTGCTAAACGGTTTAAAACTGCTTATACAATAGAGAAATTTGAACCCGAAAAACTGTTTAAAAATAGTCTAAACATAATATGATAAATAACTATTATCAAAAGTTTACAGCAAACGTGACCAGTAAAATTGCATGTGCTATAGTGGTGGTAGGTACCCCGTACCTGATAGGAACCTTATCTGAACAACATGTTCGCATAACATATGTTACTGGTATAAATATATATATATTATATATAATATATGATTTACGCATTTATTACGAAGGTATTTGCAAAGGTTTTATAAGTGTAAATAAATTATTTTGCAATAATTTATAGGATTTATATTGTAGACATGCAACTCATGGCGGTTATCCAATTGGTATATATACATATTGTATTGAGTTAATAATAAATGTATAGGTGCTTAAGTGCCTTTTTTTGTTGAAACTGGAATTTTTTTTGCACCATTAGCTGGTCATAAAGACGCGTAGCTACCTGCTACAGATTTCATCTACATAATTTAGGTACGCATAAAAAATAATTATAATTGGTCATAACATTATCATTAAATACCTACTGTGTTAAGGGGGGGGGGGTATGGTATAAACATTTTTTTTTTAAATTTTTTTTTTTTGTTTACTGAATGCATAATATCTCAAGAATATTGTGTCAAAATTTCAAGTCGATCGGAACAAAATTGACGACGTTATGAGTTGTCGGAATTTTATAGCTGCTCGGCCCGAGCGCACTATCGTTAACTTTAAAGCGTTTTCCCCACAACTCACGTTTTCAAAGTCGGTGACCTTCATAACTTCAAAACTATTAAACCGATCCTTTTGAAATTTTGAACACTATTTTTGTACATAACTTACGAGGTAACGCTGGAGATTTTTTTTCAAATTTGTTAATATTTTTTATTTTACAATAACAAATTAGCCGATTTTTTACGCAAAAATCGCGTATTTCCCTTCAAAGTGTTCCCAAAAAGTGAAAAATTGAAATTTCAAAAAACCTCCCGGCGTTCCCTGGGAAAGGCAAGTATCTAACGAAAGAACTTGATTTTTTTAATTTCGGATGATCCAGCATCGAGTTATGAGGGACACAGCAATTCTACTTTTTTCCGAGGCGCTTCCGAATAATTGCTGCCATTGCCGTATTTTGTAATATTTCTACATGAAAGTATTACACAATATTCTTCGAATGTTATACTTTAATGTACCATTAGTTTTAATAAATAGATTTTAACTGTGTCGTCAAAAAAATTCACAAAAATTCACCGTTTTTTGCACGAATTAACTTTACCCCCCCCCCCCCCCCTTAAGGGTTTAGAATATATATTTTTTTTATTTTCCGAAATTTAATAAAGTTTAGGTTACACTTCTCTCTTACGTTTAACGTCCGTTATTCCCACCGATGTTATATAATATTATAAATAAATGTACCGGCAAAATTCTCATATGTCCATTTTCTATACAAAGTATACTTACCGATGTGCAGAAGAAATTGTTCGACGCGACACCATTTCGCCAGAAATATATATTGAAATATTGATCGAGTATTCGAAAAATAAAATCCTACAGTTTCGGATAATAATTATATTTATCATTTAATAGTTATTTTATCATTTAAAATGACCGATTTTTAATTATTATTTTTAACTACTTTTTGTCGTTTTTAAATTTGAATACATTTTTTTCTTCTTTTGAACTTACAATACAATATATTAAAATATTTTCATACTTGTAAAACGATTGGTGTTGTCAGCGTAATCCGTTTAGTTCTCAACACAGGGTGATTTAAAAAGAATGAACCGATTCCATGATCAAATATTTTGTAAGTATATGTATGTATCAGAATGAGGGAGTGGCTGTTTGAAAGATTAGGTTTCTAAGTTTCAAATAGTTGCCACGTGACAGCACCTGGTGCATCGGTCTCCTAAGGAAACCTTTTCTGTGCTGTATCCTGCAACAAGGTTTATGGCCCATTTTTCTTCGAGGGAAACTCTGTTGTAGGGCAAACCATCGAGGATATGCTGCGAAAGGGCTCTTCCCTTTAATGAAAGCTGATTCAAATAAATACATTTTACAACAAGATGTGGCACCTCCACCTCCCCACTGGACCCTATCAGTTAGAGCATTTTTAAATGAAAAACTGCTTTAGCCCTGTAACAGAGTTTCCTTTGAAGAAAAATGAATACAGCACAAAAAACGTATACCTTAGGAGACCGATGCATTTGGTGCGGTCACGTGGCAACCATTTGAAACTTAGAAACCTAATCTTTCAAACAGCCACTCCCTCATTTTGATTCATACATTTACTTACAAAATATTTGATCATGGAATCGTTCATTCTTTTTGAATCACCCTATATATTAACGTCAATGACCGACAGAGTTGTAAGCAAATACCTAACTGATATCTAACGAAATGCGTGGGACCTATAATTTTTATGGTGCCTACATACATTTACCAGAAAGAAAAAAAAGTTCATCGATATTCTCTGATTAAATAAGATTTTGATTTTACAAAACGATATAGATAATATTGTTGAAAAGACGTTTTACATTATCTTATTCTGAAGTTCTAACTAGTAGGTATACCATATTACTACAAAACATTAATATTGAAACTTCCGAGTTCAAGTAACTCGCAAACTATTAAGTGTAATAAAAACTAATCGTACAAACAATAGCCGTCGACACGGCAAGCTTTAGCTCTCGACGTTTTTATCCTATTACAATAATTGTAAGGTGTGACAAATGACTATAAATTAGTTACACTTACTGTAATTTAATGGGACAAACGTATGACCCGTAGAACGCATAAGTAACGCACTAAGGAGGTTTTTGCGCCCATATTTGTACAATGTGTACCTAAATTGTTAATTAACATATGGATAGTATACAATATTATTATGTACTTTTTATAACACAATAACAACTATATGTTTTTTCGCTTTATAATAAATTATGTCATGTGTTTTCCACAGGAGTTCGACTGCAAAAGTCGAGTGGAACGGTGTGAGAAGAAGAGAGGGGCGGCCAGAAGACCTGTTTGTGGCACCGACAACGTGAGCTATCCAAATAGATGCGCTTTACTCAGAGTCCGATGCTTCAACGACTCGCTGTTGCGCGTTAAGCACAGAGGACGATGCAAAGGTAACAAACAATAGCTATCATTCGAGTTGCCTTCCAAGATACCCTCCGGTGACCTTTAAAAAAACCTTGTGCATATATGTCATTTACCAGTGTTTTTTAGATGGATGAATTTTGTTTTTTTCTTCTTATTAATGGAAAGTTTACTTCTTTGTAAATGGAGGCTAAAAGACCGATTTTAGATTGTTATTCGAAAATTAGTTTAAAAAATCTACAGACGATCAAAACTATTTCAAATTAACATTTCTAATACAATAAAAAAATCCGACCTTTTAGCCTCCACAGGGGAAGATGTTTAACTTTATAACAAACAAATATTTTTGAAATCTGTTTGGTAAACATCTTAAAAAGTGATTTTGCGATTTAGTCTACAGTTGTAAATAGCTTGACCCTTTTAATTTGTTATCCCATATCACTGTGTGATAACCCTAACCTAACTTACGTGAAATTTTACATTGGCTCGGCGACTCTGCTAGAAAATATATCACGAGGCTAACCTAAAACCTACAAGAATTCTTCGTACTTTTGTCTTTTTTATTAACGAAATAATTCGCAAGATTCCTAATTTTTGTTAGACCCCGTTTCATATAAAAACTGTATATTATAAAGGTTTTTTTTTTGGAAAATTGACTTTTTAAGCAAATGCTGGAGAGGAGTTTAAAGATTGATACTCTTTTTTAAAATTTTCAGCTAAGGTTCGGTTTAAATAGATACAATAAAAAAAAAATCTAAATTGGACGCTGTGGGTATACCAGTGGTCATATACATTATACATAAATTGTTTAATTTGATTTCGGGTTTCATATGCGTTTTTCTTGTAGTGATAAATAAAATGATTGTGAACGCGAGGACGTGCAGCTGCATTTTTTTCCCTCCAAACCATCAAACATCACACAGACCACCTTACACGCGTTCAAAGGGGGTGGTGTACGCACACACATACTCACCATATAGGTTGTTTATAGTAAAATTGGTTATTTGTTATGCCCGTCCACCTGGCCGCTGGACACCTGTGTCTACCGACTACCGTATAGCATGAGTATGTGTAGAGCCAATGGATTGGACGAAAATGACCGAATTAAATAAATACAGCAAAACGTCCGTCCGTATATTATGGCATGATTTAATAATAACAAAAATGTAATAAAGCACGCTTGCCTAACGATCAAACTCCTCTAAGGTTTAATAAACATATAATATTGTATATTTACTGGAATAATATGTACATACTACTAAAAATCATGTTAGGTTATAAGTATAACCTAACATGATTTTTATCAGCGAAATAATAAGTTTATTGTATTTTCTATAATATCTAAATCGCACACCAAAATTAAAACTATATGAATTCCTAGAGTATGGGTGTCAATTATTCATTTATTCGGATTCTACGAACGAAGCTGCGTGATCCAACAAAACAAAATTATCAATAACTTAATTATTTTTTAACAGATGGAGATAGTCAGGTACTTTTTGTTCCTATCGCAGTTTTCGACATTTCTCGAAGAACTTACTTTTTAAGTTAGTAAAGTTTTGATCTAGGTATATGTTGTGTTTAGGGACATAGATTATTTGGGACTAATATTGTATCGTTGACAATACAAATGATCGTACTATTTAAATATTAGCGCTTTGCACGTTTAGACTATGACTTAATATCAAGTGTTGTGGTGTAGAAAAGCAGCCCTGCTGGGTCGACCAGACCATGAAAACGGTAGATCCGACAAGAACGCCCGACTCGTATGTGCCTAGATGTAAAGCGGACGGTACTTATTTTCGGATCCAGTGCCATAAAAAAGAAGGGTACTGTTGGTGCGTGACGCCCGCCGGCAAAGTAGTACCCAACACCATTGTCAGAGGCCAAAAACCCAAATGCGACGCAGGCAAAGGTTTGTATTTTCGACATCGTTTTTGAGAAATAAAATAAAATATTGCTGGCGAGCCATGAGCAAACGTTGATTATTTTTATTCTGTACAGGAAAATGGCGAAGAGGATCGTCATCAAGAAAAGGAAATAATCTGAGAAGAGGTAAAATATACAGTTAAATTGTTTTAGTTTTTTCGCCAATTCACTCTTTGAGTTTTTCAAGCAAAGTTTTAGGGATTTAGGTCTGAAAGTTTTACTCAGGGTAGATCTAGAATGGGGCTATAACACATACAATTTTCTTAAAAATCTGTAGTCATACTTTTTTTTATCAAGAAAATGTTGTCCGTTTGAACTTTGAAAACAACAAACAATGTAATAATAAGCGCTGTTACCGGCGTTGTGCTTAAAGAAAAAAATATGGTTCAACTTTTTTGGTCTGACAATAAGAGCAAGGTTACATATTGTAGTATATAATATATATGCATCGATATTTTAAATTGTTGTTAGATCGACAAGAATATTATCTCTTCGTATAATTGAACTATATTTTTATTAATAATGTTTTTTTCAGAATGTAGCAGAAATGATAAAGCCGCGTTCGTCAACAATTTGGTGCGGATATTCAAAACTGAATACAACCGGGAACAATACACATCACTTGCTAGTGGTTAGTTCTATATGTGTTGTAAATGCACGTTTTTTTATAAAAAAAAAAATAGCTTCACAATTACCTAATTTTAATAACTGATAAAAAAATAATTCCTTTAAACGTTTGAAATATACGAAAGAGCTCACTTAAATCTACCATAATCGCAATTCGTCCAAAATTAATGTTAATTTTTTATTAAAAATGACCACAGCGTAGCAATGAGCAGATTTACAATTCTCAGTCCCCGCCTCCAATATTTCAACTTAATATTATACTTTCTGAATTTTAATAATACTCAATGTATAAGTCTGAGCTTTTTTTGGACAAGTTCCATACCAGGCCAATACATGGTACTTGCCCTCAATAATAATCATAACAATTCTTCTTCTTCTAATGCTAAATGAAGAGTGAATTTGTCAAACGTTCGAAGTGCCAAAGTATAAAAATTGAACTTAATAATATGATTTGTACTTCAGGCGTTACGGGAAACACTTTTGTATATTTGTCAAGTGAGGAATAGTTATTTATAAAAAAAAAACAATCTTATTTAACACTTAAATATGCTTAAGTGTTTCCGGTAATGGATAAAATATAAATCAAATTAAAAAGTTCAATTTTTATACTTTGGCATTTAGAACGTTTGACAAATTCACTCTTCAAATACAGACTATTTAGGATTCTTTGTCACAACCACTCCTCCCCTTTCATCTGTCTCAGTCTCATCACCTAACCTACCACTCTTTCTCCGGACATTACTCCTAGAATTTGCAACCTTCTTCACTCTGTCCTACCATCTTGCCTTGGTTAAACCAGTGGCTGCATTTTCTTCAAAGATCCATTTATATGAAATGTTCGACCTTGTACTTAGGAACATAAAATGTACCTAAACTCTTTAGTCTATAGCCTTAAATTATTATCAGAAATAAAAGTAGTAATGTGTTAGAATCACCATATTTTTAAAGATTACCGGTGGCTCTCTAAAAGTAAGTTGCCACTCTTAGCCCCAACATTATAGAACGTTGCTTACATGTTTTTGCTAATCATTCAAATACACTTAAATAGTTTTTCAACGTTTCCCGTTTTAGCTAGTGACCGATCGCTGTTGGACCCTAACGTGTTAGACAAACGTGCGGTGGAATGGAAATTCGGTGAAATGGATACAGACAAAAATAATAATCTAACCAAATTGGAGTACAGAGAACTTAAGAGACTAGTCCGAAAAGTGGTTAGGCCCAAAAGATGTTCTCGGACTTTTGTGCGCATGTGTGACTCAGACCATAACAACATAGTGTCGAAAGTAGAATGGACCAGCTGCCTGTCGGTAGACGGTAAGATATTACCTACCTATTATATTTGGTGGCTACTGGCTCGTATGAGAGAAAAAAAAATCTTGAACCGTTTTGTATTTCAGTGGAAGCATTAGGCAAAAAGACCACGACTACAACTACTTCTTCCACGACGACGACAACCACTACGACGGCCTCGCCGCCGGTAGAAGATTACGAGGATAAAGTGGAAGGAATTGGACTCGAGGAAGCCGATCCCGAAGACGGTAAGTACCTAGACCATCTCAGCCAAAGTAATTGTTAGAAATACCTACTAATGTCAGTAAAAACTAATATTATCTGTATAGTTCTACAAGAGAGTGTAGCCACGCTTAGCGGCAGTCTTCCGGGTCTAATGGCTGAAGGAGACCAAGAGGAAGAAGCTGAAGGTATTAATATACTTAATATACTAAGTAATAATTATTATTTTACTGTGTATACAAGTACACATACTTACTGGTTGGCTCGTCGACATGAGTAGATCAAATGCTATATTCAAATCTAATTTGTTCATTTTTTCAGTTAATGATTGTTTGACGGACAGACAGGAAGCTTTAGACGATCCATCGACATCGTCTCACAAGTACATTCCGGAATGTACGTCAGATGGCAGGTACAAACGGGTACAATGCTACAAATCTGTTGGTAAGCTAAACTCGCATTTCCTATTTGTGTTTTTAGCTTTGATGCGGAGCTGAGAAGATATTGTTTTTACAAAACCTTTTTTTTTTTACACAAAACTAATAAAGAGGAATTGTTGGTCACACGACTTCCCCTCATTGGCTGTCGTTTAATTACATTGATATAAATACAGTTGTCTGTAAAATATCCTTTACACCTGCGGACAGGGGAGGGGCTCACATTGAGAATGTCGCAGCTATACAATTGCAATTATTAATCTTATATACCACCCTTCCCCCTTAGTAGTTGTTTCCCGTTCTTTTTCATATTTTGCTTTCGCGTCCACGATTATGCCCACCATGGCTGCCCGGGCTTTATCAGATACTTCCATTAGGTGGACCCTATGGCCTATAAAAGTTCTTCCGCTTCCCAACAGCTGGTGTACTTCTTACCTACAATATGCACAATGCTCGAAATTGAACACGATATGTCCCATGGTGTCCATCGGGTAATGACAATAAACACAGTGTGGACTCCAGGCTATTCTCCTCCTGGAAACACTCATGGCCTATGAATACTCGAGTTAGATGGAACGTAACCAAGGAGCCCGGTCTCCTAATCCAACTACCTGTCTTGGAAAGATCCGTCGGGTCCCCCTATACTTAAAATAGTATTTTTAGTGCCTTATTACCTTTACAATGATTTTTATCGATGTTTAATATTTGTATCAGCTACAGATTCGGATCGAAGCTTATCATTTTTATATTAATAACAAATGCTTTGCCTAGAAATAAATATAAATTACTTTGTATACGTCCTATAGGTTACTGTTGGTGTGCCCAGGAAGATACTGGAAAACCAATACCTGGAACTTCTGTCAAAGATTCCAACCCGAAGTGTGATAGCACACCGGTAATCACTAGACCCATGAAAGGCTGCCCGGAGCACAAAAAAAATGTTTTCCTAAAAGATCTCATGGATTATTTAAAACAAAAACACGGGTCAGTAAAATGTACAGATCATACGACATTAATAATTTCTGATTAGTATAATAAGTATTCATATATTCAATGTTATCTTAAATTTTAATTGTAGTCGAAATAATTCATCATACTCTAAAGATTATGAAACTTTGATAACAGATATTTTCCAGTCTCTCGACACAAATCAAAATAAGGTAATTGAAAATTTTGTTAACATATTTCTTTGTAATTTTGTTGGCTAAAATCTAAATATAAATCATACAACAGGTCTTGGAACGTAAGGAATGGAAAAGTTTTCGTGAAGAGATGTCTGCCGACAACAAGTTGAGAAGATGCGGAAAGAAATTACCTCGACACTGTGATGTTAACCGTGACAGTAAAATAGGATTAACAGAATGGCTTAACTGCTTAAACGTCAACCATGTACAAACACAAACACAACCCAGTGGTAAAATAATAACTCATGTTTATTAAACATATAAGCGTATCTAAAATTAACTATATGCTATTTGTACACAGACACGAGCACAACAGTAATGGCAAAACGGAGAGGACCTAATCCACTAGAATCTTATCTCAAAGGCGATGACTAATTATTTTTACTACCATCGCCAATAAAAAAAAACAAAAATATGAACAAAATTAATTTATTAAAACTGTTTTAAAAAGTATCAAACAGCTTCATTAGACTATTAATACTATTAATATTATTTTTTTTTTAAACATATTTTTTTGAGAAAATAATACTATTGATTTATGTTTAATAATACATATATATATTTATTTATACATTTTGATTTTTATAAAACTAGTTTATAATAAAATAAATATTTTATTACAATAATAATAGTGTACATTGAAAAGTTCCAAAATAATGGTTTTAACTTTTATAATACTATATTGAAAAAAAAAAATTAAATGAAAAATCGAAACTAAAAAAAAAGTAAGAAGAAATAATATGTTGATTTGTTAAGCATTTGTTACTCGGATTTACATACGACATGATATATATATATATATAAATTCTTAAAAATATAAGGCCCAATTGAGTTATACATCTAAACATATCACAGATTATATAAAATAAAATTGTTACGTAATTAAAATATTAAACAAAATGTTAGCTTTGGTTCGGGATTCTATTACTTAAATAACATTATAAGGGGTTATAATTTGACTCATTAGTTAATGAAAAACTATCACACATTAGCTTACTTAAATTTGTTATACATAGTCTAAAAAAAGAAAAGAAACAAGTATAAAAATAAATACAAAATAAATATTTGTTATACGAACATACTTAAATAATAAGTGAGCTACAGTTCCTGTTAGTGGGGTTCTGTCATTCATTTTAACAGAAGTATGTTATATTCAACATATGTAAATAATATATATAAATAATAAAATTGTATTATTCATTTGTTTAATTCTGATGAGTTAGCGAAATATTACTCCAATCGTTATCTGAAACGCAGAAAAATATAACTTAGTTTTGATGCTTTTCAGGCTATAAATCAATTAAAATTAAGCATAGTTTCTATTAAATCAGAAAATATATATTTATAGTTTGCAGTTCTTCTATTTTCTTAAACACTTTAATTTTTTACTTTGCTGGGCTAATAATTATCATATCAGGTCAGGTAAGTTGAGTATACTTGTGGGCATAAAAAATATAATTGGTTTTATATAAATCAAAGTTATAATATTACATTTTTATATATCAAGTTTGATGTTTTAATTAAGTATAAATATTGAGCTTACCATGTTATTTGATCAAACATTGTGAGTCAATTTAAGTTGTTCAGTCAGTTACCATTGGAATTTGTGGAGGAACATTTAATGAAGAAACTATACTACAAATTTTGTATGAGTTAACCATGTCATGCATTCAAGTAAATCAGTACTTCAGTTATTTCCAAGTTTTAATTTTACTTTAAGACTTTGAAGTAGCAAATTTACAATGATAGTTACTACTCATTTATTTATATACACCCACATTATACAGGGTGATCCAAATAACGTAAGACACTCATTTTCTCGATAAATATGAATATTTTGAGAATTTTGTTTCCCCGAAACTTTTAGGTACATATTTTACTACATTTTTCGATATTTTTAAAATTTTTATCACCAATCCTTAAAATCTAAAAAGGGGGATTTTTGTTTTTTTTTTAAATGGCAACACATGTTTTTAATTTCATAAATTTGTAGAAAAAAATTGTTTAAATATGTTAGCGTTTGAATTTTAAATTTATTTGTTCATTTGTTATGACTTATCAAAGATTAGTTGGATCACCCTGTATATTAAACCTATAAAATAAGTAAAATCAATGAATAATGGTTTTAGCTTATATTATTTATATTAGTCATAGGAATAGATCAAAACAAATGGCATTTCAGCGGCCACCACAATATGGAAAGGACAAAATTGTTATTTAAATTTTAAAACAAGAACTACAAATTATTAATCAAATATATAAACTAAGCAGACTAGAGCAATTTTTATTCCAATAACAAATGACAATGAATTTTATTTTCAACTGATATCATTTCTAATTACTGTTTTAAATGAAAATTTTATTAAAATATACTAAAGACATTCAGTTGACGAATAGTAGGAAATTTAATGTTACCAATACAGCATTGTATAATGGGGTTAAATACTAGTATATATTATGTAAATGTTCCTTTTTTATGATATATGTAATTTGACTTGTACATAATACTGTTGAGAACTATTGCTTTTTTTAAAGAAGGTAGCCCGGCATAAGAAATTACATTTTATAATTGCTTCAAATTTATTTTACTAATTAAAACTGTTAGACTCTACATAGTGTAATTATAACAGTTAATCCACATAACCCATTATTCTTAGTTTTAGACCCAAATGAGAATGAATTAGTAATTTAAATAAGTGTATCATAAATTAATAATCGTTAATTTTGTTAAGTAAATAAATTTGGAAATACAAGATACCAAGTTATTATGAACACGTATAATGGGAAAAATGTCAAAAGAATGAGTGTGTAATTTGTGATACTAATGGCATGGTTTGTATGTTGAATACTGGCCAAATAATTGAAATTATAACCAAACTCTGAAATTTTAGAAAATTGACGAATGACAAAAAATAAATTATAAAACAATTATTATAGTAACTTTTATAATAATAAAACCATTAATCACTATTATACACAAACAATTTTGAAAAATACATACCACTGCTATTGACATTATCTCGCCTTGCTAGGTTGTCCTCTAGTTCTAATTCTTGGGCTTGTAGGCCTAGCTCACGTTCTTCTCGTCTCAATCGGTTGACTTCACTCATTAGTTCACAATACGTGTGTAGCAAAGATGGTTCATCTTCATTTTCTTCATTTCCTAATTATTAAATATGAATAAATAAAGCATCCATTGGAGGGTCTAGTGCAATAACCCGCTATCTCCATTTTTTTAAACTGTTTAGGACGTTCAAAACAATATCCACTATCTTATTTACCATTATTAAAGGGGAAAACGCGTATTGTAATATCTTTGTAAATAATAGTCTGATTTTGTTCAATGCAACAAAATGTAAATTATTTTTCATGATTCACATATATCATGTAAATATTTAAATAATAGTTTTTTATAAAATATGGCTAGATATTGCATCGGATCCTTCAATCATGACAAGAATGATATCACTGTAAATTAAAAATAAAATAAAATACCTTCTCCTCTTAGTCTCTTTTCTACCTCAACACCTTCGGCTTCCAACATTTTTAGTTTAACATCTAATTCTTCTAGTTTTCTTTGTACCTCTTGAGCTATTCGTAACCTTAAAGCAGTCACAAATAAACTTTAAACTCATTGAATACATAAATTAAATAAAAAAGTTATGTCGATTACTACCTCTTGCGTTGAGACTGTCGAGCAATTTTCATTTCTGATTTAGTCATTCTGCTATCAGCGCTCATCATACTAGGGTCATTGTCAAATATACCATTTTTGGGTTCGTCATCGGTAATAATGGTTTCTAAAATTGATTATTCAAACTATTGTAACTGTGTTAAATATAAAATTGTATTTTAAATACCTAATGACTTTTGATTATCAATACTGTAGCAAGTAGGCAATGGAGGTACAGGTGGAGCCAAAGAATCAATAAGACGCCTTCTGATTTCTGATTCACTGTTAGATTTATACTGAACTGGTTTATCTCCAATAGCTGAAATCATCTTTTTATCCTACAAAATATAACTTCTTACAATATTTTATCAAAATCATATAACAATAATAATTAGTATAATAATGTATCGAAAAAAATTAAAAACAAAAAAAAACTACAATATAGCAGAACTAATATTTTATAGATTATGGTAATAGATTTTTATACAACATTGATTGGGGTACATTTTTCCGCTGGACATTTTTCCACAAACTTAATTTCCGCATGACTATTTATCTGCAAACATAATTTCCAAATGATAGTTGTTCTGAAATTGTGCGAAAATTGAAACGAAAAATCATTTCTGTCGTTACCGTGTCAATGTAAATTAATAAACAGTCCGAACCTTTCATTCAGAATACAGTCTAGGAGGAGGTCACAGGTTTAAAGATCAGTCAAATGATTTGTGTTGAATAGAATTTCTTGCTTTTTTGTTGGAAAAATTTGCGGAATCTTGTCTATGCGGAAAAATGTCCATATATCATAAAATTACACTAAATCCCTTACTTTTATTGAAATTTTAAAGAAACAAAAAATTTAACCTTTTGAATTTCAAACGCCAAATACATAGAATAAGTAAACCATGTAAAATAAAATATAGTATTTTTACTATTGATGAGAATTACAAAAATCCAGATTTAACACAAAATAAATTATATTTTAGCCATTTAAAGATATTAAAAATACACTATATAAAAAATATTCAAGTGAAATGTTTTTGATAAAAATGTAAATACAAAACACAACACCAAAAAGATAAATTGATTTTGGATTTGGTGAAATTCGAAAATCCGAATGCAATTTATTGTCAAAGTTGAGTCTTCTTTAAGTTTTCATCAAAATATTTTACTTAGTTACACAGCTTTATATTGTAATAATATTTAGCATATATACGATTTTTTTGAGTGGCTTTAATAGCATGTTTTGTGAAAATCCGGATTTTCCGATTCCCATCACTAATTGCTACAAGCCAATAAACGCAAAATTGAAAATAAAACACTATTTATATGTAATAAACATACATGATCTCCAATGAGTGAAACAATATTATCTGCTGACTGAAAATATAACAATGAAGTTTTAATTTATAAATCTAATATATTTGATAGGTACTTCAGTTTTGTTTTGTTGTATTATTCTTTAATTATATTATCCTTGTAATTATTTTTTAGACACATAATGGATTTTATTGTATTAAATAATACATTTTTGAAAATTGTTGCATGGTATGATAACATTGTTAAAAATATATTTTAACATATTTACCATAGAAGCGTTAAAAAAATAATTAAATTTCGAAAAAAGTAATAGACACAGTGTCATTAAACTAAAAGAGCAATAATACTCACGACTTTAATTTTTTTAAATTGGTAAGTGACTTACTTTTCGTGAAATCTCAATTTTACTTTTATTTATAAAAAAAGATTGGTTTAAATGTGTTAGGTTAACATAGATGTCTTTGAATAAAAGATAAAATTTGAGATCTCTTACCTTTTTGTTGTAAAGAAAAAACAATAGTTACCTGAGATTTTTCTTTAGACTTGCCACTCATAAGGAACTTGAACCTAGATGGCGAAGTCTGCTGACTAGAAGAAGAACGATTTTTGTTCGGAGATTGAGTTTTTTTCTGAAAAATAGCTGCCATAACAGCTTGGGTGATACTGCGTTTTCTTTCAGGACGATCGTCTTTTCTCTGGTCGATTCTTTTTGGTGTTTCACACTAATAATAATAAAATGTTTACATGTTTTCATTGCTTTAAAATAAACGATAATGAAAATCTGAGTCTCACCATAGGAAGATCGAGATTGTAGTCGTCAATAGACTGACAACTCCTGCTCTTGGTCAGCGTGGACAACCCGTCGCATTCGCTCTTTACTGCTCGCCTTCGTTCTAACTTCTCTCTGAGCTGTCTGATTTTGTCTTCAGGACTAATACCTAATTCTGAATCACTCTTCAATCTCGCCCTGGCTCTTGCATTTTCCCGTATCTCTTCCGTAGATTTCAAAATTTCGGCCACACTTAATGCCGGCCCTTTCTCTTCGAACAGAGCCCTTCGTATATCAGGCAGTGAAAATGCTTCTGAACACAAAATTGGTTTATTAGCGCCATTATTAGCTGGTTTTTGTTCGCTCTTGGGACTTTTTGTAGGTATGAACAGAGAAACGGGCCGAGCTTTTAACTCGGAGGCACATTGATAGACTGGAAGCGGTTTGGTGAACTCAAAATGGTCTACAGCAGCAGGTTCCTGCGAAAAAGGTGAGCTCCGGTTTCGCCGTTGTTTTCTCTCATTGGGTGATTTGCCCGGAATTTTGCTCATCACCATGTCGTGCACAAGATTCTTCTCCTTCATTCTCTCTTTGGTGATCTGTTGAATTTTATAAGTAGTAGAATTTTGTTCGATGGGTTCACTGTAGTGTTCTTTGGCAGTTTCGTTGGCGACCACGGGATAAGACCCAGCAGCCTTATCAAAGAGAGGTTTCTTCGTTTTCCTTATATCTATCGAATCTCTTATATTGTTGAATGGTGTGATTTTTTCTTGCAGCCTGTGCACGTATTCCTGATAAGTCTTGTTGGTGTCAGCAGCCACATGAGTCAGTGTGTCCTCATTGTCGTTTTTAACATCCATCACAGTGACTGCGTCACTGGTTGTTGTCGTATCATAGTCTTCTTTGTCCAGCACCATTCTGCCGCCGTAAAAAGCATTCATCGTTTCGATCACAGGCGTCTTGAGCTCGTCGTCCGTTTGCGGATTAGACACAAACTCCACGTAGCCAGTGTTCTGTAACAGTGTCTGGTTGAGAGCGGCCACATGGTCGCCATCACTGTCACTGATTGTGTCCATAAACTCTATGTGGTCGCTGTCGATTTTACCACACACATGTCCGTATTCATCAGTATTTTCGGCAGGTTTTATCTTGGGTAAATTCCTAGGTTTCCGCTTAGAGTTTGGACGCTGATGTTTTCTGTACGTAACTGATTGAATGGGCACTGGTACAAATTCATCCCAAGCTTCGGATACACCCACGTCATCATCCCTTGCCCAATCAGACAACTCAGTTTCGGTGTGCGCACCAAACGTATGATCTTCATCGTCGTCATCTACATTACCACCAGACAACTTATTAGCACCCACACACAGCAAAGACTCCAACGGCGGCGATGCCGATATGTCGTTGTGGTTGGGATTTACGGTCATACTGTTTGTCCCACACAGATCAGCTGTAGTTGACACGTGTTTGAGCACCTCACCATTCCACGCGTTTTTGTTTTTCATCGGACTCGGCACCGTGATTATCTTATTAAACCCGTTTTCGGCATATATAGGCTTACATTCTATCTTAGATGGTTCCTGTTGATCCTTCGGCTGCAATGGCGTTAGATCCACCAAATCGTCCATGAGCTCACCTCGAGAGTTGTGGATTTCTAATTTGGGTAGACTATGATTTTCCTTGTAGGGAGTTTCGTTTTCATTGACAGCATTTCTGACCTCTTTTTGGTCGTCCTTATCGTCATCCGATGAACTACTACTAGTGTTTGTCGACAGCGAATCTGTATCCATCTTCTTAACGTCACTAATCCGATGAAATTCAGGGACAATAATTGATGTCTCGTGCGCTGGACTGCGCGGCCGTGCTTCGTTATTATCGTTGTCATGAGATGACTTGACATTATTGACTATAGTGTCTTTGTTGTTGTGATTCATTTCGTTGTCATTGTTTGTTTTATCAGAGTTTATCTGACAAACGTGTTGAAACACATCGGCGGAGTCTGGTAGTTCTTTTGATTTTTTCTCACTTTTGTTAATGATTGGACTGGCATTTTGCAAGAAAGCTTGCATCACCAGACTAGGAACAGGCGCGGGATTCAACATCTTCTGGTGCTCAGATATGTGGTCGACAAAGCTTTTGAATTTTGTGTCCAAAGTGGCAGTAGACCCAGATTTCTTGACAGCTAACCCATTATCGTTGCCAGCCAACAAATACAATTTTTTCAATTCCAGAGAACGTTTGGTGGCAATACCTTCAGTGGACTGTGTTCTGTTTAATTCATAACCGGGCTTAGCAAAGGGAGTGAAATTTGGTCGATTTTGAGATACCCGATTGACAATTTCAGCTATTTTAGGGTTTTCAGGCACCAACGGGTCGACTTTTGCCTCTTCCACAGAAATGCGTTTCAAATGGACACTTTCGCTAACTATAATGTTTGGAATACTGTGCCTAGTGGGTGTTTTATCGTCTCGCTCAAATTCGGAATCAGTAGAGATTTCCGTAGCTGAATTATTGCCAGAGCTGGAGGAGTAGTAATCAGTAGCAACCTATAAAAATAAATCAGTATAAAGAATTAAAAATTGTTTTTAAGTAAAGCCGAGTAAGTATTAAAATAAAACTATAAGACACATTCAAAGAAAAATCGTAACAACACAGAACATAGTAATTCATAGCATTGCATTTAAAGTCGAGTTTCTATGAATCTTAACACTACTGAAAAATAACTAACTGATATGACTGAGGTGTTTAGTAACCAAGCTGCCAAGGGATGCATTTTACATGGTTTTTCTATGCACTTACACCTTGGCGTATAGGATCTTCAATTAATTAATAAATCAAAATTACAACAACCATATAATTAATATATAGTGAAAACTATAGTTAATAATACAGGGTGATCAATTTAAAAAGTTAATGAAATGTATGCGTTACTATTACCATTTAAGATTCAAAAGTTGCTTACAAAAAATTTCTTATTAAACCCAGTGAGATATTGAGTAGTTCGCAATAAGTTGATCACCTTGTATTTTACAAACTCAGCAAAACGAAAAGACCCAGTGGGTCTTTTTTATAAGTTATACAGTATTTTCCACAACACAGTAAAGATTTCAATTTCTTTGTTTTTATGGAAAGCTTACTACTTTTACATTGTTTTTAAAGGTTAAATTGTGATTATATTATTAGAAAAATTGTGTTTTATTCGAAAAACTACAAACAATTAAAAATAGCAAAACATGTAACACAATTGAAACAAAAACAAAAAAAATTTTCTTGGAAAGTGACTACATTTTAATCTTTATTTGTATACAATTAGGCTTTTACTGTTTCTGTTGCCCTAAAGTTCAAAGTTCATCGAAATGCATCAATTTTTATCCTTGATTACCAACATAAATAAAAGTCGGAATTTGGAAAAATGGTTTGGTTCACTCAGCCTTAGAAGTCAATACATAATATATTGCAATATTTCGTTTAATACAAAAAAAAACAAGCCTTTCTCCTCAACACAAGTACACATACCAATTCAAAACTATAGCAAAAGAAATGTGGCATTATATTTAATGTGTTAGTAAAAAAACAAAGAGTGAAAATGATTTGATTTTAAGACATATCTATGTCAAATTTAGTTAAAACCATATTAGGTTCAAGCAGTGAGTCTGAGTCAGAAAGACGTTTAAAAACATCATACTTAAAATGGGTAAAAAAGTATTTTTAAAAATTAAAATTAATTAAAAGTAGACATTTTCTCCAATGACACATCACTACTAGGTTCAAAAATTGAATACACTAAGCCCTAAGGTTAAGTGTACAATTTATTATAATTATTGTTTTATCATATTATAATAGTAAAGACAACACAAAATATTTAGACTAAATATAAACTCTTAAAAGATATCATAACATTAAGCTTTTTTAAACATTATGTGTAATTGAAATTAATGTCTAAAATATTAAGAGGACGCCACACCAAAATATTTCGAGTACTAAAACACCGCTTTAGACTTCCAGTAGTAATCAGAAACTATTAATCGTAGAATAAATCTAAAGACCCTATAAGAAAGCTTGGAATGTCTACTATGTGCGTATAGAGCCATATTTCCAAAAAAAAAAAAATAATATTTACTTAAGAGTATTTTCAAACATTCATAGATTGCACACTCTGTGAAAAAAAATCTAACAAATGTTCAAATGCCTCGCCGAAAAATCGAAATATTGTAATACATGTGTGTCCTCCCCACCCCTGGTCAAAAAATGAGAAAAAGGGCGGCGCTAAAAATTAGAAACTGTAATTATTATTCTTATATAATTTAATTTTAACATTTTTTTATTAGAAATGGACCTTTAAAAAAACCATCATACATAAAAGTTCAACCCTTTCCCTTCAAAATCGAGAAAAACAGACACATTTTTCTACTTAAAATTACGGCACACCACAACTTTTTAAAAAATATTTGAATTAGTTCCAAATTTGTATAGAATATTCTTTAAATATTATAGTACTACCACTAAACGTTGACACATCAAACAAATTTAATAAACCCTTTCCCCTAGAAAGGGTGGAAACTTTTTCTTTATTATGCTTTTAGGTGGTTTTAGGGTTTAAAGTCTGAAAATTAGACTATAGCTTATAGGTAATCCTAGAATGAGCCTATAACATTTACAATGTTCTCAATCTGTTGTAAACATTTTTTTTAATAAGGAAAAATTACACATTTACCGTAGTCAATTTATAGGTTGCTAGGTCGACAGGTATTTAAAAATATTTTCCTCCTATTGCCAACTCCGATATACGGGTATATGTCATTAAATTGTCATAGATAGAACCCTAATAACAAAAATACTTTTTTAAGCACGTTCATGCTAATAGGGTTTTGTACCCTATTAGCTTTTTTTATTTATTTGCAATTTTACCATTATAGATTTTGATCGAAACGTTTATCTAAAAATTATTTTATCAGTTCCTTCAGTTGTAATAAATCTTATAGACCTGTGACCTCTCCCACCGCAATATGCTCTATCTTCACTATATTCCGATCCCACTGTATTGGCTTTTTTCATTTTACTTCATAATATAATATATTCGTATTATGCTGCATAATTTTGCAAATTATCACGTATCGATCTAATGCTTGTAGGCGGGGCTAAAACGTGTGCCTGTGCCGCACTAAAACACCTAACAGCGCGTTCTCTTAGTCGTTGCATGCGTTCTTCCACTTTTGGTGTGGCGTCCTCTTAATATATTATGTTTTAACATTGATTATAGTATTTTTATAATTAATCGTTTTTGTTTGTCTCTTTAAAAAGCTATTTTCATGTCATTTTCATTCATTTAATGTAAAATTAAAATAATACTACCTATTTTCAAAAAACATATCTTATTTAAAACAATAACAACAATGGAGAAACAAAAAAAAATTATTTGGCAAACATGACGTTTAATGCTGGGTTAGAAATTACACAAAAAATCAACTCACATAAAACACAGAAAACCCATTTTTTTTTACCTGATTTGTTCTACTCCAAACGATACTCGAGAGAAAGGCTTGTTATGATATTTCTTTGAATATTCTGTATAAAATCTGTTGACTTACGCTTGTATAATATAATTTAACTTATTAATAATGTTCGTATAATTATATTTATATATGTATTTATAAACAGAACTACATTACAATGCATTCTTTTTTTGGTTGGCTATTTTCATACTTTTTAATAGCCTTTTCCACTGTAGGAGTGTACTTTGGATAAGGCTCAGTGGTAACTATACTTATCTTATTAACGCTAGATGTATTATCACTATTTGAAACTGGTAAAACACCATTAATTTGAGAACCATTTTCTTCTACTGAGTTATTAATAGCTCTACATCCTAAGCTAATATTTTTTTTAACAGTTAGATTAGGTGGTTGAACACTTGAGTTATGTATCCTAATACTAACAGGAGATTTCTTCTTATTAGTACTGTCAGTTAATTTTAGATTTGAAATGTTAGTCGCAAGTTCTTCATTCGAAGGACTAATATTTATGAATGGTTTGTCATCTTTTTTTGTCTCTAAATATATTGGTGACTTTTCTCTTTGTCTGGAAAGTAATTTATTATGTTTAACTTTTTTGGATTCATTTGTTTCATCATTATCACACTCGCATGATAAAAATTCATTGCTACTAACGTAAGGTTTTAATGTATTTTCCATAAATACTGAACTATTTTTATTAGTATTTATAATATTACTGTTTGCTGATGAATTTTGATTACAATTTATTGAAGGTGTTATATCTGTATTTAAATAATCATATTTTGATTTTTTTAACTTCTGAGATGTTTTTGATGTTTGTACATTTTGAGTTGCATTTAAATTTGTAGTAACAATATTGCTATTATTATTGTTTAATACAACCGAACATATGTTATGTGCCGACACATCGTCTTTCTCGTTTGATTTGTTGATTATAAAATTGTCTATGTTATTACCAATTTCGCTATTTTTATTTTTTGACTTCAAAGAACTATTATTATTATTAACTTTATTCTTATTAGCAGAAAATATCACCTCTGTTTCAGATCCTGTGTCTGTAGTGGCCACTGATATATCAGGAATACGCAAACAAACTTCTTGTTTTCGCATTTCTCGAGCTTTCACTTCTTCTTCCCCCTCGGTAGCAGTATCACTTTCATCATCTGGAAAAAAATAATACTTAGGTTATGTCTCAGAAAGCCATTTTATACGTAATTAGATTAATGTAATGAAATGTAATTTTACCACCACTGTCAAATTCTTTGTAACTAAAACGGTCTTGTGATTCATCAGACTCGTTTTGCGAACTAAGTCCATCATCTTCAATATTATTATTAGACAAATTATCGTTTTCAGTACTAGTTAATAACTTTTGTTCTTTATTTTGAGTGTTAATATCAGGATTTGGGATTTCATCGCTATCACTATCGCTATACGTAATTAAAACAAATTGTAAATTAATATAAATACATTTTTTTAAACACATATAGCACAAATCAATTAATGCATAGTTGAGTAGGCATATTCAGCTTATTTTCTAATGTCTCCGCCCTTTGAAACTTAAACTGTGTTACTAATAGTAATTACTAATTAATATACCTAAATTCAGATAATTCATCAGAAGAGAGCATTTCATTTGCTGAAGCACCAAAATTACGGTCAGTCCATTCATCTTCATCCATTTCACTGTGAGCTAAATCTTCTTCTAAATCCAAGTTTTCAAACTCAACTCGTTCAGGTGTCTCGCCTCTATCTAATGACTCCATTGAAGCTTTTATCTAATTGTTAAAAAAGAAAGTTAAAAACCAAACTGTAAAACCTATGCATTTGTTAATAATACAACAAACCTTTTCTGGAGTTTTATCCAAAATAATTGGTTTAATGCCCATATCAGGTTCAGTCTTGTTTTGTTCATATTTACGTCGAGATCTCGTTTGTTGTGTTCCTGGCAATCCAAAGTGTTGTGAACAATAGAAACGGTTGTTGTATTTACCTTCTCTATCAAACATGTATGTTCCTAACCGCAAAGTTGTCTGACAGTATTCACAACGGAAACAACCACGGTGGAAAAATCTGCCTTCTGCACTCAAACGTTCCATTAAATAAACACGACTCTTACAAAAATGGCATGTTTCACTTCCCCTTTGCGGAAGTATAACAGTGTTTTTGGTGCCCTGTAATGAAATAATACTACTTTATTAGTAAAATTAATTTAATTTTTAATATCGACATACTAAATCTATTAAAAATGAACTATGTGTCCTTTAATTGACTTAATGCTCCTTTTTTTTATTTTATAAAATAATTAAATCTAGAAATTTGGATATAATAGGGTCTCTCTACTTAAAGGGCCTCTTACACTTGTGTATTTTTGGTTTAAAACAACTCATTCTATTTCAAACGTACTGTTCCTAATAAGAATACTCTGATTTAAGTTTTGAAAAAATATTTGAGTTCTTCAAAACATTTTCAAGGCATCGGTCGTGGTACATTTTTAAAATTATTTTCAGTTAATTAATAATTTCACTTAAAAAAAGTTAAAAATTGCATTTTCTTATGATGAAATAATTATCTGAAAATAATTTTAAAATTGTGCCACGATTGATGCTTTGAAAATGTTGTAAAGAATTCAAATGTTTTTTTTTAAATTTAAATTTATGTATTCTTAAGGACAGTATGTTTAAAGAAACATGTGTTTTAGTACAAAAATAGATCCTATATGCGTTATAAGTTGAAAAAAAAAATTATCAAAATAGATTATTCTTTCTTATGGTAATATACTAATATGTATGTTTAAAAATGTTAGCGAAAAAATTGCCTATACAATTCGCCATAATTAGTACTAGTGTAGTAATAAAACAATCAAATATTAAAAAATACCCTTCACTATAAAAAAAGTTATACATGGTTGTAGTTGTAGTTGGTAGCATATTCTAGACCCCAATACTTACACTAGTGCTATCAATAGTATAATTTGAATTTGAATCTATGTCATAACAATATGAAATGATAAAATATACTTACAGATCTTTGAAGATGAGTATTTTCTGGTTGTTTATTTATGGTAGCTAAATGGGCTGCCATTGCTGAAACTTTATTAGCACCTCGCTGACCTTGATCCAGAATATTTCCATCTTTTATTTTTCGGTTCAGTTTATTTAGGTTTTTGTCAATTTCCAAGTATTTTTTATTGTTATCATCATTTTCATATCCTTTGACATGGAGTTTCTTTTTTATTGCGCTAACCTGGCCATAAAAATAAATTGCCTGTTAATATCAAATATATTCTGTTGATGAAAATAAATAAATTACTTTATCATCATATTGAGGACGGCTCCATTTAGGTACTTTTTCAGTACCATTTTTATCATGTTTAACATACGCTTTATTTTCTTCAATTTTTCGTTCAATTTCCTTTACATTCCAGTCACTTTTGTCAATTTTTCCTACATAGAAAAACAATATCATTACGATTGTGTTAATTATTAAAAAGATATATTGAAAAAACACACTAATATCACAGTATCAATACAATAAATGGGGGAAAATATTAATGTTGTTAATCAATAAGAAGTTAAACTGGGCAAGAGTATTTTATTATAAGAAAACATAGTTGAAACACTCTCAATAAATTTTAGTAAGAGACTTGGATCTAAACGTTTAAGTATTTTTCAATTATATATTATTTTAATTAAATACCCATAGCGATTTTTACTTAAAAGTATTAAAATTCATTAAATCTAATCTCACAATAAATTAATACAATTGCTTTATTATATAAACAAAAAGTGCTTGTAGTATTCATACCAATAGCCCTGTATAAATCTTTAGGTTTTTTATCAGAAGCTAGTCCTCCTTTTAGTTTAGCTTCAATTTCTTTTGCTCTAACTGAAATGTCTTCTTCCATTTTATAACGAGGAGACGCTTCTCTCTGTACTCGTGAGTCACGTGGCTGGAATAAAATTACTGATTATTAAAACTAAAGTTAATTTAGAAATGTTAATTTTTTTTTTTTTTATGTAGGGAGTAAATTAGAGATAGGACTTTCAAAATCCAAATTTAATTTTCAAAATAAGGTAAGTTGTTTGTTATTTCAATAGATATAAATGAAATTTAAATTCTTCATTACATAAACAGTCAACTTTTTCTTTCAGTTTTGAATAAATTAATGTATGTATATATATTTTTTTAATATGGATTTTGTGGTCCCATACGTAGTTTACACCAATTCACATTTAATAAAAAAAATGTAATTTTTACATTTCAGAAATTAATATAATTACATTTTCAACATATTAATACTGAAGTTAATGACTATGGACAAACATACATTGAGTTGTGTTATTTATTAAAAACATAACAAAAAATAATGTTATTAAAAAATTATTTCCTTCTAAAGTTTAAAAACACATTTAAACATATAAAACATTCTATCGATTACTAAAGACCAAATTGATGCAGTTCCTTAATTTGTTTTTATAAGCACGCACATGAATTGAAAAACAAAAAACGAAATTAATGTACTGTAAGTTCATATTTTTACAAAATCACATTGCACAAAACACACAACATATTCATCTTACACTAGGAAACAATTTTCGTTCCAATTCTCTGGCACGTTCTTTAAATTCTTCATGATTATCATTATCTAAAAGCTCATCAGGTTCTGGTTCTTTTTTAAAAACCTGATGCATTCTTAAATTCAATTTCTTTTTTATTTGTACCTTTTATAAAAGTAAAAATATAATAAAATATACAAGTCAATTGTTTAAATATATATTTTATCTATTAAAAACAATATTAAGAAGAAGTAGAAAAAGTGTCAATTATTTTCAATACAAATTCTATTCATTATAATATTAAATATATCATTACATTATTTTAACTTTTTACCTATTTTTAGTAATCATTTACACTGTTTTACAGTTATTTTTTATAATAATTGTAATTATTTTATATAAGAAATTTAATTAATTAATAAACGTGTACTAACCAATGAACCATTATTAATGTTTGTACGTCTTTTCCTGTAGCGACGCTGCAAAGAAGCTGTGCTTTTGTCAATTGCTGAAATATTATTAACACCAGATCGTTTTCTCGATAGTGTATTAGGTTTAGTTTGGACAGCTAATTTAGAATATGGTAGGAACATATTGTTTTTAGTAATAGGGAATCTAAAACGACTTGCTATAGGTGATGGCCCATGATCACTTTCCTCCTAAATAAAACAGGAAATTATGTATTAGTTGTTTTTCAGGTAATAACACAAGAGTTAAATACCAATTTAGGATGCTTTATGTGTGGAATTTCTCGTCTAAACGTATCATACACCTGTGATAAATATGACAACATTGCCAAAACATCAGGTACATCACACTGTTCCATTTCAGTACCAGACATAATCTATAAACAAAAAATGTTTACAATTAAAAAATAATTTTAGACCGAATTACCATTTATATATCTTACGGGAGGAATCCCAAATTCATGTTCTAAAATGTCAAATGCCAACTGATTATTTTTTGCTGAATCTGTTGAAGATAATGAAAAAAAGTCAACTAAATCTGGCCGGTACCTATGAATGATAGCACACAGTGCAAGTCCATTTTTGAAAGATTTTGCAAAGTCATCAACTGATATAGAATCATAGGTATCAAGCTGAGTTTTTAACCAAACAAGTAATGTATCTTGATGCACTTGGCTTTCTAAAATATAAGAATATTATAATTAATCAAATACCAATGTTTTAAGTATTAATCCTAATAAAAAATAGAAAAAAGCACTTGGAAAATAAACAAGAAAAACAATTTGATGAGTATAAACATGAAAATAGACAAACACTGTTAGAACACACAATAAATGTTATGTGTATATCAAAGTATTCACCCTTCTTTGATGAATCATGAGTAGCCAAACGAACTGTTTTGTATTTTTCAAATATAAAAACAAAATACATATTTAAAACTATATTCATATTAAAATAAAATACAATTTTTATACCATATAGTACATTCATAACACTGTACCTTTTCGTCTTCGCTTTTTAGGAACATCTTGAATTGGATTTGGAGCTTGCCGTGGAGCTTTAAGAAACTTCTCAACAACAGTTTTATCATCACAATCAAACAAATTGACAACTTGTACAGGAACGACTGCGTGTGTATTTAAATTTGGATATCGAGTATATGGGTCGAGGGTATACCCTGCAATATTTCGTTGCAAGTTTTCTGGTGTAGTTTGACCAAGAATATGGTATATTGATTCTCGTTCAGCCAGTACATCTAAAGGATTAGAGTCTGGAGCACCCCAATGACGAATAGCCCAACAAGCATCCATTGAACTAAGAAAACCTCGAGCACAGCCAGAACCAGTGGGCCAAAATGGCTAAGCCAAAAATAATTTTAAAATAAAGATCTTTTCTTTATTAGTACATAATACACAATTAATATAAAAGTTGTATGTTACAAACCTCCAATAAACTATCTCCTACTAATGTTGTAAGCAGTTTGTGTCCATTTCTCTGCATTACATGACTAGAATTTTCGGCAGCATACATTGACGTGAAATCAAACATGGCTACATCAGGTTGACCATAATGATTAAGGGCAAATTCTAATTGAGGCAACGAATAATGTGTAGAAAAATTTGCAGCTTCTCGGGCATATTCAGTCAGTGCTTCTTTATTAATGTTTTCTAGTGCTAATAATTTTGCTACATCAGCATAATCCTAATTTAAACCATAATAAAGATAATAATTACACGTATATAATTAACAAAGCTTTGGTATATGATTGAAAATTTTTACAAAAAACCTTCACATACATTTAAAATAACTCCTTTATCTATCAAACTATGTTTTTTTGCAGTCATAACAAAATAATGAGTTTCGTCTTTATAATAAACAATATTTTCTAAATCAATACCAGTTTCATGATAAAGATCTTTAAAAAATTTTTGATTAAAAATAAATGCTACTCCTGATATTTCTTCTACTCTTGCCTCAGCTTCTGTATGTTTGTTTATAAAGTTGGCAGTGATTGCAATAGCTAATCTACCACGAAATTCTTTTCTTTTAAAACCTAGAAACAAATAGACAAAATTAATATTGAAACGTGCAATATTTTTTAACTGTAATTTTATACCTTCTAGTGTATTTCTTTTTCCATCAGCTCCAATTAGAACATCAAATTCATACTGTGAAACAGGATGATTTTCGGGGCTAAAGATAGCTCTCCAACCAATTTCTATAAATATTTATTTAAAAAAAATGAGTATTAAAAAATAATTAAATTAATATGTAACCAAAGAATACCAAAATAGTTATTTACTATCTTATTAAGATTAAGGTTAAGGATAAGTTACCATTGTTTTTATCTTATTTAGGTAAAATATAATATTACTAGAATAAAAGAAAAACTAAAACACATTACAGTCAATGATTATGTCATATTTATTAATTTAAAATGTATGCATACATATTTGTGTTACTATCCATATTTATCTTTAAATAAATGTTATGATCTACATATTTCTAATTATAACATACTTTCATCATTATCGGGCGGCGGAGAAAGAGATTCAAAGCTGACACCTTCGTGAATTTCAACACCCAAAATCAAAGACACTTTAAGTAAAATACATTGAAGTTGTCTTATACCTGTTAACAAACAGTACACAGTATAGCTACTGAAAAAATATATTTCAATGATTCAAAAATAACACATACTTATATGATCAATTGCTCCTGCACAGAACTTTCCAAAAAACTTTTTAGCACCCAGGCTTTTTAGATCTTGAATGACAAAAGGCCAAAGATGAAGCACATTGTGTCTGGAAAGACGATCTCTTTTTTCAATAACAACAACTTTAGCACCCAATAACTGAGCTTCGATTGCTGCACGCAAGCCACACGGTCCAGAACCGATAATTAGTACCTAGGTTATAATAGCTCAATTAATATAAGACAAACACTTACATGTATTCACACAAAAAATTTGGAACAAACTATCAAAAAAATAAGTGTTGTTACAGTATACATTTTCTTTTTTTTTTTATTTACTATACTTTTATAACAGTGAATCTGTCTAGAAACCATCATCACATAATGGTAGCGTTGGGCCTTAAAGGCTCGTTAAGCTTGATTATGATGATACTTTTATAACCAAATTAACAAGACAAAATAAAAGGAAGATTATTTTTTTGTGATTTTCGCCTACTTACTGATGAGCCATATCACACGTGTTCGTTTAAAAATTGTGTAGTTATACACACTGTTTGTTTTAAGAAAGTGTTAATTTGGTGTATACGCTTTCCACGCAGGTGGAAATGGAGATGTATCAAATTTTCGGTGTAAAGCCAAAAACATTAGAGACGTTTGTTTTAAAACAGCACACCCTACACCGCCTCTAATACACAACACTATTAGTGCATACACCATTTTTTAAAACGTGTATACTTATAAAGCGGTTGAAAAAGTGTTGCCAAATTATTTTAGGTAATAATATTGGGCATGCTTTTTTAATAAATTACAACTCAATTATAAATAAGTAACAGGTGTTTTTGATACAAAAAACACATAAAAATAAAAAAAATAGAAATGTTTACATATTTACCCTTGTGTTCATACAAGCTTTGCCGCGATTATAACATTTATGACTTGCTTTTTTGTCAAATTTATTCCACAATGCTTTCGCTTTCCATGAACATAACATAGTCTAAAAAATACAGATATTATCAAAATGTAGAGTAGTGTTGGGACTAAAATTTGGATTTCTCTGATATCAGAAATGTAGATGTATTCTTAAATACTGATACTTTAAAAAACTATATACAGGGTTTCTAATATCTCAATACGAAGTAAATTCAAGCAAGTTGGGCCTAAAAATCCTAATTTTAGGATGTGTAATCCTAGTTTTGCTTAAAATTTAAGTTGACTCGGGTAAAAAAAAAAAATTATCGTTCCTTACACCTACATTTTTGGTCGATCTTACATGATTAATCCCAAACAAACCTATACTTAAAATAATGAAAAAAACGCATTGTCTTGCCCTCCGAAATATTGTTCTCTTTTAATTTTATAATGGATGTTTTTACTCTAAATCCAAATTTAAGCGAGTTATTTTCAGTCTGCTTAAACAAGTAGAGATGAAAAAACATTTTTTAATCGCTTTCAAGGATGCTGTGATAGTCTAAAATTAAAATTAACTACCAAAATAGAGCCTTAGTTATTGAACTAATAATTACACATTTTAGTTTAACCTTTAAATTAAGATATTGTAATAAATTGCCTATACTTTACTCCTTAAAAATGGGTGATGCGACGCCCTCTTAAGTGGTAATATATTTAAGTTATAATAAATATTTATGTATATACTATTATTGTGTTCATTTATTATTTATTGCTGCATACTAGGGTTTTTAAATAGATTTTTTGGGAACGAATAACTAAATAACGGTTTTAAAAAACAATCCTAACATAAGAATATTAAAAGAAAACAGCGTGTTTTTGAATGGTTATTTTTAACTATTAACTATTATTGAAGGTAACAGCAAAGAGATAACAACTTAAAGGTTTTGCAATAAATGAAACTTGTTTATGTTTGTCTCAAAATTGAATGTGTTTATTTTCTGTTACTAAAAAACTAAATTATAAATTATGAGACGTTTTATTGTTATAACAATTACATACAATCATCAAAAATGATAATAGTAGATAATTAATAATAATTATAAAAATGTATCCATGTCAGAATTTCATACAAATATTTATGAAAATGTATCATTGCAATTTGCACATAATGAAAATCACTGTCCATTTAGCTAATTGGATGTAAAGTATACGGAAAACAATCGAGTGATGTATTATTTAGTTTTTTATTAACAGAAAATAAACACATTCAATTTTGAGACAAACATAAAACAAGTTTCATTTTTTGCAAAACCTTTATGTTGTTATCCCTTTGTTGTTACCTTCAATAATTGTTAATAGTTAAAAATAACACGGTAAAGATACTGATCATACAAAAACGCGTCGGCCATCTTCTAAATATGTAATGCTATAATAATTATAGCATAATTATTGGAACATGCCCGTCACTTTTTTGTTTACATTGTTAAGTGACCCTTCTGTTTTAATCTATTCTGTACGTATACTCTATAATACAGGTAAATACAGAAAATTACCGCAAATACCAAAGTTGTCGGTAAATACCAAAAATACGGTATTTACCGTTGCCTAACCGTTACCGGTAATATTTAAATACCGCATTACCGGTATTCAAATATAAAATACCACCAGCCCTACCGCTAGCGAGTACACGGTTTTTATTAATAGAACATGTTTTTTTTTTCGTACCATTAACAGTTTCGTTTCATAACAGCATTAAAATATTGACAGCAAATCAGATTAAAAAAAATTGTTTTATTTACCTATTCAACTTCTTTTTACAGAATATATTTTATACTAAACAACTATATAATTTATAGTTGCTATCTTTTCTATGAGTTTATAATAATAAATAATTATGCTTGGTATATTTTCTAGGGTATGGTGCATTATGGTGTAAATAGATTTTAGTTATAGTTCTAGTATACTAGATTAAATGCAATATTTAATACAAGCTAGTATTGCTAGACACAGTAGAATAACAGCTACTGATGAGTAATGACTATAATGAGCTAAACTGGCTTTAATTTATAAATGTTGTTTGAGTTGGGAAGAAAAGTTTTGAAGTTATAATTATTTTATTACCCGCTCAAAATTGATAACAAACGAGTTTTTATGACCCCAGAAAACTGTGAAAATCTTAAAACTTAAAACAAAATTTAATACTGGGAGCTTGGAGGCTGGATAGATTAAAAATCTACATGAATCAAATCAAAGATAACCACGTATTATCTATTATATATATTTACACACGTCTTGTCTTCTCGTAGTAATTTAAATTACGATTTTTTTTAATGATTATTTTTAAGTTTATTTGTTTTAAATCGTATAATGTATTTCTTATATAAATTTAAATGTAAAGTTAATATAATAAAAATAAAATTAAACAATGTTTTTTTTAATAAAATGTAATATTTATTTTTTATAAGCTATCGAAAAAAAAACATATTACTCACCCTTAGTTTAGGATAAAACTGAGGAAAATTAGTAGGCTTAATGCGCAGTATTTCACACAAATGTCGAAAATGTCCAAGTATAGTTTTCATCGTAGAAGCCGTGCAAAACCTATCAAAAATATCCGATGCCAGAGCTGCATCGGCTGTAGGCAGACTTTTTCGATAGTGCGACGCCATATTTAGTTTCTGTAACAACAAATAAAAAGTAAAACATTTAAAATAAAAACATATATTGGTCATTCCAAGTGAAATCACCTGATGTGTGTGCGACTATAGTTCAAAACTGTTTGAAATTTTTATCATACCTTCTTTAAAGGTCCTTAATTACAATAAAATGTTTACAGTTTTTCTTTTTGAAAACATTTTTGTTTGCGCTAAATTACTATAGTAGACAATATTCAAATTTTTATCTTTTAATATTATCATTATATTGTTAATTACGATAAATGTACATAATTACGGTACAACGGTAATGAATTAATATAGACAGATGATCAACCCTAACCGTACCCTCTCTTATACTCAAAATATAATTTTAAGCGTATAATAGCTTTCACAATGTTTTTATCAGTTTTTGTAATTGTACCACCTACAGAATAGCATCAAAGCGTTTATTTGTAACTGATATTATTACTTTCAGTTGTATAATTTCTGTGTACTTGTGACCACCTACGCCCTAACAAATTATGCCCCACTATTACCCAGTATTACTAGTACTGGCTTTATCAGTTTAATTTAATATATTAATACACACCCCTAAATAGAATCAGAATAGTGAAGAATATGAATCCCACACTACAAAAGTTAAATAAAAAATAAAATTGTATCTAACAGCACATATTTAAATTTATAGATTACCGTCACATAGCACCGATGTACAAATGCTAGAATGGTGGCGCCAAAAACCAAATTAGAATGTACCACGAATCCACGACCTAAATCCCATTAATACTGCTCTTCAATTTAGTATTTCTTTAAAAGGTAAAGCACTAAAAAAAATGAATTAATTGAGTTACTTATATTTTTTTAAATAACCCACCATTTTTTTTTTATAATTTATATAGAAATCTAAACTTTTTACGATCATGTAATAAATTCTCAAATTTCCAGTGTTTTAGAAAAAATAAGATAAGAATAGTGTCCGGAAAAATGTCGTCTGGCCTTATGCCACACGCACTACTATCGGCGGATGCCAACTATTTAGGACACTACCAATTGCGATGTTTTTAACAAGGTGTTACTTGGCATTTGGTGAATTCAATACATTTACTAGATAGCCATAATTATTCGGAATTATCATTGGGCTAATATACGTTAAAACATTATTTGATAGCATAACATGTCAGATTTAACATATAAGTTTCATTTTTAATTGCATAATTCTGAGAATCTGAGGTGCTCCAACTTTGTATAGTACAATAAAAGCAAGACCGCTTGAAAAATTACAAGTAATAACTTTATAGCAAACAGTAAACTGTATAAACTAGATCAAACAAAATGTTATACTTAAATAAGGTTTGTCGCTTTATTATACTTAATAACGATAAAACATAACGGCATAGTACGACATAACTAATTATATATAATTATTATATTTACTATATAATTAATTGTTTAATTTGAATTTCTTAAATTATAATGGTTTTATTACTTGAAGAATTTCGTGCAATTTGAAAGACGCGATTAAAGCATTGTTCATAACAATTAAGCAAGTTCGTTAGCAGTGTTAGGGTCGGTAAGCGGCCACCATTATTCCTTATAATATACACACAGGATAAGCGTTGCTTCAGCTATAATACAGGAGATGATAATATTAGACAATCAGACCGCATAATAACATTCATAACGTGCACAAACGCGTTGTGAAGTCCGTAATTTGCTCTAATTAGTTCCATTACGTTATTATAGTAACCGAGATTTTCCCAATAATTCTATCCGGTCCGACGAACGCCTCAAAAGTACAGCTAGAAATTCGGATTTATTATCTAGCTTGCGGTTTCCAAACAAGTGTATAAAGAGAGATCACATGCGTGCGGGATTTTGCCTACAATCTGACTATAGTGAGCCACTTTCTTTTACCGGCGATAAGACGATTCTGCGGGTTCCCTATAATTAATTGACCGAGTAAATACAGACAACAACCCCGAGGCTTAAGAATACAACGACCGCGCATGACCTTGAGAAAATATCAATATAAATTCATTAACGAAATGACTATAGGACATGGGCAAACATTATAAATTATTTGTTTTAATACTTTCATAAAAAGTCCATTTATGTGATTCGCTAAATAGGCACGACTTAATAGGATTATTTGTTTAGTTGTGTTCATAATAGACTCGGAAGACGAGGCACATTTTTTTCTAGGTCACACCAGCGGATAATAATTGTATTTATTCATTGTAATGTGTTATTAAATCTGATTTCAACATATTTCGCTTATTACAATTTATGTGACCGCATTAATTTACAAACACTAATTTTGTACCTAATTGCGTAAATAATATTTTTAAAAAAGTATGATAATAAACATTACAGAAAAATGAGAGATGTACTTGTTATTAGTTATTACTCACTTCTGTACCGTGTGCAATATACCTCAGATATATTACAGCTGTCCGATAAAAAATACTTCCAAGGCTATACTCAAATTAAATAATAGTATATGAGCTTTATAAAAGAGTTATTGTCTTTTACAATAATTAAGACACTAGATAGTAAAATACCTAATATTTATACGGCAAATATAAGGTTTCAAAAGGCCTCATAACAATATATTATATTTTTATTATAAATAAATTAGTTTCAGTTAGGTATTTGCAGAAAAATAAATACCTAACGTATAAGATATTTAATAAAATATTACATAATTTGTATTTTATTGTTATTTATTATTATTTATATATTACTTTAAAAGTAGACCGATTTACAGCTGAAATAATTGTGTATTAATAGTTCATGGTCAAGGAAAAATGAAGAAAGGAGAAAAACGTAAATAACAAATTATAACAATAGTTTTAATAAATGAAATAGTGATTTTGTGGTATTTGCTCTAGTTTGTTAAACAAAAGGTTACTAAAAAAAATTGTTTTACTAGTATTTTTAATTTCATACTCGGTGACATCCTTATATGAACAATTAACAAGAACTACACAATTAATATTATATTATAAGCGTTTTTTTACATTTATAAAATATACGATATTCATTACGTAAAATAGTTGAAATCTATACAAAAAGATCTTTAACGGAATGAAGTAATTTATGTATGTCTATTATGGTATCTCAAGGTCTTTGAGATACGAGTAAAATGCGTCAAACCAATATTATTCTTTGTCCATATCATATTATATTCGGAATATAATCACAACATTTCTTAGGATTTTCTATCAAATGAAATCAACATTGAAGTGCAAATTGTTGGCACAAAATCAAAAACGGTCAAATTCTTAAAACACGTTTCAAAATGCCAAAAATAACTTATCTATATCACTACATTAAAAAAACTTCAACAGACTATTTCCTGCAGTACAACGCATTATTCAAACTGATATAAGTGACAAACGTGTATGAATCTAACCCTATTGTAACTCGAAGTTTAATGTTAACTGAACTGGAACATTGGACAGGATGGTCTACGGCAATAGAGATAATGATAATAATATGAAGGTATAGCATGGAAATGAATGTCGCAATGATTTTTCTGTTTGATGACCCCTGAGTATAGTCGGTATAATCACATAACCCTCCTACATGGCAAGCATCATAAAGTAAACAAAGGATATCAACCCACTACAAACTACATTGCGTGAGCGATTGTAAAAACATTTAAAAATAAGGACCTTCGCACAAAAAAAAAATGTATTTAAAATACATTTTACTGCATATTAAGTCGCACAGTAATCATAAAAATAGCTTAATGTTAGTCATAACTCTTAAACTAACAATATTTTGTAGCAAAATTCGTAGATGTCCAAAAAAATAAGTTAAAAAATGAATAAAAATAAGTTTTTAATAAATTTGCATTTATTAATAAAGCAGATAATTCTAAAAAGTCGTTAAATTAATCAGGATTTTATTTTTCCATACTAAAGATAAATCTTAATTTTATTTTAATTTTAAATATAATACAATTATTATGATGGTTAAGTTAATATTAAGCATCGGGATTTAAAGTTTTTTTTCTGCTGATTACACCTGCAGGAATATTAGGAAACAATATTAGCTTTCTATAGTATATTTTCAAAATTAATTATTTATAATAGCTTTTTAATTTATAATCTTTTTTTACATCTTTCGAATGTGGCATAAAAGTCCATTACATTCAGATTTAGTAAAAATAGAATATTTAAATTAAAAACAGCAGGCTATCATCTAATTGTTTAATTTGTCATTTCTAGTCTAAATCCTCATTCATTTCTTGCTAGCATGTTTTACTTAAATTGCAAATTTTAAATGAGGATATTGATTGAAAAAACAAAAACAATTAGTTTTAATATATCTTAGTAGCAGCATAGTAGCATACTAGTCAAATTTAATTAGTAACACTGTATTATTTAAAATTTCACGAGGCATTGACTAGAGGGCTCAAATTTACAATAAAGTCAAAAGATGACACAAATTGAATAACGGAAAACATAGTTATAACGGTATTGAATGGTAATTGAAACTTTTTTTTTCTCATATTAAGTTTAGAAAAAATAAAATAGGTGGTATTGCCTCTTGTGTTACGATACAATAAAAAACCCCTTTTATAGATAAAATAAAATGTTTTATTACTATCAATTTTGGACTTCACATGTTTTACCCTAGAGCACTAGAAAATTCATACATTATACCAGTGGAATATTAGTTGACTGCAGGGGGGCAGGCGTGTGGTGGATTGAGATAAGGTGGCAGTATACCAACGCACTGTCACCCGTTCGAAAGTTGGCTACTGGCGGTTTGTTCCTCCAGTCGGGCAACTGTCTGGGGAGAGAAATGACCACCTACACCTTTTCTGGAGAAAACTTGTTTGGTAGCCATCTTTAGGCTCAAAAATGCTAAATCTAAACCGTTTATGCGCCAATCGTTGGGAGTAGCAAACGTAAAAACATAAAAAAAAAATAATCGCTGATTTATAGTTTTTTTTCGCTTACTTGTACAACTACTTCATTTTTATTCAGCAGTGTACAAATAAAACAATTCACTTAAAAATACTTGGTAAATTAATTATTGAATGCCTAAATGTTTTTCTTTTGCACGTATAAATATAATGTATAACACACATACAAATTCACTATGAGTGCAGGGGGGAATTTTTTTCAAATTACTTTTAATTTGTAATTACTAATAATTAATAATGTTAATATGTATTAAAATTATAATATTTAACATAAAAGATAATAATGTACTTTTGTGCATGAAGGTATCTTTTGTACAAATAAAAAATTGATGTATATAAATACAGATACCTAGTTATATTAAAAGTATGAACATCCTGGTCATTTTTTTCGCTCCTTTTTAAAATAGTATCATGGTTAGTTTACTACTATGAAATCCACAACTATCAACTAAATTGAATCAATTGACATATTAAGTTATTGTTTATATACAACATAGATAATTTAGCGTATTCAGAACTATTAAAGCTGACAAGCCATACTCACATTAACAACTGATATAAAAACCATTAAAAAGTAAGTGATGTGAAATGATTATTGGGAAAAACCTAATAAAAAAATTCAGTATAAATATTAGCCTATACTCTACAGTTCATCAAATTTGGAAAAATTAGTTATTTATTACCAAATTGTTTAACCTATTTAGTAAACGAAAAATTGTACTGACCTCTTTTTAGTTTTTTGAATACAGCTACATAATATTGTGTAAAATAATCCAAATTTTTTCAAAACGACAGTTTAAGTGTATTTTTAATGTTTCTACATAGTTCTTGAACAATTATTTTTTAAATGAAATGTAGATTTTATATGAATAATAAAACGAAGACTAAAAAGGTACTACTAAATCCTATTAAACTATTTTCCTTATCATTTAATTAATAAAAAAAGATTAAATAGAAGAAATACTAGAAGTACTCGAAAATATAAATAAAGAAAAAACTAAACAATAACTATTAAAATAAAATACATTTTGATCAAAAATAATTTTACTTAATCACAGTACGAAACTAGTAACAACGACCATTATGATAAACAAAATAACATGTTATGAAGAAACGAAACACCACGCAAGGGCGGCACGAGGGCTGCAGTGCAGACTGCAGCTGCAATAGCGAATGTGTATTAAAATCAATGCAATATAGCAAGTTTGTCGGGTATATAATCTAGAAGTACGGAGCGACGGCAACACTGTATAATATAATACCGCGTAAATTAGACAAAATATACTGACTACGGTCTACTACAATTATTATTTTTACATCTAAAATATTTTATTTTTATTTTAAAATAATTTAACAATTATCCAACTGTCTCAGTGTACATTCAACAAAACTATGAAAGAGGGGGACGCGAATTCATACTACTCGTGACTCATTAGGGCTTTGTCTGGTACATGATAATTTAGTCGGATAAGTGATAACGGATTTATAGGAATTATTGTAGTTTGTACCCACAGATAAATATAATAAACTAGATTGCTAACTGTAATACCACCAATAGAGAAGATTGAAGCAGCCACTTTCGGCCATCCTGGTGAGAATTAGAATCTTATCACGCGAAAATAATATATGATTATAACAATCACATATATATATATTATTGATACAATAGTATATACAGATGTATAATATATGCATTGATAACACACATAAATCCCACCAGAATGGCGGACTATCGGCTTCAATTCTTATCGCTAGTTAGCAATCTAGTTTATTATATATATCTGTGTTTGTACCTATCTACTATCTAGTATCTGCTATCTATGTAGGTAATCTGGTAAAGCCAATAGGTATTATACTTGCATCCACTAAGTACAATTATTTACTCGTTTTTTAAGTGTACTAGTTCGTTATGAAACGTATTTCAATATGTTAAAATCAGAAATGTCCAGAAACTATTGCAAATTTCAGTAAACATTTGAATAGCAGTTAGACACTCAAAGTTCCTTATCATGATTCATAAATCGCATGGTGTTAAATTAAACGGGAAAACTTAAATTTCATAATTTTTATTTATTATGGGTTAAAATCGTTAATGCAATTATGTGAGATATTCCATATATTTACTACAATTGAATAGTGATCAGTTATAAAAAATGTACAAGTATATTTTATTGCCCATTTTGCCCACAAACACTTGTTTGTGGTGGTATACTATTAAATTCTCTTAAAAAAAAATTCATTCTTGAACAATAATTTACAATAATTTGTCTATAATACTAACAGGAATAAATATCAACAATTACATAAATGATTTTAAACAATTATACATTTCTTTTATTGTAAGAATAAAACACAATAATAAAGATTTAACTTTTAAGAATTATCAATAGATGTAAGAAGATTTATTAAACGTATAATTTGATAATTTAAATCGGGAAAGTCATTTTTCAAAGTCTCTACAACATTTATTATATCTGCATTTTTCTTCCAATTAGTTGTAATTTCTTCATTCATTTTTTCTTCATTTTTAATTAGCAACCGATATTTTCCTTGTTTTATTTCATCCAAATATTTTGCATAATTTTGCTTCTGACTCAACTGTTCAATGTTCTATAAAATCAAATACAACTAATATGTTAATATAATTAAAAATTGTGAATAGATCGTATAATAGATATTACATTATAACTGTACAATTACTGAGTTGTAAGAATTTCAGAATTATGATTTATGACAAATGAAAAATTGAGCTATATGCTTAATAATACTTCTTAGTAGGTAAATGTAATCACTGTCAATCACATTAAAAAATAAACATGTCATAAAAAATTCTTAGAGGAATGAAAATAATTATGAGAAAATTCAGGAAAAATTTTTTTTCAGAAAAACTAAAAATATGCACTGTGTAGCAATGGCAGGTTAAGTGGTACATACATTTTTTTTTTTTAAACTTGTCTACTTCAAAAAATTAAAAATAGATATACTGTAAAAATACGTCTATATTATTATGGCAAAAATAATTAAAATTATCCATACTTTTAAACATTTATTGCTATTTAATAATATTAATAATATTTTTGGTGTAGTAGCTGTTTGTTAACTCCCCCTCCCAGTTATCATTATTTACCAACACACCACAAACTTGTACTATTGTTTAACACATATTCATTACGATAAATTATATTATATTATTGATTTACATACTTTTATTTTCATAGCACAGGTATATTCTGTTTCCTGTACTAGGCTATCAATATCTTTTTTTATCTGGTTTAATTCCTCATTCAAAAAAATTAGTTTACTTTCTAATTCCTCTTTTCCATTTTGTAAGTCCTTTACATCTCGATCCAATTTCTTACACTCCTAAAAAACCATAACACATGCATATTAATAATATAACAAATTTATTATACTTGACACATACAAGTTTTATTAATACTAGTGTGTTTGCATCATATCTAACACTTCAAAATCCAATATTAAAATTTAATTACAATTTTAGATTTTTGTATACTCATTCGTAGATCGTCAAGTTTCTTCATAAGTTTTTGTTTTGTCTCATTTTTACCCTTAAGCCGAACATCCTTTGCCGCAACTGTGTTATAAATCATTTCGCGTCTGGTTATACAACCTTCTAAATCAGACATTATTTTCTCTAATGTTTTTTTCAACTGGCTTTCTCTTATCTAAAAAATAAAAATATACTACAATGTTTAAAATTAATTGGTATTTAAGTGAAACACAATTAACGGAATTAAATTTAATGATACATTAAAATATATTGTATTGTTTTAATTGATATTTTGTTGTTTTTTGGTTACTTTTTAAACTAAAAGAGAATAGGACCTTAGTTAGTTTATATATGTAAACAAATATAGGTCCATACAGGTGACATACTTGCATCCTATGTATTTCATTTTTCATAGCATCAATTTCTCCTGAATCACCTTCTTTTTGATGAATTTCTTTTTTCATTTCAATAATTTGCTTGATTTTATTATCCCATGATATATTTTCTCTTTGTTTTTCTAAATATGTATTTCGCATTTCATCTAATTCGTTTTTTATCGTTTTTAAATAATCGGTATATTCCAAACAACGTTGTTCATTTTCCTAAAATGGCATTGTTAGATATAATTTTTATACTGTTACTATATTTAAGAAATTGTTAAGCATGTACTTATTTTATTATTATAACAAATAAAATAGTGTATTAGAAAACAACAATGTATCATTTGCAAATAACCTTTAATTCTGCTATGTATGCATTCTGTATCCATTCATTTTCAATTGATAAATTACTACTTTTCCCTTTACTTTGGCTAAATTTCTCATTAAACTTTAGTATGGCATTTCTCATATTAACAAACTTTCGTTTGTATTGATCAGTTTCTTTGCATAAACGAGTAATTTCTTGTTCTAATTTAACATTTTTAGCTTCTACCACCATAGTGTCTATACAAAAATAAAATTATCATTCATATTATAATATTAAAATTGGAAGCAGACTGGATAAGGGGTTTTAGTCCTCTGGCACAATTTTTACTCTCCAAAACAAATTATTATTATTTTATTGCTATCATTAATTAATGATTATGAAAATTTTATCAGATCTACATAAAACCATTTTTTTACTAGCCTTATTCAAATTTAGACTCTTCTGTTTTGATTTGTGCCCGATTAAAATACAAATACAACATATTGCAATTTCACAAATTAATATTATGAGACGTAGTATAGTCCCTAAACTAAAAATAGCAAAATAAACAAAAAAAGTTTATGGTCCGGGTTATCAATGCTTCACAAAAAAACAACAATAACTGTGCATTGTTATTTACAATAAAACTTTAATTGTTTAGCCAAACATTTGATCTAGTAGTTAATGTAGGTTCTTACATTTGCGAACTTTATTAAGTTCTTCTATTTGTTCATTTCGTTCTTGAGTCAATTGCATATTATGACTTTGTTTTTTTAACCAAGACTCTTTGAGAACATCAATTTCATTACCAATTTCTTCTATTTTTTTTTTTACTTGAACAACTTGTAATTGAGGAGTCATCACATTACCCTCCTATGAAAAAGTGAATATTTAATTAGCATTAACTATATCTATTAACAATAACATCATTCTTAATTAATATTTGAACCAACCGTGTTCTTATTAAATTTGAAGCAAATTTTTATAGAATGATCAACAGTATTATGTAACATTGTTATACGAAAAATATTGTAAAAAATAATAATGGCTTAAAAAAGGTTAATTTTACAAATTTTCTGCATACCCTATTTGTACACACATTCCTGGAGAGAACGAAAAATTAACTTTTTAGAAAACTTCAGTACATTATACATATTTATTCACATATTTTGTAAAAAATATTCAATGATGCTACCGCAAATAAAAGGTTTATAACCTAACTAAATTTATAACCAATTGAAATATATTGAGATGTTGACACAAGAACACATTTATGCAGTGAATGTGTTAAGTGATATATATATATATATATATATAGGGTGTTCCAGAAAGCAGCCACATTTTGAAAATTCTATAACTTTTCTAATATTCGTCCAAAATAAAAATATCACATACCATTGTGTTCAGGAAGTCTTGAGGTTTATGTGTGGAACATACCATCGGGCATATGATCATCCCTGCTCGCCCTACAGCAGGCCATCAATTTAACGTCCATGAAATTTCAGATGACGCGTTTGCAGATTTCGATGTCTAGGTCATTCCATCCAAAACTGATTTCCTGATTTCCGTGGCCACCACGGTGTTGTGACCTGCCAATTTTTCTTGACTTTACGTATCCCCATAAGAAAAAGTTGCAGGGAGTCAGGTCACAAGACCGTGGTGGCCACGGAAATCAGACGAGTGATGGGTGCTATAGACGTCGAAATCTGCGAACGCGTCATCCGAAATTTCATGGATGTTGAATTGATGGCCTGTAGGGCAAGCAGGGGCAGTCATATGCCCAATGTTATATTTCACACATAAACCTCAGGACCTCCTGAACACAATGGTATGTTATTTTTTTTTTATACAAATATTAAAAAAGTTATAGAATTTTCAAAATGTGGCTGCTTCCTGGAACACCCTATATATTTTAGAAAATTACATTACTGACATTAAGGTATACTTAAACGAATAAAAATAATTATTTAGAAAAAATATATATAAATCATACTAGCCTAGATAACTTATAAAAAACTTACACCAAACTTTTTTTTTACAGCTTCCAAATGCTTGGTTTCTACATCAACTTGTCTTGATTTTCGTTCAATTTCAGAGTACAACTTATTTAATTCAGATTCCAAATCAATCATTACTTGTCCTTTTTCTTTCATAATCTTTGTATTTTTATCTATTTCTTTTTCTAAATTAGTAATAAGAGAGCGATATTGTTCAGATTTCAATAAGATTTGAGAGAGACTATTTTCAGATTGAACTAGCATTAACTCCTAAAGTATAATACATATCAGATTAAGTTGAAGTTTTAACAAAATAAACTTAATTAAATAAAATAATGTTTGCATTTACGTGTTCCTTGTTTTGTGTTTTAACTTCATTAATTTTGTTATTCATATGAATACAATGTTTGTTTGCAAATAATTGTTTTTTTAATTCGTCCACAATTTCATCTTCATATTTTAATTTCTGATTTGAAATTCTTTCTAGCGAATGCAATGATACTTCCATCTCTTTTTTAATTGATCTTTGTTCCTAAAATCATTTATTTTTATTTAAATACTACCTAAAATCAGAGTTATGCATCATTCGAATAAAATGTTATCTAAATAATCATTGTTTTATTCAAATAATTTTTCTAGTGCACAACTCTGTCTAAACAATATTTTTAATCAACAATTTTTCTTACTGCTGATAAGTCATTTAAATTAATGTTTTGAAACTTTATGATTTGTAATAGTTCAGAATGCTCATCTCTTAATTTGTTTAATTTATTTAAACAATTGTTTAAGTTTTGCTGTAAACCGGATTGCTCTCGTTTTAACTTATTTAATTTAGTAGTGAAATCTTCATTTTTTTTTATTTCTTCTTGAGCACTACGTTTATAGCTGTTTGCTTCTAATAATATTGTCTTATATCGATTTTTCGCTTCCCTAGAAATTCATATAAGATATATAATTAAATTGAATATTTTAAAATATTTAAAACAATTATTGATGGCACAAATATGTACTGTAAGTCATTTTTTATTTTATGGAACTGTCGATCACGCTGTTGAATACTGATTAAAACTTCATTCCACAGCAATGCAATTTTTGTATTATCTCCATTTATAGTATCAAGATCAGTTGAGCAGTCCATGACTTTTTGTTTTAACAATTCTTTTTCATTATACTTGGTTTCTGCTTGTTCTCCTAACTGTTTGAGCCGGTCTTCCAATCGTATAATTTCTTGAGTTAAAGACAATAATAACAAATCCTATTTTCAAAAATAGTTTTTGTTAGCAATAGCTCTTTTATATACATATAAAGGAGTTATGTTCCATTTATCTTACCTGTTTCTGTTGCTCATTTAACAATCTTTTTTTATGATATTTTACTTGTGATTCTTTTTGATTACACAAAACAAAAGTTGATTCTTGTTCTTTCTCATATTTTATTAGTTCATTTAAAAGCCCTCTACTGCAATCTAATTGTCTTTTTAAATCTGAAACTAATTAAGTACAACTTAATATTTTCGTAAAAAGTTTATTAAATAAATTTATTTAGTATTACGTGTTTTAGTTTCTTCTGCTATGATTTTGAAGAGCTCGATAGAGCGTTCTTTTCCTCGATCCTTATGTAGTTCAACTTGTTCTTTTGCTGTTTTCAACTCGGATTTAATTTTATGCAACTTGCTTAATGATGTATTCTGAGTTTCCGCTTGACAAACTAGTGTATTTATTTGATTTCCAATTGATAGTTTATCATTTTGCTTAGTTTTTACTACTCCTTCCTTAAAAAAATAGTGTAAAAATCTCTTCCTACAATATTGATTATAATTAACTATTGAAACATATTATATATATATATATACATATTATTTCAATAGAAAAGTTATAATTTATTAATTATTTACTTACCAGGGTTAATATTTCTTGACTTAAACCATACTTTTGTTTTAGTAAATGCTGTTTAAGAGTATTTTGAAACCTCATCATTACAGGATTTTCTGGTTCTAGAACCACCAACTGTGGTTTTTCCAAATCGGTGTCTTTTAATTTAGATTGTGTGCCTATGATACCATTTTTTATACTTTCTGAACCTAAAGAATAAGGAGTTTTATCCTCTAAATTATTTGTATGCGTTTCAGTCTCTACATCTTGTGCTTGGTACTCCTCATCAATATTTTCAAATTCTAAAGATAGATCACCTACTACGGATATATTTTCCGATAACATATCAACTTTTTTGTTGTGTTCTAAATCTTTTTCAGTTGGAAATTCATTTAACTTCTCCACAAATGTTTTTATTTCATAGTTTACAAAACCATCTAACGGCAATTCAATGCCACTTAATTCATATTTTTTATGACTATCACCATCAATAAGTTGTTCTTCATGTGAAGTGTTTTCAAATTCATCAAAAAAAGTAAGTTCCTGAGTTTGAGTATTTTCAATATCACTGTATTTTAAATCAATTACTTCAGTATGTTGGGCAGAATCTTGTTGAGATTTGTACTCATGTTCTTCGTTATACCACTCATGCTCTCTAATGTGCTCAGTTTCCTCACCTAATATATCATATTCCGACATATATTGTTCATCCGAGTTAGCCATTTGCATAACAGCACTATCTACTATATGTTCATCTTTTTTTAGTTCACTTTCTTCTTTTGTACTTAAAAAATCCTCAGGTTCAGACATTTTTATTTCAATCCACTGATTGTAAAATAAAAATTATTATTCTATGTACACTTTATAAATTACCACAGTTTTAAAATTGTATTTGTTTATTTATTTATTTATGTTTTTATGATTAGAAGTTGCTATGACAACATTTAATAGGAAAATACACATAGAACACAAATAATAAGTCAGTGACTAATAAAGATAAGATAAAATAAAACAAAAATATCACTATTACAAATATTATAGTAGTATTTTATTCAATATTCACACAAAATAACTAATTTAATTGTTATAATTTATTATGTATAGCATATTTATAATATCATTTAAACATATTTTAACACATTGAGCTAATATAACATAGGGTATTGACTAAATTACAATATTGTTATTTTTACAATTTAATGTTTACTTCTCAAATATTTGATTCAATAATTATAATATGATACAATATGTATAAACAAAACAACAAATACATCATGATAATTCAATTAACATGTTTATATTAGAGTTATAAATATTCAACTTTTAAAATACTTAACATAACTTTCACACACATTAAATAAGTCTTCACAGTATAAAGTAAAAATCCTTAATAATAACCAAAAATTATTACGTTTAATATTGACTATTTTATACAAAACTAAAATATAATTCTATAAATACGAAAAACGCATCAAAGATAAAAAGAACTGAAAAGATAAATAGAAAAACATTACTAAATAAAAGATTGCAATTTATTAAATAAAAAAAAAGAAATAATAAAATTAATATATAAAATAAAAATTTACTTTATTAGATGCATGCTTTATTATAAAACTTGAAATAAAATAAAAATTGACCAAAAATTTGGTTTTTTTGTCTTACAATTTAATTCACAAAACAATAGGTAAAACTAAATAAAATCAGTAAAGAGAATTTTAATAATGTTAAAATGACTCAATATTGAAAAAAGTTTTGTTTTAAAAATATTATATTTAAGTAGAACCACATCAAATGACAAAAAAATAATTCAGTTTAAAAGCGATCTAACACATAACATTTCAATAGTAATGATATGACAATAATTTATTGTAATGAAAATATACCTTATTTACACTGTTTTCTATTTCCTTTTTTAAACACTTGAACAATTGATCATAAAAAATCAATTTTTGTAGTTTATATTATAAATAGTAAGTTTATCTACAGAAATACAGAATATACAAATAAATTCACTATAATATACATGTATTATTTTATTATAGTTCTAAGAAGTATGCTATGGTCGGTAAAAATACAAATATTTAATAAAGATGTTCATTTAATTGTTCTTGATTTTAAAACAGGAGAAAAACAAGTATTTATAAAATAATACTATACTTAAAAAAATTGTTATTATTAAAACTTGATGTTATTACTTATTAAACATATTATATGTTAAGTTGAAAATGGTTTTTTATTAGTATTAAGAATGATATAATTAATTTTTATAACCATACAATAATTTTAAATACAAAAAAAAAACACAAACCCAGATGCAAATAACAGTTACATTATATATTTAATACAATGATATTATAATTTATTATGTATACAGTTAAGCCGTTAATTAGTTATTTAATAAGCCAAAATTAATCAGTTCACACAAATGAATTAAAATTTAAAGAAAACCCGATTCATAATTTTGATTTATTAAGTAACTAAATATAAAAACTAAAAAAATATCTCAGCTATTATTGCATCAAAGCTAAAACAACAACAATTTTTATCTTTAAAATATGTATCATTGATTTTATAAAATTCCTAATTAATTATATATTTTTTAATCAAATATAACATACTTCTAAGAAATTATATGCTATTTTCTACTACTTGAAGATAAAGTATGGTAAGTATCTAAACTAGATTGAATTTGCTGCATATGAATTTCTACACAATTTTCAAATGATTTTTGATTGGATTGACTGAGTTTGAGTTTTATTTCAACCATAGTTCTTTTTAAAGCATCCAATTCATAGGCCGTAGGTTCATTTTCAGTTAATGTTTTTACCTGAAGCATTAGTGCTAATAAATCTTTGATTAAAGCTAACATTGGTTGATCATCAGCCACAAAACGAGCTTCTGTCACTTCTTTATTTTGTTCAATCATTTGTTCAGCTTCATCAAATGACTGATTTTGTAAGTAATCCGTGATTAACGGCCATGTTTCGGCTTCTTCAGGGGCTAATACTTTAATTTCTTCACTTAGCACGCACATGACAGAAGTTAAATTAAGGTTTAAATTATCTAATTCTAAAACAATTTTAGCATAACGACTTTGAAAATCTGGTGTGATTTCCTCATTGTACAGTGTCATTCTTTCTGCCTCAGAATTCATATTACGTAATGTTTGGACATATTGTTTTTTAGCAGTCAAAATTTTTCTAAACTTTACTGTTGATTCTAAAAGTTTCATCGAGTATTGCACCTCAGTGTTCTGTTCAATATTCACAGTTTCTAATTTAGATTCTGGCGATATAGAACGGTTATGGTAAGGTATTCGAGGACGACACATTTGAAGTAACAAATTTTTTGAAATTGTTTCTGCTGGTTGATTTGAACATACTTCATAATCAGGAACAGAATGTGTACCTAAACCAGGTTTATCGAAATGAATTCTATAAGTGTTATTAGAAACATCTAAAGCTTCAATTGTACCATTAAATAAGCCTTCCTCAGCTTTACTTCGTAGCATAGCTGTGACTTTAGTGCCTACAGTAAGCTGAAGTGGTATTTCATCGGGTATATCTTTAAATAAACCCTCATCTCTAGCCTTCCTTTGTTGTAAGAGTCTAATTTTTTTTCTTCTTCGGTCTAACTCACGAATCTCTTCATCAAAGAAATTTTGAGAACATCTCCGAGGTTTACCCATCATTCGTCGTAACAAACACCATTCCCTCCTAGTCATTGTTTTAATTTTAAAAGAAGGGAAAAAGTCTTGCACACACATCATAAAATCAGATTCATATAACAGAGGTTTATCAATATTACTGTAAAACCACTCATAATAAATCCAATTTTTTGCTTTTGGTAAATGAAAAATTTTACGTAGTTTCAGACCAACTTTTTGACATCGCTTTCGATCTACAGTATCTGATTTTGGTTTAGAAATAGATACTACATTTTTAGGAGTCTCAAGTTTTTGAATTTTCGGTTTAGAAATACCATTTTCAGTAGATTTTTTTGTGATACTTTTAACGGGTGTTTTAACATTAGGAGTTTTTAGCTTAATAGTCGGAGTAGTTTTAACAGACATTTTTGGAGTTTGTAATTTTTGATTTTGTATTTTATCTTGTTTAGGAGTTTTAGGTGTTTTAGGCTCAACTTTGACTTCAGATTTTTTTGGAGTTTGTTTCTTAGGTGAATTTAGGTACATCATACGTTCTTGTTTCACCGATGGGTTTTTTGAAGTGTTAAAGACTTCTTCATCAAAAAACAATTTGTTTTTTTTTCTTATACGTACTGGCATACCTCTTCTATTTAGTTTATCTTTTCCAGCACTTGATGAATCAATAGGTTTAGGAATATTTTTTTTGTTTACCGGTTGTAAGCCTAGGGCTGCTGGGCATAACTTAAGTTGACCATATTCATCATCCATATCACTGCTATCGGAATCCATTGTTGATTTTTAACAATATATAATAAGTATAAATACCTTAATTACTTAAATGATTGATTGTTCAAAATTCTTGTATTATTCAACACTCCACATTTATACATTTTCTTCTGTATAATAACATCTCCACATGATTCTAGAAGGAAATAATGATGATTAGTTACATTTAGTTAAAGCTAATGTAGTTATTTAAGAGCTTAACTGGAAAACAAATAATAATACAAAATAGAGAGTGTAACGCAAGGGTCATCCAGATTTTCTGCTTAGTGCAGCGCCTGTCTTTATCCAAATAAGTGAACAGTTATCAATACCGCCCAAACTATAACTTTATTCTAACCCAATACAAAGTAATAATCTTAAGTGTAATCTGAAGCTTAAAAAACTTGTAAAAAATATATAGATAAACAGTAATAAAAAATACAGTTATAGTGTTTTTAATGAAACATGTCCTTTTTTTTAAAGATATTTTTATATCCATTAAATAAAAATATTATTTAATATATTTTTTAAATCATACAGCATTTATACATGTTTTAATAAACAAATGTTTGTTATTATAATATACGCATTTCATTAATATATTATCTTTATTGAAAAATATTTAATACTTACAAAAATAAATAAATTGCTTTTTTTTACTGTACTTGTAGTATGTCAATAATTTAAGTGATTAAAATACATTATTTAAATGTAAACATTTGAAATGATAATAAAAGTAATGGTTTCATTTTATTATTGTAAATGTTCAACTATGATCTCCTGAAAATATATTGTAAAATGGTTTTAGATTCAATTTTAACATGGTATAACCCTAAAGATAAAATATATACCTACAAATAATACAGTAAATATAATACTTCTATTATAACTTCTCTATGAGCATTTTTAATTTTGCTAAAATTATTAGTTAATTAATTAAGTTATTTGAAAATTTATAACCAGTAACTATAATTATTAGATACTTATTATACTTTTATTTGAAAGAACTATTTTGTATAGAATATGAAAATTAGTGATGTAATTTTATCAGGTAAAAATGGGTTTGAACTTCAAAGTTCAACAATAACCAAAAAACCTACCTACCACATCCAATAACTGCAGTAAAAATAATGAGTTAAATTATCAAAATTAAGAACTTTAGTGAAGTAACAAGTTATTTTGAGCAATAAAAAAATATGTAATTAATTTTTAAATTAATATTTCAAGTACTTATGTTCCGTTTTTTTTTTATCTAGAGTGTTTACGGTTTAGGTTAAGTACAATATATAATAATCCCAGAATGAGAAAAATTGGAATTAAGTTCGAAAAATAATAGAAACGAAGTACTAGGTCAAGAAAATCATTTGAACGACTTCTATATAAAAGGAAATGGCGCAAACAACCATATCAGTTGTCATTTAAAAAATACTACCAAGATGCTTAACAAGGTATTTTCGAAGGAACAACATTGTACTCACATTGATTTGATACTTGCAAATGCAAAACTATTTCAACCGTCGTAAAGTCTGCAGTACAAATTATACACGAACAAATGATTATTTACAAATATGATTTAATTATTACAAATTCGTAAATTTCATAAAAATCGCGGAGGAATACATTTCCCAGTTTAAATTCCACATTATCGCCAGGCGCGCCAACTTCTCGTCGCAGACGCTAAACAGTGAAGGTTTATACAGGGGAAATGAGTTGTAATCAAACTATCAAGATGTCTACTAACAAAAAAAAAATCAATAGATTTTGTTGGTTATGTTCTAAAGATCGACATATTATCATGCTATTAACTATTATCACAATTCACAAAATTGTTTAAAGTTCCATTTTGTAATTTGTTCATATTTTATAAACTTTATATTAAAACATAGCTTAATGATTTTACAATAAAAATATTGTCAATAAAACTTAAACATTATGTATTAATTTGTGTTTTTATTATTGTCTGATATTTGCTACTTCTAAAGAAAATAACAATCTTACTACGGAGTAAAATTTTCTGCTACAACAAGGTACCTTATCCTTTTTTAAATATTATACTCTAAAAGCTACTACATAATAATCCTTTCTTATTTTAGCAAAACGCACACCTAGTTTAAATTTAAGGTTATTAAAATATTTAGTTGTTTTTTTTGCTAGAAAAACCTATGAAAAATTATTTATTTTTGTATTTATGATCAGGATCAGCCTGGCAGTTAAAGGGGTTTGGATTTTAAATCTCTATAATAGCCTCATAAAAAGTTTTACTTGTAAATTTTTACAGTTGTTTTTCCCTAGCAAAACTACATGTTAAGTTAAATATTCAGGCCTCCGAGACTTTCAAGGCCCTAACACGTTTGCGACCCTGGCCAGGCTTACCCTATTTATATACAAATGATACTAAATTAGCAATGTTTTTTTTCCAGAATCAAAAATTGTCATCAGTAAGTAACTATACTAAGCCAACAATGAACGAAAGTAGCAAACAATCAGAAATCAAGTTGGGGTTGATTGAAAATGAATTAGTCATTACCCATGAAAATAAAGATATAGCGATTATAAAAAAAGAATCTCTTAACAATACTTTGCCAACTACTGATGAATGTGGCAAACAATTAGAAGTGAATGTGGATCTTGTTGATAACGAATTTAGCATTACCAATAGAAACAAAGGTATAGCATGTATAAAGAAAGAGTTTATCATAGAAAAGTATGAGCCCAAATTAGCGGTAAATTGTATATCAGAAACAGATAAAAGCAAAATAAATGAAGATGAGCCTCCATCTAAAAAACAAAAATGTAGTAAAAGTGTGTTAAAAGGTCAAAACAAATCACGAAATTGTACTTACTCTCAAAACGTACATGACCATTTATGTTCAAATCTTGTTGAAGGCACTGATAAAGGTTCATGCCCTTATGACAATTGCAAATTTTTGCACGATGTTAAACAATATTTGGAAAAAAAACCTGATGATATTGACAATACATGTTATGTATATTCCTTAAAAGGTCGTTGTCCTAGAGGACTTACGTGTAGATTTGGTAGAAATCATATTAAAAATGAAGCTAATGTTGTAGATCAAGATAAATATGACATTTGGATACAAAAAGAAAGTAGTTGTAAAAGTTTAGGAAAAGAAAATATGTTTAAATTGCGTAAAAAAACATATGATTTTACTAAAAGCAATGAAGCTGTCAAAAAAATTGATAATAATAAAAATATTGGACCACTAATAGAAGAAAATGCTAGGCAAATAAATTGGAATAATAAATTATACTTGGCACCATTAACTACAGTTGGGAATTTACCATTTAGAAGGATTTGTAAGGAATATGGTGCTGATATTACGTGCAGTGAAATGGTTTTGTCTTCAAGCTTATTACAAGGTCATAATCAAGAATGGGCTCTAACTAAAAGACACGAGTCAGAAGATCTATTTGGTGTTCAAATTTGTGGTAATAATCCATACATGTTAACTAAAAGCGCACAAGTTCTTCAAGAAAATGTAGAAATGGACTTTTTAGACCTTAACCTAGGATGTCCATTAGATCAAATATATCGACAAGGTGCAGGTAGTGGTTTGTTACTAAGAAATAAAAAGTTAGAAGTTTGTTTAAAAAGTATGCGAACTGTACTTGATGTTCCACTTACTGTTAAAACCCGCTCAGGTGTAAGTAAAGATCAAAATTTAGTGCACGAGTTAATACCGATGTTCAAAGACAGTGGAGTTTCTCTTGTTACAGTTCACGGGAGATCAAGAGAACAAAGGTATACAAAAATGGCAGATTGGAAATATGTAAATGAATGTGCAAAGCTAGCTAGTCCTATACCAGTTTTCAGTAGTGGAGATGTAATGTCATATGAAGATTATGAAAATTCAAAAATTGAACACCCAGAAATTTCAGGTGCGATGATTGGTCGAGGAGCTCTAATAAAACCTTGGATTTTTAGAGAGATTAAAGAAAAAAGACATTGGGATATAAGTAGCAGTGAACGATTTGATATGTTAAAAAAATTTGTCAATTATGGCCTTGAGCATTGGGGTAGTGACACTAGAGGTGTAGAAACAACGAGAAGATTTTTATTAGAGTGGCTATCATTTTGTTATCGTTATATACCTGTAGGTATTTTAGAATGTGTACCACAAAAAGTGAATGAAAGACCTCCAAACTATAGAGGAAGAAACGATTTAGAGACAATTATGGCCAGTGGAAATTGTGCAGATTGGATAGAAATCAGTAAAATGCTATTAGGACCTGTTCCTGATGGTTTTCAATTTTTACCAAAACACAAAGCAAATTCTTGGAAGTAGTAAAATTTGAGACGTTCTGATAATTTTGAATCTTAAATTATGTTATGTATATCTATTCTATGATATGAGTGAAGTATGAAAAATTCTTTAATCTTCGAATTTTGTTTAATTTATCTTCAACTATTTAAGATTATTTACCTGAAATTAATATTATACCACAAATGTTATTGTGATAATATTATAATTATTGTTTTATTATTAAGTTAATGCTTTAATTAAAAATAAACATTGACCATTACCTTTGTATAATATATTTTCTTGTGTTGTAAAAATAATGTTAATAACATACCTATTATTTTTAAAAAATTAACAACTTGACATGAAACAGAGGTTATCTGCTTATTTCAATATAGTATTAGTAGTATGGTATTTTAATTTATAAATTTTAATTACAAATTTAATAATGGGCTTAGGATATAGGTTAGTAAATCCTTGACCTTTAAGTTTGGGGCTAGTTTTTAGCGGTTTTATACTAAATTAAATTGCTATTTTTTTAATTTTGTTGGTGACTATGACATTAATACATTGGACCAATGCCTGTCCAGTCTGCACCTGACCTCAACAAACATAAATGTACATAAATACCTATATGTATAAATCACTGATGTACCTTTAATATACAATGGACAACGAAAACTGTAAGATCAATAATGTCATTGGTTTTAAAATCAAAATGTTGATATTAAATGACATTTTGACAAATATTTTAGGTTTCGTGCGGATTTGAGAAGGTTACGGTTTTACAATAATACGTGTTTATTTTTATATTAATAACTTTTTAACCTACTGAGACGATATTTTCAGCTCTGTCTAATTAAATACATACGGCGCTCAAATTGGAAAAATAAAAGAGGGGAACGTTTTTACTTTAAAAAAGGAGCATAATGTCAATTTCCCCCCTAAAAAAACCATCACTTATAAAAACGAAACGAGGACGGCGACTGTTTTCAGTTTTTATGTTCCCTTCAATTCGAGCAATAAGTAAAAATAAATTGTTTTTTTTAAATATAGTTGTTGCTCATTATATTATAAACAAATATTTACTAGGGTAAAACACCTAAAAATTATTTTTTAGATTTAAAAATAATAATTACGAACAGTTTGAGATATGACGGGCAAAGCACCCCACGACCCACGAGTCGTTTGCCAATTAAGCGTGATACCATAGATTAAATATACAGCTAAGTATTATAACTAAATCTACCTATATACATATAAAATATATTTTTTAATCTATGGTGATGCTCATAATAATGTATCTATCTAATATATTTGATATATTATTATTAAATATAAAATACACATTCTTATTACTAAAGTCTTGTTATAACTTACTTATCTAATTTAATTACTTTAGTTACTCAAGTTAAATGAGTATTTAAATTCATTTTTTAGTTTAAATGTGTAAATGTTATCAAAAAGTCATGTAGTTGTACAATAAGAATTTAATTTATGTCAAAACTATACTCTCGTTGGTTACACTGTTAGACGACGGGCTACAATACAACAATAACCTCAATGTTTCGTATACCTCTCTTCTTCTCATGGCATTGGAATAGGATTGCCAAGTTTTTATCTGTGCCTTCAAAATTTCAAAGTCTGTGCTGTGAAGTTTCTAGTTAAATATTCAGAGTAAGTTTATATTGTTGTTCCATTATTATAGTGTATTATATATTCTTACCAATTAACAATTAACATTAAAAAATATATATAATTTACTTTTCGTTGCACTGCTGTGTTTACCTTGACCATGTGGCTATAATTTGTTTTGTACTGCCACTTTAAAGAAAAATAATAATTAAAAATATTTTTTTAGAAGAAAATGGCGCCACGAAAAGGAAAGGTACAGAAAGAAGAACCAGTAATCCAACTGGGACCACAAGTCCAAGAAGGTGAACTAGTCTACGGTGTAGCACATATTTTTGCTAGTTTCAACGATACATTTGTGCATGTTACGGATTTATCTGGAAGGTATTTTTGTTTTTGAATTTTACATTTCTTTATTAAAATTAGTTATATAATCTAAGAATTAGTATTTCGAAGAATTCTAAATAAATACATTATTCCTTATAATATTTTTATAATTTAATAAATTAGTTTAAAAGTAGGTTTATAATGTATAATTATTTTGTTTAAAGTTTAATAAAACATTTAATATTTTATAGGGAAACTATTGCCCGAGTAACTGGTGGTATGAAAGTGAAGGCGGACAGAGACGAAGCTTCTCCTTATGCTGCTATGTTGGCTGCTCAGGTAAATGCAATCATTTATTTGTACCTTCAGTACATTGGGTATACATAATTCAAATTTCATAACCTAACCTATCAATATTTCAAGTACTACATAATTTGTAGCATATTTTCAAAAAAAAATGTAATTTCTTTGAAACATAATGTAGGTAATCACTTATATGTTTCATTTTGTTGATTTGGCTAATCATTCTTTTAAGTTCAAATTATTGCAACAAAGTTGATTATAGACGGTTTAAAGAATAAAGCCTATAAATACAATTTATTTTTACAAAATAATAAAAGTTGGTTTTAAAATGCTTATTTATGATAAAAAAATCATGAAAATCACATTGAAATTTTATACTTTTATAAATTTTATTTCTTATACTAATTTTCGTTCAAAAGAGTTGACTACCTATAAATTACTGACTACCTTAATTTGTAAAAAGGGGGCAGGGCGGCTAAATAATAATTTGTTTAGTTAACTTTTACATTATATTATTTATAAAAGTTAGTAATGTATAGCTTATTTGGCTTATTGACACAAAACAAAAAACTATTAAAAAAAAAATAAGTTATAGTAAAACTGCACTATACCCTGCTCGCAGAGAGAGCATGCTGCGACCCGACGGAAATTAGCCGTTCTGCGCATCCCCCCGCGGCACCCAATGTGACTAGCGTTATTTTCGAAGTCCGCCCTGTCTGTCAGCCTTAGTCTTGCTGCTTAGTCTTCAGGCTACATTCGCAAACCCAGCATGCTCTCTCAGCGAACAGGGTATAGGTATTTGATGATAGTTTAATTTTTAAGACATAAATAGTGATTATATAATTAACTAACTTGGCTGTTATTCTTATAAAAACTACATTTTAAATCCTATGGCCTTCAAGATAGAAGCTTAGTTATTATAACTATTTTAGTTGACTATTTTATACATTTTTAATTTTTGCTTCAAAGTATTTTCTTATCTTACCCATATTTGTTATGAGGCTTCTTGTTACTCTACTAGTTACAGGTTAATTGGTACTGTAGTCCTATCTAACGCTAACTAATTAAAAATATCAGACCTAATCGTCACCTTAGAACCTCATATTAAACAAAATAAAAAAATTTAAAGCATATTAACCAGTTTTTTTGTAAAATTTAGTGTTTGAACAACGGAACTTCTAGAACACTGGGAGAATACTATAGACTCAAAATGTATCTGTAAATCATTCAAATTTGATAATTAAGGAACTTAACTTTATTACTATAAGTTTTTGTAACTGATAATACTTAGTAGTAGGTATTATATAAATTAAAAGCTGATATATTTGTTTATTATTAAAGTTTGTGTAGATATTATCAACATTCAACCTTTATCTGTTTGGTCACTCAACTAAAATATAATTTTTTATTAAAATTAAAGAATCATATCTCCATAATTAACAATTACTATTTTACAATAGGGGTTATTTTGGTTGAAATTAAAACATTGTTACTTAGCTATGAGTATGATCATTTTTATTAAAATTCCAACCAAGAGAATTGTATTGCCTATCCTGAAAATGTGCAGTTGATTGAATGCACCATTGGTGCTATGGCGACAACGTAATAATAGTTTAAAAGGAGAATTGATTTTTAGTGATTTATTATTACTTATATTAAAACAACTTTAATACATGCTGAAAAATTAGTAAAACTTGGTGGGGTATTGTGTAAATAGTTCAATACATGTGTTATAATGTTTTATAAAAGTTTTTTTTTATCATTTTAGGATGTTGCAGAAAAATGCAAAACATTAGGAATTACTGCTTTACATATTAAGTTGAGAGCTACTGGAGGAAACAAAACGAAAACTCCAGGTCCAGGAGCACAATCTGCATTGCGTGCTTTGGCTCGTTCAAGTATGAAAATTGGCAGAATCGAAGATGTCACACCAATTCCTTCTGATTCTACACGCAGGAAGGGTGGTCGCAGGGGTAGACGTTTGTAGTTCGCCCAATATTGTTTTTTTTGTACTACACCTTGTATAACACGAATAATATAAATTGGGTTTTACTTTAAATGACCTGTATTAGTTATTTAAATGAACACTCATTTTTTAGAATTTAAATTGCTCACTGTACTACTAATGTTCATATTCCTGTAATTTCCACATATTTTCCTTCACTGTACATAATATACTAGGGCCTACACAAATTTTCTCAGTTATTATAATTTACATTTATTTAATTTTCTGTTTATACTAGTATCAAGATGTTTTCAATAATGTCTTCTCGTCTTGATGGTTTTCGAAAAGAATTATTTTTTATTTTTTAAGGACCTTATAGGCTAGATGTTAATTTTAAATTATTAGTGTTTTTAAAATTAATTAGTAATCCTTAACAAGATTTTCTATTTTTTAAATTTCAAGGCTGTATAATAACAAAATGTTAGTTTTTCTACAAAATAGTATGAACTAGCTATTTTACAAAGTATAGTTACAAGTATTGAAATAATTTGATGAAAAAGGACAAAATGTTACATAGTTTTTCTTTGAGCAGATTTGTGTAATAAAAATAAGTTTTTACCTTACTGTAAGCCTTGTTTACACGTAAGCATAATTATAACCTGGATTTTTTCTGTGAGGACCAGAAAATTATGGACAATTTTAGGCCAGGTGCTGGCAGAGCTTTAAAGTTTACTTTTATCAAATACATGGATTATAAATCTCCATTTTTTAAATCATATAGTTATTATCTATGACCATATACAAATAATTGTATATGTGCATTTAGTTAATATAATTTACATCCATATTCCAAAGTTCAAACCCAGCCTAATTACTACAGCTGCAGTCAGTTACTCAATCTCACTTCACCACATGTCCTATAATTTGAAGTTTAAACTTTAAGGGGATTGGAAGCTGGTAGTTTTATATAGGCAATACTTAAGAAAAAGTAGTTTAATAAATTTCGACTGTCAATTAATTATCCGGTTAATTTGTTAAAGCTTCAAGGTATTATTTTTTTTTTATGAGTAAAAACCATTTTGGTTTAGTTTAGATCTAAAAGCCTGGTATAATTACACCTACTTATCTAGATAATGTTTCAGTTTTGTACTTACTAGGTTATGTAGGATACCGGTTTTCATTTAAAAAATTCAATTTTTTGTAATTAAAAAAGTTGAGCATTTTTCAAATTTAAAAAAGCCGTTTTTTTAAACAAAAAAACTCCATTTCCGACATAACTTTGTTAAGTAGTCAATGAATTCATATCTCTTAATAGAATTGAAATCGGACCATCTTAAGTAATTGAAATGTCAATATTTTTGGTAAAAAAAAAAAAAAGTCAGATTGCAATACCCTTCATAGCAAAATTATTAAAACATAAAATAATTGATTGTTATTATTCAAAACACATTGTTGACCAATAAAATTTTTTTGTTAAGTTAATAAAATATATACGTCATCATTTAAGTTTCGAAAATTGATACAAAAATAAAAGGTTTGTGAAAAATCGAGTTCGCGTTTTGTAAAAACTGCAATTCAAACCCTATGAGATACTGAGTAGATTACAGATCACTATAAAAAGGAATTTTATATAAAAAAATTATTGAATATTATTACTTAACCCTTTCGTTCCTGGAATTTTTTTTTTTCGAAAAAAAAATCAACAATTTTTTACGTATCTGACTGGTATTGATTATCAATATAGCTGTGTCGATTTTTTTATCTTTAATCTATACTAGAGCTTGTGTTTAAAGACATTTTCGATAATGATAGTACGTTGTTAATGTTTTATTCGATTTTTAAAGTTAAATCCTCGTACGAGGAAGTCAATAAAGAAAGGATTAAAGAGGTAACATTTATGATGCATTTAGTTCCAATGTGAGAGTGATATTTTTCTTGACACGGTGAACTATGCATGCCTATGAGCATTGGATTCACTTATGAATAATATGTCCGAGATTAGGCAAGACCGCACCACCCACCGTCATGCTGCCCGGATACTACGTTTATTAATAATTGGTCTGTAGTAATATCATCTATTCTGCGGTAATATTAATGGGTTTATTAAAATGTTTTATGAATTGAGATCAAAACTTGAACATTGTGATAACTCAAGACTGATAAAAGTATTAAAATTGTTTACATTTGCCAGTATTTGAGGTTATAAGACTCCGTTCCGAAGTTTGTGCAGTTACAACCGACGCACCCTGTATTCATATTTTATTACTATGTCCTTGATGGAAAAAACTGTTGTTGTTCTACTGCCTTCTTTTTTGTTCGTTGCGATTACTTCTATCAACGTTTAGTGCTGTTTTACTGCAAACACGATAATTTACCTATTAACATAATTTTTCGTTGCGCGATGACCCTAGTTGTCGAAAAAAATTAAATACACCCATGAAAATTGTTTTAGCGACACCACACTCCATAACATCTACGGACAAATGTGCTCGGATATTAATTTGTTATCATTCTGTGCAAACCTCAGTTGTCGGGTAAGCTATTGCAATTTGGCATTTGACCAAGTTTCATTTCTTTAAATCCATTGGAAGTGTCTCGTAGCCGGCTCTACTGTTTTCAATATTTTTGTCAGGTGTTTAGTTTTCCAGCCCTAGGGCCATAATCTAGGCAGGTTTAAAATATTGTCTACTGGTATTGGTTATCATACCTAGTAGGAAATATCATGAAAAGTGAAACGATAGAGCAAGTTTATCTATAATTTAATTTAATTTATGGAATATTATCTTAATTTTGTATTTTTCATTTCATTTTATTGTCTTTAAGCTGCTTTTTACTTTTGAGATGTCAATTTCATCAGTACTATCAAGGTAACATAAACAATGACAAAAAATAACCTGTAGTAAAATACAATTTTTACCATAAAAAAATGTGTACCAGTTTTCTACAGATAATTAATTTGTAATATTCATACAATATCCGTACTTTTCTATTCATTAGCCATTAGATTATAAATTTCTTGAGTTGGATTAAATTGCGTTCAAATATTATAATAATCCATATAATTACATCTCTAAATTATAAATAATACTGTATAAAAATGTATTTTCTTTGGCTTTCATTTAATTTAAAAAAAACAATGTTTTAAATGTTAGCTGCATGACATAAGTATTATGATTATTTAATATTAATCATTAACAAAAAAGTCATTAGATTAATTTTAAAACATACATTTTAGTGTACCATATTTTTATAATGAATTTGAAATTTATTATTCATGTGGTAAAGTGGAAAAATAAATAATAAACCTAGATTATATTTTGTTACAGGATACCAAACATATAAATGCATTACATACTGAAGAACTGTATTGAATGATAACAAATATTTTACGGGTTTAGTAGTTTTCATAATAACGCAAAATGGCTTCAGGCACACCTCAAGATTTAGATGGTTTCTTACCTTTATTATCAACGACTGATATTCGAATGAAAGTAACAGTAGGTGGAAAACTATTTACTTATTTAGAAGAACCTAGTAACTCTGTGGAATGTTCAGATATTGGGAGTTTTATTGATGGCGTTGTTCAGTGGTTGTCAAATAGTAATCCTAAAGTCACTCAGTATGGCATTGAAATTATTACACAACTGATTACAAGAATGAGAACAGACTTTAGACCATACATATCAACTGTTTTACCTGTTGCAGTTGATCGATTAGGTGATGCCAAAGATTCTATTAAAATCAAAGCATTATTTCTAATTATGAAATTAATGGAATGTGATTCAATTAGTCCTCAAGCATTATTTGATAAAATATCGGCTAACGCTTTCAATCATAAAAACAGTAATGTTAAAGAAGGAGCTATGAAGTTATTACTAACTACTGTTGAAGAATTTGGAACTAATTGTATTACTATATCTAAAATTGTACCAATGATAGTGAAGTTACTAAGTGATCCTAATGTTCAAGTTAGGCATAAAGCATTTGAAACTTTAGTGGAATTGTATAAGCATGTTGGAGAAAAATTACGCAATGATATTCAAAAAAAGTATACAATTCCACAAGGCAAAATGACCGATTTGATGAACAAATTTGATGATGCAAAAGCAGGTGGAGATTTATTACCTTCTGCATTCGCCGGTATCAGTCTAGCTGATGATGATGAGACTGACCGTGCTTGTATGTCAGCAACTAGACGAATCCCTGGTAGCGTTAAGAAACCCAGTTCGTTTTTTCCACCAAATTCGACCACACCTTTACAACGAATAGGCTCTGTACGAAAACCTGGATCAGCGTCCTCCACCAGTTCTTCCCATGCTGGTGCGGTCGATGAAGAAACATTTATTCGATCTTTTGAAGATGTTCCAACAATTCAAATATTTAGTGTACGAGATCTTGATGACACAATGAAAAAACTACACGAAAGTATTCAAGACGGTAATGAACAATGGAATAAACGAGTTGAGTCCTTGAAAAAAGTTAGGTCGCTTGTATTAATTGGAGCTACAAAATATGAGGAATTTTTCAACAATTTAAGGTATTTAGAACATTCCTTTCAAACTTCTGTCAAAGATTTACGATCTCAAGTTGTTAGAGAAACTTGTATCACAATAGCATTTTTATCCCAACGTTTGAGTATTAAGTTCAACCATTTTGCAGAGTCAATTTTTAGTAATTTGATTGATCTAATACCTAATTCAGCAAAAGTAACGGCTTCATCTGGTTTGGTAGCCGTAAGATTTATTTTAGAACACACCCATGCTCCTCGTATTATTCCTATTCTTGCAAATAGTCTAGGATCAAAGTCAAAAGATATCCGCCGAGCGTGTTGTGAATTTTTTGATCAAATTTTACGTACATGGCCTACCCAAGCTTTGGAAAGACATACAACAATTCTTCAAGATTCTATTAAAAAGGGCATATCGGATGCAGATTCTGAAGCTCGAGTGCTGTCACGTAAAGCATATTGGGGATTCTGCGAACATTTTCCTGAACAAGGTGATGCCCTATTAAATAAGTTAGAGCCAGCTTATCGAAAAGTTTTGCTAACAAATACTGGTTCTAATTCATGTTTGCCAAAATCTGTAATGGCTGAAAGTACAAGAATGTCAGCTCGTCGCCCAGTTACTTCTCAAAACAATATTTCAATGAGATCAAGTAGTGCTATTGATTTACAAGCAGCTCAAAGAGCTAAAGCGCGAGCTCAATACGCAGTATTGGCTAGACAAAAAGTCAACCCTATGATGTCTCCTCAGTCGGTGACAAAAAAAACTGGTGAAGAAGAAAGAGTTGGAAGATCGAGAGGTCGAGTTTCAATATCACAACCAACTAGTCGTTCAGGATCGCCATCTTCGAGATTTACATTCGGTCAACCAAAATCCCGAAGAGGTAGTTCTGGTATACCTAGATCCCAAGATACTAGTAGAGAACCAAGTCCTAACAGGTATAATTCCTTAGGAGCACATTCAAGCAGTAGACGACCTCCTATATTACCTACTTCTAGACCAATAATGGCTCAAAAAATATTGTTGCAAAGTAGAGAAGCAGAATCTGCATTGGCAGATGCTCTTGGTAATACTACGGGACATAAATCACCAAGAAAAGTGTTGGGAAGGTCATTAGAAGATCATAGTGATGAAAGTGAGACCTCCAGCATTTGTTCTGAGCGTTCTATTGATTCACATAGGAGACCATCAGATTCATTTTACTGGAATGGATCTCAACATCGTTTACATAATAAAGATATTTGGGAAAACGCTAGTTTAGATATTGGAGAAATAATTTCAAATTGTGAAAGTTCATTATGGAACAACCGTAAAGAAGGCTTGGTAAATTTGCAACATTATTTACAACAAGGAAATACAGTGAGTGAAACTTGGTTAAGGAGGTTGACGGATGTGTTTACTAAAATGTTTATGGACTCTCAAACAAAAGTCATTAGTTTATTTTTGGACGCTCTTAACGAATTAATTATGACCCATCACCAATATTTAGAATATTGGTTGTATATTCTGTTGGCAAAACTATTTAACAAAGGAGGTTCTGACATTCTTGGCTCCGTTCATTCAAAAATTTTAAAAACCATGGAAGTTGTTAGAGCATCTTTTCCTTGTGATGCTCAATTAACTGCTGTTTTTAAATTTCTTACAGATCCCACTCAAACGCCAAATGCTAAAATGAAAATATCTGCTATGAACTATATTTCAAAATTGGCTGTGACTACAGACCCAGGATCAGCATTTCCTTCGGCTATTGATGGTAAAAAAGATTATGCAACTTTAGCTCTCACAAAAATGATTGGTTGGACAATGGGTAATAACATAAAACAAGGACCAGAATTAAGACGTGCTGCACAAGAAGCAATATTAGCTTTGTATAGCTTAAACGCATCTCAAATCACCTTGAGATTATCTCAACTGCCTGAAGAATATCAAGAAGCTGTGTCAGGAATAATCAAAAATAGAGTAAGAAGAAGCAGTGTTGATCAACTACTGTCTCCTAAATATCACAACCGTCAGTCACCTACAAGTCTAGCATCGCCTCCATTACAACCAGATACTTTAGATGCTTTTAATTCGGAAGAAATATACAAATCATTAAAACAGACCACTGCTGAAATACAAAAGTATAGTTTGGAGTGTAATTTTACTGAAAGAGAAACTCCTTCCTATGATTCTGGAATCAGCCAGATGTCAGCTCGTACTGAAATTGAAAACCATAATTTTAATGGCTATAAAAATGGTCATTCAACGATTACTACTGAAGGGTTTGTGAAACTTCTAGACGATTTAGATAAAGATGCTTTGCAACTTGACTATAAACAATCAAAAATAAATCGTCTGAAAGAAGTTATACGTGATGGTCCTTCAGATATACTTGTAACTATTTTTAAAAAAATTATTAAAGTAGTTTTAAAATTGTTAATGGACAACGCACCTGTTATCCGAGAACAAGCAATAATATTAATAACGTGCTTGGTCCAAAAGCCTGAAATGACAAATTGCTTCCATAATTTTACCGAGTTGATTATACTCAAAGTGTTAAACATGTGCTGCGATCCTTGTAAGCCGGTGGTAAAAGTCGCAGAAGAATGTTCATATGCCTTAAGTGTTTCACTACAGCCAGAAATGGTTGTTAGAGTAATAACACCAATTATTTCGGCTAAAGAATTTCCTGTTAATCTGATGGCTATCAAGATGATGACTAAATTAGTAGACATGTATGGCAGCCCTCCTGTGGTCGCCCATATGAAAGAAATAATGCCGGGTCTCTTGCAAGGTTATGACAATCCAGATAGTGCAGTTAGGAAGTCGGCAGTATTTTGCATGGTTTCGTTACATAAAGTATTTGGAGAACAGGAATTTTCACCGTATATTTCGAGCCTCAATGGTGCCAAACTCAAGCTGTTGAATTTGTACATTGAACGCGCTCAACAGTCTTCACCAACATCACCCAAGACTAATTAGTAAACTAATTTTATTATTGTTATTATTATTGTAATTGAACAACACTAATGATTCAAATGAAAAATATTTCTTAAAGTTTTAGTCCTTGAGAACCAAACAAATGCAAGCTAGTTTTGTTACTTTTATTAACAATGGCATGCTCAAGCTGTGAGAACTTATCGTTTTAACATCAATCTTTTATGAACAATAAACTCTTTTACATAAATATGACTTATGTATAATGTATTTATTGTATGAATATAATAATGTATACTATATTTTACATTACTAACATGTATGAAATGATGTACTAAATGTACAATACTCTTGTCGTTAATATAACTGATACCCAACTTACAAAACATTTATTAGGGATCACTTTATTAACCCAAAATTATAATTATTTTTAATTTATTCTGTTATAACGAAATCTATAAATTTTATAACTATTGGCTGCTCCATTTGCTTGTGAAGTATGCTATCAATCATTATTACTATTAATTTGTTAAGACACTATTGTAACAATTTAATTATTTTTATTTATTTATTTTTAGCATAGTTCTTGAATGTCTGTTTAAATAATAACTAAAGTACTGATTTTTTATTAATTTTTTTCAAATTTTTTTTGTTATTGCGAATTTTGTTCTTATTTGTGTCACCTAATCTACAAGTATTAATATCTAGTTGGAACTTATTTCTTTTAAAAAAAAATAATAATTTAAAATGCTTGAAATTATTTTTAGTAGGTATAATGAAATTAATTTTAAATATTTTTTCCCCTTATGTTTTAAAGTCATTAATAATAATGTGCCACTTTTTACTCAGTCATTTTGTTTATAAAATAAAGTTGTGATAATAGTATAATATTGTAGTTTTTCTACTTTATACTTCCATCATATAACAAATTAATCAATTTTATAAATAACTGTCAAACGATTTATTACAAATTTAAGTAAAGTAATTGAAAATCGTAAAGTGAATGTAAATAATAATTATTAACATTTAATAAATATATACTCGTGTAAAATGTTTTATGTTATATTTATTATTTATCAAAATCTAGTTTAGTTAAGAAATTAATGTTATGCCGTTTCGTTTTAAAAGTAGTTTTAAGTAAAATTATTAAAAAAATGTTACATATATCGGCATAAAATGTATTGTTAGCGGTACTAACTAATTTATTTTGTATAAATAACAAAACAAAAGAAAAAATTCTTGCATATAAATTATACCTATTGTTTTGTTTCTACGTATATAGTAGAACTAACACGTTTTACTTCCATTTATAATATTGTGATTTTATTTTTTTAATAGTAACTATTGTTTTAATGTTATTTTAATTTTTGTAAAAAAAAAAAAAGGCCATAATATAATTAAAAACAAAAATTTAATAATACTATTGTTTTCAATTTTCGTTTATGCTAGGTATATCTCCAGTTAGATTAAACGGTAAAAACAATTATATAATGTCAGGTTGAAAGTGAGTGTATAAAGTATGCAATAATATAATCAAACGCGTTCTTTTCCCAAAACCGAGACGATATTTTATTATTTCAATAACATAGCGTAGGCGCGAATTTACCAAAATGGACTGGCAAACTTGATTAACATCCGTTGTGTGTGTGTGTGTGTATAGTATGCGTGCGACCTCTATTATTCTATCAAAACGCAATTTGTCCACGGTATACATTTAAATTTATTCAAAACGAGCCAGCGAAGAAGAAAACGTGACTTAACAGTCGGTAAAGGTTGACGGCTCTAATAATTTTAAAGCAGTACACAATTCGAGAACGAAGGACCTAAACTTCGCATCTGCTTGACCGTTTAATAACATGTTATGATTAAGCGGCTTAACGGCTATAATTAAGCTTATGTAGTAACCCAATAATATAAAAGTATACAGTTATCATATAATGTGTACGCTGTAATCAAAAGTGGGGCTACTGGCTACAGACTTCCTCAAAATATAGTCTATACTCGTTATTCTACATAATATTATACTATGAAAAACAAAACCTTTACCCCCCCCCCCCACCGAAGATAAATCCCAGTTGCGCCACACCGTAGACAAAATATGATGTTTTCCAAATATGTATTAAAAAGACTATCCTGATAAGTTAAGTTCCTATCCCGACATCCTGTAAACGAATCAAAAAAGTTACTTAAAAAAACAGTATTCGAGACCGGGTCGTCATTGTGCAAACTATAATCGTATTATTATCTACAACAATACCTAAATATGGATATTTGTCTCTAAAACCCGTTTACTCAATATCACTCGCACGTATTTTTAATATATTTTCACGTCCACGATAAGTGGTTTCTTTTTTTGTATTTTTAAAATTTCTTTTATTGCCTTGTTGATCTAGTTGTCTTTTGAGCGTCTCGTTTTTAGTCAAACATGTTCTGAAAACGGTCATAACAAAGTTTCATATTGGCCGTCAGTCAGCATATGATTTCACAAGAAATATGAAAACGAACTTTTATTCTTTACATTTGCGTTTCCTAATACAATAGTGAAACGTAAAACCAAACAAGTATTTGGCGCAACGCATAATATAATGTAGGTACAAGTTGCAACTATAATTTTACCAAACGATAAACATTTTGACCATCCGATTCTTAGGACCTAACAAGTTATTTTGGGTTAAACATTACTCATTAATACTTACTATATATTTTTTTAATTAAGTAGGTAAAACTAGTTGATTATAAATATCTGTTATTTTTAAAGACAATTATTTTATATTTACTCCAATTTATGTTCTATCAAAAGAAAGGCAATTATTGTATTGTCTTTTTAATATATTTTACCTATATATTATGGTTTTCAAAAATATTTTATTTTTCAGCAATTAAATGGATAAATGTTTAAAATTAATTTGTTTTGTTAAATTGAGTTAAAGTATTAATAAAAATATCTATTTATATTAATAACCTTTAGCTACTTGTGTGTAACACTGTATTGAAAATTATCATTCGAGAATTGCTTATATTAGTGACTATTACCAACATATTAATATTGACTTAAAGTCCTCAATAAAAGTAAATGAAAAACGTGGCTTAAAACTAGGTCTATTATTTTACAAACATACAATTAAAAGTAAAACTAAATTTTTTGATACCAAAAAAAAAACATTTTTCAAAATAGGGCGATTAGGTTAGGTTAAGTCCAAACTTTGCCAAAAATATGTGTCTCAATTATTCCTCAATTAACATTTTTCAGTTAAAATAAAAAAATGAACTACCATTACAATGGGCCTTAATAAATGCTAGTGTAGAGAGCCCTTAAACCACTTTTTATAAAAGATTAGGGTGGAGTAATAAGTCGTAATTTATAATCTTTTTCATATGTGTGAAACGTGTTATATTTAATCAAATAAATAATAAACGATTTTTGGTGAACAAAAATGGCGCCGCTCTTTAGAGACCACAGGAATTATGATAAGCGCTACTTAAGTATTGTTTCAAAATAGTTCTAACAACTCTATTCTTTCTAAAAAAATGGTGCCTAAAACCTAACCCATCAAAAACCTTAGTTTCCTCATTTCACCTAATAACAGAATGGCGAACTTTAACTATTTGTTTTAATTCTGTATTTATTTATATTTGTGTTATATTGTATTTGCATTCTTTGCGGTCATACGAAAATAAAAAATACTCTTTCATTCTGTATTCATCATTTAGAGATTGTCACATCTCATTAAACAGCAACCCGATATAGTGAACGCCCAGCTTTAGACATTGAGGAAAGAATATTTTATTTCAATACCCCCAAACAAATAAAGTCACACAAAAATATAGACAGAATTAAATTAGTATTATTATTGTTTTTAAATGCATACATTCTTAAAAACAACAGTGTATGTGTGGTGTGTAATTTCTTAAAAACAAAATACTTAAATTTAAATTTACAATAAATATTTAGTTAAAATATGTAATATTATTATAATACAAATACCTCGTATAATTATGGGTGGTGAAAAAAACATTTTTTAGATCATCATTTTATTAGAAAAACTATTAATAGCGTACAACCTTAGTAATATATACTGAATAGGATATATTTTAATCCCTACATTATAATATATTCTTTACTAAAGAAAATGTTGACATGCCAAGTGTCAATAAAACTATATAAAAGTTTAATTTTATGCGCAAACAAACATCAATAATTGAGGGGGTTAATGTCTACAATTTTCTATACTATAATAAGACTTGGAATATACCTAAAGTTCAATAACCATAATTTAAATCCTTAGTATATATATATATATATATATATTACATAGATATCTCTAATGTATAGGTAATAGTAGTAATAATAATAATAATAATAATAATAATAATAATTTTATAAATATAAATATTTTATATATTTATCGTTTAATACTCAAAATTTAATAATCGGAGGGTTGCTTGTGGTACCAATCGAACAAAAATGCAGTTTGCAAATTAAAAAATAAAATAAAATTGCAAAGTTTACAAAAAAAAACTATCTATTTAGTTAATTTAGTTTTGATAAAAATGAATTGTATAAAATTTGATCGTATTTCCTAAATCATAGCAACTTTTTAAAATGTAATTAAACAAATGCCGTTATAAAAAAAACACTCAAGTATCAGGTACAATTAGTGATCATAATAAAAAAAAATTGTTAATAACTTAAATCCCAAATAAAAACTAAACCCAAAATAAAAACATATTTAAATAATAATAATAATAATAAATATTATATATAATATACCTCTGGTATTTAATACCTTCAATTGGATAACATAGTTAATCAAAAGTCCATCACAATTAAACTGATTCGAGTTTTGGTTAAAATAATCAAGCAGTCTAAGATCATTGAGCTCCGTGTACTGCTCTATCTTATAAAAATGTAATAAATATTATAAGACATTAAACAATAAAGATTGGTACCACACGTTTTTGGTCTTATTTTAAGAATCAAGCCAAGACCAATGTAAAAAATGAGAATAAGAATATTCGTAATATTAGTTAAGAAATAGTATTGTCAGAAAGAGTACCAGAAAAAAATACAATTAAGAGCTAATCATAATTACAATGATTTTAACTCGAGAATCAAATAAGTAAAATCAGATAAGTAGAGATTATATTGGCAGGAAAATTGGAATACAAACATCTAATTACTAACTATGACTATAATACACACTTAACAATAATAATTATTAATTATACATTAATTGTAATAATGGAGTTACTTTTTGTTATACAATAATTATGTACCAGAAAGGAGGAATGCATTTTTCATTGCTGCCATTGGTTAAGACCCAAAAAAAAAATTTCTGATGCACCTGCTAGACTAGAATTTGCGCACAACTAAGATAATGGATAATGGTAAGATACTGGAAGTATTTAAGTGATGTCTAATTTTGATTAGAAGAAGAAAATAGGTAACAAAAAAAAAAAAAAAATTACTAGCAACAAACACAAATTGAACTTTGGAAAATTTCTAAGAACTAGATATAGTTGGGACTCAATCAAAATACTTAAAAATAATTATCAGAGGTCGGTAATACATAAAAATAATTTTGGTCTATAGTTACATAAGGGCAATGATTGGCGGGTGGGCTAACAAATTTCCTATGCCTAAATTTTTACATTATGGTTAATAGATTTGACAAATTGGATTACTCAAGCAAAATACATAACTTTTTTGGTGTCCGCGTGTACTGTGATAGCTCGAGCCATTGCACCGGGTGTTCTATCTTCACTACAACCAGATTGATGAGAACCTTCTCCGCTAAACATAAAACATCATATTTTTAAAAATAATACACCTTATTTCGTAGAATAACTATTTATTGGTTGACCTTGAAAAGAAAAAAAAACGTTAGCCTGTTTCATGTCACACAGGGCTTAATTTAAATATTAGAAAAAATAATGATTTATAAATCGAATTTAACTAAAAATGTAGCTTCAAAATGAGCTCATAAGCAAAATTCAAAGGTCGGTCGTATTGCATGCCCTTCCTTTGCCCACATACAGTTTATCTACTAGTATAGTAATGTTACCTGTCATGTTCTTTTTCAACCAAATGGTACCTAGCTCTAAATGCAACTAAATGTGCATAATAAGCTGGTGCAGGTATGGATACAGAACGTGTACACCTGACGTAAGTATGACACAGTTGGTACGTCAAACATTGCAACTCATCAGATTCAAAATGATTGTCATCCCAGAGTACATGATAATGACTAGGCCTACTAGTTCCCTGTAATAAAAAATGAATCACTTATTAATTTTATGAAATATTTGTAATTACATCCAGAAAGTGATAATTACTTGAATTCCTTGATGACTGCATAAGTAAAAATCAAATTCTGTAGGATGAGTTATTCCAACATCAACAGTAGTACCAGCCGGTATATTTCCTGACTTACCAGATTGTTCTTTTTTATCAGCACAGAACAACCTGTATATAAATAAAGGTATATTAGTTACATAAATTATTATGTAGCCATTATACTACTGATTCATACCTAGTGTGATGACGTTTTTGAACTATGATAAAAGTGATACCAGGTTTGTAATCACCTTCTAATTTTATACAAGCCTCTCGTATAGCCGTCAGTTCATGTTGTAAGACCTTGACATAATTAAAAAAAATTGTAGTTCATTAAATTATATTTAACAATATTCTAAACAATTTAGCAGACGTAGTGACTGGTCTTACATGAGGGAATTGCCCTTCAGAAACTCCATCACGATAAAGTATAATTCTATGAGGTTTGTATCCGCCAGTGCTCTTATAAAACATGATTAACAACTCCCTGAAATAAAAATTGCAAGTGTTATTGTAAATTATAAAAAAAAAATTTATACTACGACATACCTGACCATTGAACTGAGTTCTTGTATAATTTCCTGTCTATGTTGTTGAACACGAACAGTAGCTGCATAACGACTTGGATGTGCATCCATGGAACCGACCACAGCGGCAATAGATGGTTTTTTGTTGTCTCCTGCTGGAGGATGAGTAACGTCTGCTCCCAAAAATATAACCGGTTCATTGAATACCTAAGTGATGGAAAATATTTTTTAATATACTTACTAATCTATAATCTTAATTATATTTAATAAATAGATCCTTACTTTGGGTCTTATGCTCGGTACGAGAATACTATTGATTCCACCCAACTTCACGTTAATTTTCAAACATAAGTTTGAAAGGGTTTGAGGTGACGTTTTGTTAACGTTTTTTGCTTGAACACATTGAGTAGCCATTCCAAGAACAGTGTCTCCAACCCTCTTGACTTCAGCTACTCAAAATTAACAATTATTATACTATATTTAAAAAAAAAAAAGTAGTTTTAAAGATTTACCATATACTGGTGTTTTACCAGGCAATACAACAACGACCAGTTGTAAGCCAGTAAATGTAGATTTTAAGTAACGGAACATTGGTTCAACTTGGTCAGGGCCTGTAGCATATTTACCTGTAAAAAAAATTGATTTATTATTTGAACAATTTTTTTCACAAATTGTTTTTTCTAAGGTAAGTATTCTAAGGTTATCATAATAGTATATTTTGTAGTATTGTATTACGTCTATACGTTGAAGTTAAAAAACAAAAGAAAAAAAATGTTAGGGTCTATAGGTAATCAATACATACAATGATAATTATTTATATTGTACCTCATAAGTCATAACAATAGAAATACTGTCATTTTTACTCGACTACTAAATTTATTTTTTCTTTCATTTTCTAAATATAAAGGAACGTAGAAGTATGTCTCATAGCAGGGAATGGTTTGTTTGCTCGCAATGTAATAGTATGTGTGTAGTAATGAAAAAGTTTACGACTAAAACATTATATCACCGTGTCGAACAAAGGACGGAACTTGATTTAAAAAATATATACATTTTTTACTCAAATCGAACAGAGATTCTGAATCGAGTTACTACCTTTTACGCTGGTAAAACAAAAAACAAATGTTATAGATTAAAAAAAATGTTTTTTTTAATAAAAATCGAGTCACGTCCCTCTTCATTGGACACAGCGATATATTTATAAATATTATAGTTGTTGTCATATTTTCACTTACAAAAACATGGTTGCCCGACAATTGGCATACCAGCATCACTGCTAATTTTTTGAAGTTGTGTGGTAAAATTCCTAAAAGAAATAATGTCAAATATAACTTATACAAAAATAATTATAACTAGTTATCATAACAATTTTGAAATACCTTAATGCATCTTCACGGACAGTTCTTTGAGGTGCAAAACAAGCAATTGCCCAGTTACGAATTTCAACACCAGTGAAAAATTGTTTACCTCTCATGTCCCAAACGCCTTGGTTAGGTAGGGCTTGTTGTTTTGTTTGTTGGACATTTAATCCTCCCTAAAATATTAAAAATCGTAGAACAATTTCACAAAAATAAAATCAGTATTATAACAATTAATTGATGCATATATCATTATTATCATACCTGATTAGGTAAAGTTCTTCCTCCATATTGTAATTTTGGGGGAGGTAAAACTCGACCACGTACTTCCATCATACTGTTTGATATGGTAAGTCCAAATTCTTGAACGTAAGAGTCATTATTGAAATCTGCTCGACGAACTAAAGAATTGATTTCTCGTTCGCGGTCTGGAGCACTTCGAGCTGTAGCTTTTATCATTGTGGATGTTTGCATGTCAGTTAATTTTTTTATACATCTTTGTCCCGCAACTATATTACAAACCTAATAGAAAAAATGCATTATTTTTAGATGCAATTATTTTAATATTTAATTTAAACAAACCTCCAATGGCAGATATGTATGTTTGTGTTCTTGTCCCACTTGAAGACAAGGTAAATGTGGGTATCTCAATTTCATTTTGTATTTGTCAAGGAAATATTTAGCAACGGTGCATTCTACAGTTTGGCCGTTTTCCAATTGCAATGGAAAACTAAAAAAAAAGCAACATTTTAAATTGTAACTATTAGAAAATTTTTTTTTGTCAGATAAATTTTTCTCTTAAGATAAATTTAAGTGTAAATATATATATATATCTTACGATTGCATTTGAGCAGGCCTCCTGGTGACATTACATACTCGGTACTTTCTACGCATTGCTCCACAATGTGTTATTTCAATTTTAAGACCTTTTATTTCTTTAGTGAACTTAACTCTCTGAGAATCTGTTAGAGGCTTTCGTTGTTCTCCAATATCTCTTATGTCTAATACTTCACACATGAACTCAATTACTGGTTGTGCTTTGTAAAAGGCAGTCGCAGAGACTAGAAGAAAAACATAATTTAGTAAAATAATTAAATCACAAATAATTTTTTGATAAGTGATTTGTAATACCATCAATATTAAGCATCATTTTCCATTGTGAAGGACGAACGGACTGATGAAAACCAAACCAAACCTCCCTACCACCACCTAATGGATGATAATATCCTTCCGGAGATGAGAAGAATGATCGACCAACCGGAGTGTAGGTCATTGATGGGAGATGACGCATAACAACATCTAAAGCCTGAAGAGAAAGCAGAACATTAGAATTATAAAGTCAAGTACAGCACAGAATGTATGTGGTTCAATTACCAAAATTGCATCATATGGTATTTGTCTAGTGCGGCCTTCAAGAGCTTCTTCCAGAGCGAAAAGAGATACTTGTGCTAACCATTTAATATTGACACGAAAAACTCTGTCTTTACCTTCACCAGGCAAAGTTACCTAAAACATAATTACAATTATGTTAAACATAAAATAAAACAAAACATTTAAATTAATATACACACCTCCAATTCCATACGATCGTTACCAATAGGCAATGGGTCTCTAGTATATAAATTGTTACGGCCATCAAAGACGGGTCTAAGATTACCAAAAAGTTTGCTGTATGCATGTACCATAGTTTCAATGATTTCTCGATTGACTTTTCTCGGACATTTATCAGGCTGAATGTTGATATCATAATGATGTACATAACCACGTGGCATTGATATTTGAAAATGATTTGCACGCAATACAATTGGCCGACCTTCCCGTCCCAAGTTTGGGCGACGAGGACAATTAAAAACTATATTGAAAAAAAAAATTGTGTTTTGTTAATAGATTTTCACTTTTAATTTTTATTGCCACTGCCACTAAATAAGCAGTGCTTGTGCAAAGGGGGATGACCAACATCTATTTTATAGTACTGAATGAATCGAATGCAGTATTTCTAGCGTATAGTTTGACGCCATGTACATCTACGCCACGCAAGTTAACATTAACAATAGATATATTATATCGGTACAAATTCACTTTACCGGGCGCCTTTTTTTAGATTTTTTTTTTAAACTTAAGTATTTCTACTTTTGGTCATGGTCCTTTTTTTTTTTGCCTTAACAAAAAAAGCCTTTGTCTGATAACGATTGTATAAAATCGTAAAATAAAGTATAGGTGTACACCGGCGGGCACCCATGTATGTCGATATTGGCGATGTTCAAATGTCTAAACTCCTAAATCATATTTGCCAGGCAAAAAATTCTTGCAGATTCATAATCAGCATTAAAAGTAATATCAATTTAAAAAACAATCGGAATAAAAGGGTGCCCGATAAATTAGATTTGTTCTAAAAACAGTAAAAAATAAATTTAAAAAAAAAGGTGCCTGGTAAAGGGAATTTATACCATTTTAACATTATATAACTGCAATTGTATTAATTTTCAAATAATTTACCTGGTACATCAACTAATTGTGGTTGTAGTGCAGGAGCTTGGGGTTGAAGAACTCCCATTGCTCCAGGCACACCCACTGGAACTACTGGTGCAGCCACTGGTGGAGCAGGTGCTAAAATTAAAAAAAAAAAGTATAGTTAATACAAAATATTTATGGCTGTTTGCACCAACTATACTTAGAATCTAAGTATGGTTGGTGCTGCAGGTCATTAGTAGTTTATAATATGTATACCTATAGTATATGTAAACAAAATACGCTTAATTAAGTATCCTCATAACATAATTTTAAATAATATATGAACACTGTCACAGTTCTCTTTTAGTACATGGTGATCCTTTAAGTATATTTAATGTTAACGCTATTATATAATTATTGATAACATAGAAAATAACTCTTTTTGTTCTTGAAAAATTTAAATGGTTTAATTGATAAATTTAAATACTCAATGGAATTTAGGTTTCCAAGTTTGATAGTAAAACCTGAATAATATAATTATTCAGGACTTCAACAGAAAAGTTTGATAATGATTATAATTTAGTCAATGGAAACCACTATTTGCGCGCGAAATAAATGTTTACAGAATGACGCAAAAATCAATCTCGATAACCATACAGGGGATTGCATACACTATCTATGCTGATCGCCAAGTTAAATTTGTAGCGCATTTAGGGTATCGTGTTGCAAGACCCCATCGCGGCACGGTGGAACTTGCTTTATGGGCTCAGTAATAATAATATTTGTGTTAACAAATAATGTTTCCGAATTTATGGGACGAAACAAATAAGACGTGTATCGGCAAAATGTTTCGACAAATACAAGGAAAACGCCAAGCGAAGATATACCCCATGCAAAAGCGAACCGACGGGGAAAAAATAATATTTAACGAATGGAGGTCATTGCCTTTGTCAATTACAAAGCTACACCACATAGTGCATGTACTCACGTTGGCCGACGGGATACATGGCTGGTTTCTCGTCCGTTTTAGTTACGGGACAATACTTATGACTAATGGTTGTCCGCGTTACTGGCTAGTTTACGACGGAAGACATCAACTGAGAGAAAACATTTTAATGGAATTGGAAAACTAAACGCCTAAAAGGCTGATTAAAAACCAAAAACCACAACAAACTACACGTAGCCCCAAACCCAACGACCAGTGTTGCCCGACTATATTATAGATTTCATTTTACGTTTGCGCTATCGATGCAAATGGCCGACGGTTACCACGACCGCGGTACACAACGCATAACCTCAAACGCAGTTAACAACCGTGCGCCATAACAATTATTATTGTGTTGTATTATATTATCATAGGCTATGGTTCACGAAGATCCCGCTGTAGGGACGACGGAGATTTTATTGATTAGTACCCAGAAAAGCAAAAAGGACGTTTGCAATAGTTAATATGTCTCTTCCATTTTCCGGCTCGAAATCGAAATCTGCTGGTGTGTTTAGCGCTATCAGAAAACAAACGCAGTTGTTAAATCTAAAACCGGCCAAAAAAGTTTTGGTCAAGTTTGACCCGTTTGGTGAAAATGCCGTCACGGTCAGGTAATAATAATATTATTATGATTGCACTATAATTCATTCAATTTCAGTAACCCCCGGTCAGCAAGAGCAGCCATTACTACGATAAAGTATTTACAAACAACATTAGCTAAAATTACCCAATAAATAATAATTGAACACTACAGATTTATATAAAAATCTAGTATTTTTTATCATTACCAAATTATGAAAAACGATGTTCCATAATGTATTTTCGAATAATAATAATAATAATAGACCATGTTTTTATACTTGTAATCTATTTTACTGATGATTTACAAGTTAGGCGATTCCGAAATGAAATCAATAGTAAATTAAACCGAGTTCTGGAGGTTATAGATTTTACTTGTAAATTTTGTGTTAAAACAAGTATTTAATTTTTGAAATAAACATATAGGTGATGCACTTACTTCCATTACAATGACCGTTGATGTTCTCATAAACAGTCTTGTAGCTGATTTCTTGAGGTACAATGAAATTTGCATTGGCTTCCATGATTAGTTTTGAATTATTTAAATCTAAAACAAAATATTTAAAAAAATTATAATTTTTTAATTTAATATTATTTTATTTTTAGAAATTTTATGTACTATTTTCATATTCCTAAGATAATTAATACAAATCCTGCGTGTATTCTAAGAAATCAAGTTGTCAACGACAGAACTGAACCAACAATTGAAGTTTCTCTTGGTAAGATAGGTTTTTTTTTAGAGTATACTAACTATATTCTATTAACATAACATTTGTTTACTATTTTACAGTTAATGGTGAATCTGTTTTGTTCAAGTGTAGCAACCTCACTACCTTAGAAATATTTCAACAATTTAATAAGCACATTACACCTTTAGCGCCTAAAGAAGAAATAGCTGATAACGTAGTTACAAAGACTGAAAAAAAAAAGAAACGTTAGAAGACATGGCCAAAAAAGAACATTATACAACAACAATTATCAATGGATTCTATAATCAATTACCTGCTTTCACAGATGTGTTTGATGAAGAGTCTTGGTATTTATTTGTAATATGTTTTGTGATGTTTACATTAATAGTTGTTTTTATATTGTCAAAGTTTATAAAATTACAACCTGTAGACTGGTAACCAAAATAATCAGTGAAAAAAATTATATAATTAAATATAATTAATAGATTTTATGTAATCCTGAAATTGGTAGTGTTATTTTTGTACTAATCAATTTATAATTTCTTCAATTGTTTGCTGCTTATACACAGAAAAAGAAAATAACTTTTAAGTAATACTATTATTATTCTACATGCAATAAATAACATAACAGTCATTAATTGTGAATGTATACTTTATTTGTAGACAAAAAAATCTAACCTAACCTTATATGAGACGTGAAAGATTAAATTTAATAATATGTAAAAAAAAAAAAAGTAGACAAGTGAGTATATTAATATGTATACTTGTTTTATCATTGTTTTTAATTAACCTGTGTAATCATATTCAAATTGATATAGTTTAAAAATACCAATTAACTTATTTTTCTGTTCCATCATGTGTACCTCATAAAGATTATTACCAATATTTTAAATCTTGATTATATAATATTTGAGATAATTTTAGTTCTAAAATTGTTTCTTTGCAGATGATCAAAAGGTTTATTACACAGAGGTAAACGTAAAAACTGTTCTTAAAACTGTAAACTGACCCATATAGATTTTGTTTATATTGGTGTATTGTAAACTATTTAATATTAAATGCAAGCCCGATTCTATAACTTGGCAAAATGGGCACTTGCCCAGAGGCGCAAGAGAAGATTGGTCTGGATGTGTGTGGTGGGGCGAAAAGGCAAACCCGTTTAATTTGCCCATAGTGCCACGAGTGTTAAAAACGGGCCTGATAAAATGCGTGCAAATGTAAAAAAATGGCTTCTACCATCTACATTAATAGCATAGCCATCAATTGAGTATAATATTATTATAATGACGCTCTTTGGACAAGAATACAGACACAATTTAAGTTAATACAAAATAAATAATAAGAAACATAAACACAAAATGTATTACAGACACACTACCAAAAATAAATACTACGACAATATACTTTCTACAAAAATAAATACTACGTAATAAAAAAATCAATATAACAGATTCAGTAGCTTTTTACAAGTCTGTGTAGATCTACTTGACCACCTTTTTCAATAATGTTATATAAAAATTATATGTACACTAGTAAATTAGTCGAAATGGATTTAGCTGTAAGGAATCAGCGTTGTTCTAAAGAAATAAGTACTGACCACAAGCATTCTCTGACCGATAGACCTGCTACTTGCGTAAATCAATCCAGAGAAATAAGTTTTAGCTTTTATGGACATGCAAATAAAAAACATTAATTTAGTCAACTGGTATAATGTAAATAATTTAAAACAAAATTATCGGGAGTAGGGAATATGATGCAAAAATTAATTATACATGCACATCTTTAAGTCAAAGATTTGAGGATTATCTTGAGTCCTTTCTTTTACAATTTCATAAATTTAGATTTAAAAAAAAAGTTAATCCATAAACAAATTTTTTTTTTAAAGGTTGGACTTCTGAATATGAAATAAATTTTCAAATTGATAAATAATAATAAACGGTAATCATCACTTGTCTATTGTACTCATAAATAATATTGGTATTAATTGTTATGTTATTGTTATTATTGCCTCTCATATATTTATACATTTATTGTATTACAACTAATTGTAAACTGCAAATAATGTCACATTTATAAATATGTCATATATTTTTATAAGTAATAAACCTGTTTGTTTTAGCGTTAAAACATAACATTTTTATTTTTATTGTAATTGGTATCCTAAGTATTTAAAACTAAATTTGTAGAAAAAAAATGCATTATTGACCTAATTTCTAATAAAGCAATTATCTAATGAGATAAAAATGTTTAATTTACACTATTTTTTTTTACTTTTAAAAGACTTATTCATAAGCCATAGCCTATAGAGCATCTCGTGTCCTTAAAAAATCTATACGGAAGTTTTACCATAACAATTTGTCAGAATAGAACAAAACATTACACTTGAAGACCAAGAATTAAATTTAAAAGACATAAATCAAAGATTTAGTCTTCTATAAGTTATTAAGTACAATAGGAATACATAATATGTTATTTAGTATAATAAGAACAATAATTAACAAATAAATTAATTCTAATTTAAGAGACTTAATAAAGCAAGTCTAGATATCTAATTTAAATAGTTATGCTATCGAATCTTGTTAAACTGGTTTAACCACCCAGTTAAAATAGTCAAGAGATACAATTTATAGTGTTAAGTGTTCGCTTTTAATTATTAATATAAAATAATTTTGAATATAGTATCCTAAAAGAGTTGACTGTACAAAACTTTCATGTATTACAATCATATAACTTTCTTTAACGTAGCTTATCACAAAAAATTCTCAACTGAAATCAATATATTGTAACTTGTACCTACTGAGCTTACTAGATTACTTAACGTGTAGTGTATCGACTAATACAAATTTGGGCAACAGAATGATAAAATTAATTTATTGATCGATGATCAAACAATTGATTCAATCAAACGCTGTAAGTAAAATATTAGAAAACATTCATTACAAATATGATTATACCTACTAACAATTTATTAGTTAATTTAATAAATCAAAATACTGGTAGAAGAGCATGGATAGCCATGGAAAGTCTAACGGATATCACTTGCATAATTATAACACTACAAACGATTATTACCGTAGAAAACGTTAACTATAGTAAAATTATATGCAATTAATTTTAAAAAGAATAATACAAACGGTATCATGTTTGCTAAGTTTGTCTGATGCTTCATATTTCAATCGGCACACTTGACCGACTCAAGTATATGTGGAAAACTGTTAGCGAATTGCGTTGCAACGATTTGGCGTTAAACGCGCGACGCTAATGTGTAATGACCATTGCACGAAAACAGCGACTTAAAAAACAAAACCTTAGTACCGAAATCCGTCTTCCCGTTGTTATCTCTCCGCTGACCACCGCAACAACAATAATATTATTATTATTCCAAAAATGGCGAACACACGGTCGCGCGCATAGCGTTACGATTATTTACTAGAGATAACAATAGTATGTGCAAAGAAAGGCGTATAGTAACAACTATAACAATAATGGCGATATTATTTTTATCCCGTAAAGTATAATATTATTTTTGTTCTATAGTACCTTAGTCCTTAATGCGCTGGTATCATGACCGGTCCGGGTATTAAAAGGGATGTTTACGTTGTACGGCGGCGACACTGGTCTACTAAACGAACGTCTCAAGGTCAAGGTCTTGTTGTCGTCCACGACTCGAAGTTACATTATTCGGTGTCGCACACAAGTCGAATATTATTTTTATTGCCATTTTCTTTTTCCATCACAACCGAACACAGCGGGATTTAATAATCGGTGGACGGCAACGGCGGCCGAGACGCATAAAATAAAGTGCACAGCACACGAAACGATACGCTGAATTTTTATACACCGAGCACGACCGGTTGGTGGTAATGGATTATTTTTTTAATAATTTTTTTTGCGCGTTATCAACCGTTCGCGTAAAAACGACAACAAAAGAATATTATCGCACTTGACCACCAAGACTACTATTAATTACTAGCATGTAACGTTGTTAATATTTTAGTTTTGCACCGACTGCGTACAATAATAATAATACGGCACAGATAATGAAATATTATTAATAATAATAATACACAACACTACACAAACATGCGCGCGCACACTACACCGCTCGTAGAATGTCGAGTGTCGACCGCTGCTGCTGCTGCACACTTGACTCCGGGCATCCCTTGAGTCGAATGACCGTCAAAACGCGGAGGACCTGACCGGGTGGTGGGGATGGTGACGACCCGAATAATCGATACAACCGGGCGGCGGCGGTGGTGGTGGTGGCGGCCTTTGTCAGGGTCACCTGATGGCGGTGGCGAGCAAACTACCTCCACAGCCAGAATCACAACGTTATCGTGGGAAACAGGCCTCTGGTGCGTCGTATCTCTTGAGGGGGATGACGAGCAAACAGGTCAGCGGGGTAACAGGTAACAACAACAATAAAATATTAGGTACAAACATAAATGGTGGCGGGCGGCGGCTGTCGTACGAGTGCCGATGGAACGTTGGTTTTGCTGGCTTCGAATAAGTGAGTGGAGGGGGGGGGGAAACCAGCACGTCGCGATTTTGGCTCACGAGACAAAAGCCAATGGCGTGTAAAGGACAACAAGGAAACAATTCTAATGAGACATTCACAGCCCTTAAGGTACCTGTACACTGTAGAATTTTTTCGTAGAGTACCTCTAGCTAGAGGTCTCTACGCTTAGTCAGTGTACACAACACCTAGAGCACTCTAGCAGTTGCCTCTCTAAACTCTAGCTAGACCAACAAACTCTAGATATAGTAAACAACAATCGACAGTGTACACAGAGATAAGACGCTCTAGCTAGAGTAGTCTAGGTCTATTCAACATGCTAAATAGAGTAAATAGAGCGCAGGCAAATATCAACAATTGACCTGTACGTGTACAGTTTTTTTTTGATATTGTTTATATAAGTATATAATTTTCATTGTAATTTTTATTATAAGTAATTGTTTCAAGTTGTAATTTTTAATATTTTCTTATGAATGTACGATGAGTGATTTTGTGTGGGACAGAAAACATATCAATAGAACTCATTGAATCGTTTCTTGGACTTTGGAATTGTTCAGTTGTTGAAAGAATACAGAGACAGACAATTAAAGGCCAAATGAAAGTTTCACAATTTTCGGTGCAATTTCTTACCCACAACCTCTTCGTTCATTTCTTTTTTTAAGTTTCCTGATTTTTTTTTTAATTAAATTATACGCTACAACTGCAGTTGCAAAACGTTTTCGGTCCGACATTTTTTGTATGAAGTATTGTCATCAACTACGCTCTAAATGCTCTCGGCAGAAATATCATGTACAAATGTACATAGGTCATAAACTAATCTAGGTAGATTAGCTCTACGCGCTCTCAGAGACTGCTCTAACCAGAGCAAATTTCTTAATAGTGTACATACACAGCTAGAGCAGTCTAACTAGACTAAGTCTACTCTACCTAGATTTTACTCTACAGTGTACAGGTACCTTAAGAGAGCACACAGAAAATGCATGGCCTGATTTAGCAACGTGAACCATAAGCTAAAGATATCTTTGACGGCATCATTTCATAATTAATTAAATAGATACCTCCCCAACATTATTTCTTCATTTATATTATATTAATACTACTAGAAACCACTTGATTGAGAAACAATATCGATGTTTTTGAAAGGCAGACATTATCAAAATAATATTTAATTATCATCATAGCTGTGACCCATAGTACTTATCAAATTTCAACCCCAATTTTTTTGAAAAGCACAAAGCAACTCCAGAAAGCGTATAAAAAATCATTTTTGATTCTGTAATTTTATTTCTTACTTAGCCTAATTTATATAGCTGTTACTTCCTATAACTCAAGAAGTCAGCCAAAATTCCTCCTCTCTACATAGGGCACTATAGTTACTTTCCACCCATAAAAAGGACATTGGTCTGATGCAATAATACCAATTTGTATTGTATAATCATACAATAAGGAAAACTGAACCTTAAATATTTTGAATAATATTGTGTTGGGATACTTAAAACCTGTTTAAGTCATACGACCTAATACAATCTATACTACACAATCCAAATTTTGTTTGTTTTTAGTTTGCATTTTATATTATAATTTTGTATTGGTTATAAAATAAGGAAATCTATTAGCAATTGTTTATTTTATAGGGGGGCATAGGCTCGTGCGCCTAATGAGAAATATGGTCTCGTAATGGTCCTTATCACTTAATGTAACCATTAATTTAACATTTCAATAGTGATACAATTTATAATGATCAATAACTGTCCAACGATTATTATAGGATCTAGCAATTCAAATATTGAAAGTTAAGTATTGTCATTTATCTTAAATTGTATTGTATCTTTATATTTTAGACGAAACAATATAGTTGGGGAGTAAACGATAAGGAAAAGAGAAGACACCTAAAACCTTATAAATATCCCGAATACTCCCAACAGCCCAAATCTATAATTCAGTTGCGAAGTCCTTTATAACTTGGGTTTCCGCTGTCGATTATAAGGAGAAAGTGTTTAATAATCAAAAAGTGTCTACTTTAAAGGGGGTTAGAATTAATTTGAGATTAATTTGAAATAATTAAGCAAACTTTTGCTGTAAGTTTTATATGACTAATGGCATCTCAAATGATATATACAGAGTGATTCTTCTTAACATGGGCCACTCAATATTTCAGTGGGTTTACTTAAAAATAAAATTGTTTTTTTTTTTAATAATGTTTATAATATATAATGTGATCTCAATTTTACACAAATTGTTATGTTCCAACCCCCCACCCAAATTAGTGTTTTTGATAGCAAATTTTAAACTTAAATGGTACGGTGTATAGTATATTACACTTTTAAATCAAGAATATTTTACTTAACACTTTGACTATTTGATTACCAGTTTTTAACTTTTTTTATAGTTATAATATTTTAAAAGGAAGGCAGAGGGGAAATGCGCGCAGATAAAAATAATACTACACTCCACCTTTCCTTCTGCCCTAAACTTAAAACTTCAATAACTTTAAAAATAGTTATCGAAAACTGGTTACCGACCAGTCAAAATTTAGTACATTATTTTCAATTTAAACATTTATTGTTACCATTTAAGTTTCAAAAGTTAGTATGAAAATAATTAGTTTGGGAGGGGCGTAGGAACATAAAATATTGTGGAAAATTGAGATCACATTAAGTAAAAACTCTATGAAAAACACAATTAAATTATTAATCAAATCCAGTAAGATATATGAACCTAATGAGTGGCCCATAATTTAAAAAAAAAACACTCAGTACACTTATTTTCACTTCTCAGTTCACTGTATACTAAATACTAATAACTACGAAATATCTAAAAAAGATTTTATGAAAACCTCAGATAAAAAAACCTACAAAAAATAAAGAATCAGTTCTTCTTTAATTTATTTTTAGTCTTAGGAAGTACCACCCCCCTACTTGGTTATAGCGCCTATGGACACTTCTGTTTAATTTATTTGCACTACACACGGACAGTGACATCACACACCACTGGTGAACACTATACCTCCATTGGTGTGTGATAATATTGAGTAGAACATGTTTGATGTTATGATAATATAATAAACTTTTTGACACTATCGAGAAATTCACGGTGTCGTTTTTCTGCACTCGTGTGGATAAAATTTACACTCAACCAGTACATGGAATGTGCGTTATCAGTGCAGTAGCACTGGTGATACTAATCATTATCATGCAAACTGTGTACACCAGTATAGACTAGTGCAGTCTGATGGAAAACGCTATTAGTTAATTGGGTTGTTATCTTTCTTATGGATGCAGTTAATCGCTTTAGCTTGTTTAAACAGATTTTTAAATTACCATGACAAATGCACTCCACTTCGCACAATGTTTTACAGTTTTAGAAATTATGGTACTATCGTTATCCAAGGGACTGTCCGGTTTAACTTATCACCAGACACTATTGGATATTAGGTCGTAAAAAACCTCAAAAATGTATAGTCATAAATCATGAATGGTGACAATGTCTAATGATGCTAATGGTAGTGTCCTAACTAAAATACGTCCACAACAATTTGTGTAATCGTCGAATCCATTAGACTACAACATTATACCAGCCTCACTGTGTAAATCCACTGATATTGTGTAATGGGACCAAGATAACATTTTAAACGATAATAATATATTGTATTGAATTGCACTTTTTTTGTCGTTTCTCATTCGTTCAAACTGAAACGTTAATCGCTTTTAATTTTTAGCTGCATCAAGTACGCTTCGTTTTTAAAGGCAGCCAATCCTCTATCATATCTAATCCTAAATTCTATATCTATAATAAAAAAAAAGAGAATAGTATACACAATAAATACCTACACTTTTATAACATTGTATAAAAATCGAAAATTTGAATATCAAAACATTTTAGAAATGTCCTAACGGGAAATTAACTGGTACCTTGAAAATAAGGCAAGGAATAGTTCAGAAAAAACAGATACCCAAAATTGTCCCTTAAGCTATTGTATCGATTTTAGCCCGTGGCGTGTGTGAATGGTATTATATAGGCTCTTCAATATATTATCTAAATTCTAACTACCTGCCTGCTTAAGGTCGATCTAGTGAACTATGACAAAAGAGACGAACAGGGTCTCTGGGCATTTAGGGACTGTGTCTATCTGTGTACATGTATAAGTATAATACATATTTTATTTTTACAAAATTTAAGTATAGAGGTTATAATTTTAACTGTAATGATTTTAGTCTACAAATATTGTACGGCGAGTTATCAAAATAATCGCACACAACCGTGTCACATACCATTAACCATTCCAAGGCATAAATTAACATTAAAAATGTTATTAATGACTTATTTTTTAAATTTCAAAATCACTCAAGTTATCAGATTATTGTACATTAATACATTAATTTAATTAACTTTTATAATTTTAATTTAGTAATACATTACACGATACAAGAAAGTTCCTAAGGTATAATCAGGTAATGAGAGTAATAATATATGGTAACCAATTTTGCAAGGTTTTTTTGGCTGTCAAGATGTAGCCTTTCAAATTTACCTTAAAAGTAAAAACTAATAATAAACCAAATACTTCTATCACTATTGTTAGCACAAAATATTATCACAATTAATTTAGATGCTCCTAATCTATAATATCGCATTTTGATACCGTTTACTAAGGAGTAAATTGAATAGTTGAGACCTAATGAGGACCGCTACGCCCATTTCAGTCGTGCAACATAATATGTGTAGTAGTGTTGACTGCCGAGGCAAGAGGCACAGGGACCGACCACATCAAAATAATCCGGTGCATTCAAATCAATCTTAACAGAAGTAGGCCTGCTCAAGCCCGTATCCACGCCGTCATTATTAAGCGGAGTGGACCACTGGGTGCAGCCATGCTGCCCAATGATACTCCGACCATGATACCTAGGCAAAACCCAGAGCTGAGAATGAGCAAAGCGGGACCAAGAACAAGACAAGGCCGATATTCAAAAAAGGAAAGAGGAACCAGGCCGTAGTCCACTCGGTGTGTGAGATAGACTATTTTGTGTGTGTCGATTTTTTTGTGTTATTTCCGAGCTGAGAGGCCAAGGCTAACGCATGTTCCATGTTAAAAAACAATTTTTCGATATATTAATATTGATTGACATTAGACATAATATGTATTACTTTAGTGAAAAAACACGAATTTTGTTTACCGTCGTGCCGGTCACCGCCTATTTCATCGAGCGCGTCAACACATGTCGACTCAGTGAAGGTGATCATATGCCAGACATTGTTTTCCACAATTAAATAGGAGATGTTATTTTCATCAATATGTAACTGTTTTATTATTTTTTTAAAAGTTGCACTTTATGGCACACCCTTTATGTATTTTTAATCAAATAATAAATTTGAAGCATTTTTGCTGAACTTTTTCAATTTTATTTTTATCATAAATCGATACTTTATTAGACTGCATTGGAATGCAAATTATCTTAATAAAATATTAAATAAATAATTAAAGTGAAAATGTTCACATCACTATAGACAAATTTACATATATGGTTAATCAATTCCAGCATTATGATTAAGATACTTTAAGGATTTTAAAAAATAGTCTTATTACAATATAGGTATATGCCTACTGAATGGTCGAAAGTTGCGTTTTATTTCAAAAATTCACAACACTCATTCTAATTTGATTGAGAAATTTGTATGTTCTATTTAATACATTTTTATTATTTATCTAATTACAATTAATTTATAATATAAACATTTGATGTGTTGAAAAAATTTTCAAAAAAATATATAATAACATGATATGTTAGTGGTCTATTAGAGAATGCCGTTTTTAATTAATTTTTTTGTTTTTGATAAATTGTTAGTTATATTCACTTTAAAAACAGCTGATTAATTAATCATATAAAATGATGCCGTTGAGTTGTATTTACTATTCTATGTAATTAACAAGTAAATATTATATATATATGTATTTAATGACCGTTTAATAAGACCATATTCACGTTCATAATACATACAACGGCGTTTTGGCTATGCAATTGTGATACATATCTGCGCTTAAACATTTTCGCCGTTCATTTTATACATTATATTTCCTCGAGTTTTTCAGTAAATTAATATTTATAAAAAAATAAATATTAGTGTATGGTCATTTATATATTTTTAATTATTCTTAATATCTGTTGAGTTACATAGTTTCTGGTCTTATAATTCCTTTCAATTTATATGCTCACAATGACTTCGTTAGAGAATGAATATTTTAACAAACTATTTTTATAAAAAAAAAAACATATAAACACATAAAAATCATTGTTGTCTATTCGTCTGTTATTGTTTAAGAATTGTAATAGATTGGCTTTTAATATTTCATATATAATTTTGTATTTTTAACAACTACGGGACTATTAAGTTTCCCTTACAATATACAAAGGTAAGTACATTATATACAATTTCTCAGAAACGAGTAATTGTCAAACATTTATCCTAATTCCTAAAAAAAAACGCTAGTAATTTTTGATCATTTAGTAACTGCAATATTTCATATTATATTTATTGTAAGCAATATTATTGTAGGCACTAGGCAATAGTTATTACTTATTAACTAAAAACCGTAAGTGCTTAACATTTTTTTTCAGCAGTACTCTAATGGCTAATTTTTTATTATAGAGTTAAATCTATTAACGGACTCTCTACAACATAATTCCTTTTTTTTATTTTATGACAGTAAAGATGCTATGTTTTAAGATGATTTAATCTAAAAAGTAAAAACAAATACTTTAACATTATGCAATTTTTGAAGGCTCTGTTTAGCAGTTTAAAATACTCTATTAACTATATTTTATTAGTAAGTTAATATTATAGTAATATTATAATAATAATACAATAAAATTAGTATTATATTAATACTGCAGTATTTGTATACGTAATTAAATATTTTATAAAAAAAACCTTTTTGGTCTTTTTTAAACAACTCCAACTTTCAAAAAAATAAACATTTTTGAAAATGTATTTTTTTTTTAGAGAGTGTATTATTTAGATGTGATATAATAGATGTTATTATATCAATAATGTGTTTGTGGTTCTTACTAACAAGTTTAAATAAAATATTCAACTTGTTATTATTGTTTTTTTAGTATAATTAATAAATAGCAAATTTACAACATAAAATAACAAATAATATATAAAATAATAATAATATATAAAAACATTTGCAAAAAAATATGTATATAATATGTACGAAAGTATATAAAATAATATTAGTTTTTTTCACACAAATTGACAATACGTTTTATTATATTCAGATTCGTTGCCGCAGTCTTCTAGTTCATCACAAATTTTCAAAATGTTTACACATCGGCCATTTCTGAAACGCAAAAAAATGATCATTATATATTTTCCATTATTGTTCATACCAACAATTTTAAACCGATTAATTCGCTTCGAACAACAACCAACGATACAAGTAAATTTGAAATAAATTATATGTCTATGTGTACAGCTGGTGATAAATGCGGGCTAATTCAACAGCAAAATTATTATAGTAACGTTCAAAAATAATGTTTTTTCAGATTTAAAAACAATCTAAATCAGTAGCGCGTTTCTAAAACTCCATAGTACTTAAACGATTCAAATCACCTGCAGTCCCTCACGCAAACTTTGGCCACGTTCATTCATTTCCTCTCAATGACCTACATACGGGTTTTCTTAATGACATCAGCCCACTATTTCATTTCACATCTTATATCAATACCATTGTTATTTTACAAAACCCAATAGAACTGCCAGCGGCATTGTTCTTAATTTTCATCCGAGTTTCTTTGCCCGTCACTATGTCCTTACCCACTAACCATTAGGCACTCCAGTCTCAACACACTTTTATGATCCTAGGTATCCTCCTACCGACTACCGTTTACTCTAACATTGTCTTATCTGTTAAACTATCAATTTTTTATGTTATCACAAGCAAACATAAATCCAAACCGTACAGTACTTTATTCTCTCTTCTATCACACAACATACACTGTACACACGAATTTACAATAAATTGTGTTTCGCTTTTGGTACTTCATACATTTACTACTCAGCAATTACACATTTGCTACTACATTAAGTCGCGTGGTGTACAATTAAATGACTAACTATTGTCAGAGTTGGTAATATCCCTTTATTTGTAAAAATCACGACCCAATTAATTTTTTTGGGTATTCATTAACCCTGCAAACCCTATATTTTTGGGTAAATACCAAACATATTATGCTGGGCCAACTTTTGACTTTTGTACTTGTGATTTTTGTACATAAAGTGTTACTTCTATCGCAATTATGTGTAAGATTTAATTCAACTGTGTAATATGCATATGAAGCTAAACAAAGTTGTGCGCAACTGCCACCTTGAATCTCTTCTTAATTACTTTACTACGTGCCAATCAGTACAAAAACAAAAAAAAAGGTTGAATCTTTCGCGTGTCTACACTAGAGCAAAACAAAACTCGGGCAACCTTTGGCGTTTCTTCGCACTACCTGCAAGTTATCTCGTTATTCCTGCAGGGCCCGTCACATCCTATCGGTTCGTCCGACTTGTCCGTGCAGTCCGGATACGAATCGCAATATTGATGCAAGCTAACACACTCGTTGTTCGTGTTACATGCGAATTTACCCTCTTCGCAATCTAAACGTTAAAATCAATATTATCGACTCGTTACTTTAGATTTGACGAGTGACTAGAGCAACACCAAACGTTGATAAATGTACAAAATGTATAAGAAATCTTTTTTTTAAATTGTCAAACACGCAACGACGTGTTTAAAATTAATTATTGACATATTAAATATTGGACATCCCCCGAAAAAATGTTATTGTCTTATACACATAAATATTACTTGTGCACTAAAATAAGAACACTTACGGGTGCAGTTCATTTCGTCGTGGCCGTTCCAGCAGTCCAATATGCCGTCACACATTTTCGTCTTTGGCAAACACTGAGTGCTGCATTGAAAGTGCGTCTCGGGATTACATTCTACAAACATACATCAATTACATTTATTCCTTACTGTAATTTATTTAACGGGTGTGTTGAATGACGGAAAGGTGTCAATTTGGGCGACAGGCCAGATTGTGTAAAACTGTAGACAGGTTAGAAATCAGAGTGGTGTAAATTGAAGTGAGTTGCGGGCGTTGATTAAAGCAGATCAAAATCGAAAGCAAATAGTAGGTAGCCTAATTATGTTTGTTGAAATGCACGTGTGAAATAGCACTAACAGTAGGAGGGTGTGAAAGTATAGTTTCTGAAACGGAGAAGCTGTGCCGGATAGATCATTCGGTTATGAAGATAAAGAGACAGAATAAGGGTAGACGATTATTTTACAGTAGAATTTCTCAGTAGTAGTTTTTCTATAAATCCAAATAATTTAAGAGGCCCTACAAAATAAAATAAATTAAATGACTTTATATTAACTTCCAAAGGTAGATTGAACAAAAACTAATTTAAAATGATTCTTCCAGATGGTTAAAAGTATTTATCAAGTTGGATACGCCGTTCTCACCCTACGAATTGTCATTTTATAATTTTGTATCGGCTCATGAATTTAAATGTATATAATAATCGTCAACTACACTGATGACCCTTTATACGTAAGGTCTGTCGTTACATGCAATATAATGGTATATAATAATGATAATGAGATAAGTGATAACATATAAAACAATTTACAGATGATATGAGTAACAGTAGTTAAATAATATTAAGCTATCAGATTAAGAAATTTGGTATCAATGTTGGAGATTCTTTGTCGAGTGACCGTGATAGGGGTCGTTTTGGGATTCGGTTGAGTTGGGTTGAATTGAGTTGCATGTAACCAGGCCAGGAGATCGTTAGAAACGACAGTTTGGCCGCCAAATCTATTCAAAAAACCTAACCGGTTGGTTTAGAGTGTCCTTCTCGTTGTTGGGTTTTTAAGGAATCTCCTTCTCGTGGACCGTTGGCTAAGTGCTAGCAGGTGGACTAAACCTGCCGACCGCGATTAATTAAAGTGAGGGCCAGCTCTAGTACCTGAGACCACCAAGCACAGACTCAATTAAGAGCCCGCGAGCCCCCCTCCCCACCACGACAAGGTGAGTTCCACTGATGACCATTGATTTGTCACTACTAGTTTCCCATTACACATACTGAAATGCTTAAGTTTACACGACAGTTTGTTCAGAACAGGTGGACCGATTCTGTTCGAGTAGTTTATTCAAATTATTTTTGTAAATTGTGAATCTAGTTGTTCGTTAATGTTACATCGTTAGGTACCCTTCGCTTCCGATATTTTAAAAACAGTCCCAGATGGAATCTATAATGTAAAGAGTACTCACCACAATCTTTTTCGTCGGACTGATCCAAGCATTCGTAAGTACCGTTGCATCTGGACTTGTCGGGTATGCATATGCGGTTACCGCATTCAAATTCGTTTTTGGAACATGACGACGTATCCACACAACTGTTGGTTTAAATTATATGTTGTTCGATTAGGTTGAAATTAAAAATAAAGATATTATACGATCGCAGCGTGTTACATTATTATAATTTAATGGCCAAGCGACGGACGATAAGGAAAATTACGTGATTTATTTTTTATGTAATACTGAAAATAATTAATTCGTGTAATAAAACAAGACTGAAAAAGAAAGCGACATCCGTAAATTACCGGTGACCGGTCGGTGAGGAAAGAAATAAAAAAATTGATTACAATTTACAAATCAATCGGTCCAGATGAAGGTGCCGACGAATATCTTCGGGAAACCAGTTTCGCTCTAGTGTTATTATTTTACCCATTTTTTTTTTTATATTCAAACTAATGTAATAATAGTAATTAGACGGCTACTGCCGCGATAGAAACGTTTAAATTAGTCCCCGATGGTATGTGGAAAAAAGGAAGATAAAACATATTAATTTATTTTTCGATTATTCGAACAGTTATTAATATTTTTATTATCATTCCGTATAAGATACAAATATTTTTTAATCAACTCTCTTCTTACGTGTATGCGTTCCTGTGTATGTTTTGGCAGTATTGCGTGTTTACTCCGCAATGGCCTCCGCAACCGGTCAGGTCTTTGATGTCTAAGCTCGGCAAACACTGCAGAATTCCTTCATCTCGGTTCGCCAAACATACCTCGTCTTCTTTGCACTCGTCGCAAATCCAATTGTCTTCCACTGAAATTATATGTAATTTACATTGTATTAAACAAATTAAAACCGAGAGAATTATATCAACCCGTTTATTAATATTTAACGGCCATAATAATTATATTCTAAACTATAGTAATACTAAAATATGCGTGTCTATAAATTATTAAAGTCTTATATATTATAACGATGAAGACAACATGACGTATACCGTTCAGAAAGACAAGTATTCACTTACCGTTTTCGGTGACTTTGTTGGTAGGCGCTTGCTCTACAATGGGTTTGTTCGTGGAGGTGGATACTGGCGGCGGCACAGTGAAGTATTCGTCCAGATCCGAGTTTTGTGACAAGTATATCCTGCAAGGCATCAAGTCCAAGTCACTCTTGTTGCCAGGTATGAGTAAACATCGGTCGACACTAGTGGGCTCCCGAGTATCCCGGGTCAGACACTTCCTTGTCCTGGTGGCCACGTAATCACCCGGATCCTCGCATCCGCTCCACTCGGACCATTCGGTCCACACGCCCAATTCTCCGCTCACTGCAATCAATTATAAATAATAAACGCCGTTGCAATGAAGTATAGTTTATGTCATTACCCCTGTGACGATGCTCACCTTGGAATCCGATTGACTGCACGTCGACGCTGTAATTTCCCAGCCAGGTGTGTCCATGCTGAATTCGAAGAGTTTTCAAAAAAGCGATGCCGATCTGACCGATACCGATGGCTGACTCGGGTTCTTGTAAGAATTTTATCTCGCACTGAGCCTGAACGCCTTTAGAATGACCGGGACTCAGGTCGGTTACTTCACAACCGTCGTACCACAGAAATAGTTCACTGTTTCTGAACGTTTCGTCCAGCTATATAAAACGAGCCACGTTAAAGAAATATGTTCTTGAACGATGAAAACCAATATTCCAAACCGAAAGTTACCTGAGCGGTTATGTGGGCGCTTAAAGCCAAAAATTCCGTAGAATTTCTATTCACAAAGCCAATCGTGTACGGAATGTTTGTAATCTGGAACTCTCCTTCTACGACCAATGGGATTTTATCTTTGTGTGGGACTAAAAAAAAATAAACGACAAAATAAAAAAATGTTTAAAAGCCATGTTTAACGTGCGGTTAGGGTTACATGTTCACTATTACTCGGACCCCCAGATTAGTGGTTTGGAATGTTAAAGAGATTTACATGTCTGTACCGTATACCTCAAGATTAGTGGTAACCGTACCTAATAATTGTTGTACGAGGTGCATAACTATAAATTCAAGTTAATCCAAATGACCGAAACGACCAAAAATCATCGGTCGCCTGTATCTAAAAAAAACCCAGACTGCTATAATTCCTTTTTTTGTCGGAGAACATTTTTGAAACAAATAATACAAATTTTTAGTCAGGTTTTTTTACACCAATGACTTTAGTCTAGTAAACCTATAATTAAGGTATTTATTCTGCAAACGAATAACCTGACATAACTCAGCCAGCCGAATGCCGATTCGATGTAAATAATGAACATGCCTGGAGAGATATGTTAACGTTTTCAACTCATCGTGATATCTAGAAAAGGCGCATATCTACCGGATGGCGCATGATGCGCTAATAGACCCGCGCAGAATACGATGACGAATTAAGCAAAAGTAAAAAACCAGCGTTCACACAATCGTCGGTGACGTTTCAAAAACGCTAATCTATTAATAACGAATCGACTGACATGACGGGTACCTAATTCGAAGTTAAACCCTGACTTGGTCGGCCGTATCTTATATTTTTCTTCGTAGATGAACGACCGTGTACCTCCCTGAATGAACAGCTAATAATAACGATTCGTAAAACCCCATATTGTTTTCACGGTCAATTTCGTTCCGTCAATGGTATCATCGGTTGAATTACAGAAATAACAATGAAGAATGAATAGAAAAAAATCAAATTCGGCATTCAGTCTACCATTACACGCGGTACAAACGACGTATTAAAAAGATGTTATCGCAACGTTTCCAGGCGCGTACCGTTCTATGCGTTGTGTACAACACACAATCGAACGATCAATCTACCTGGATATACCAGCACAACTGCAGTGTATACCTCTATACCATGTGTGGTGCTTTATTATTATTATTTTCTTTGTGCGTTTCAGTCAAAATCGAATTATAGTTTATACCGAACACTGTCGCGTACAATATAACTACTACAGGGGGGGGGGGGGGTGCAGATTATGCAACACGAGAGTAGGTATAGGTTACAATAAAAATAATCGTAATCATGAAACATAGTATTATTATCATCTCAATGACGTGGTGTACCTTGTACTCGAGTGATGTACAGCAGTATGCTGGTGGCTAGACATATGAGGGCGGCGAAGAACAGGAAAGTGTACAGGGCGAACATGTTGGTGTGGCACATGGTCCTGGGTGGCGAATTGCACTTATGCAAATGCGGTATGTCCGAAGGCGGTTGCCAGCAGGTACACCTCTTGGCCGGTTCTCGGGCAGCGGCCGGTTGGAATGCGCCCGGCGTGGGCGTAATCACGGTGGTGCCGTAAGCGCGTGGGTCGTAGATGGTGGACACCGCGGTGCCTCCGCTGGCCGCCACGTTGTCTTTACCGGACAATAGCCTTGCGGCCAGGCACTCATTGGCCATGCGCTGCCCTTCCTCAGGGTTGTAAGCTGGGTTTTCCATGACGTCGTATTCCTTGTAGCTTCTCTGTGGACAAAATATTCAAAAATAAAAAAACCTTTTACCGCCGACTTAACAAACATACAGCAATAATAACAACATGCCCAGAGCCCACTACGGATCAATTTCCTTGGATTAGGATAGCTTTACATCACAAAAGGAACGTATCTAAGGTTTTTTATAGACATATTAAGGTCAGTGAGAAACTGTTCTCGGTTGACATTGTGCAGTAGCAACTGTTTACTAACTGAATACCGTTACATTCTATTTAATATTATTATTATTATTTGATTTGGTAGAAGAAAGAAAGGAGTTAAGATTATTTTTAAATGTTTCCTGTATTCAGTCTTAAACTCCCGAGTCCTGGATACGCCACCGGCCACTTCTCATAAATATACTAGTATATTAATATATTAGTAGTACTATAATAAATATACTAGTATATTTAATCTATAGTTTTACGCCATAGCAATTCTTGTCTTCTTTAGATCATTATCAAAATTTGACTTTAAAAATGTAAAAATTTACAAATATTCAACGTAGGCATTACGCTTCTTCAGATAAATAAATGGAAAAAGTTATTCGTAGGATCCAAAGTAAACATGGTAAGACGTTCAAAACAGCGTTCGCTATCAAAATCAAATCATCGGGGATCGATCAGCAAAAATTGAAATTGTTTTGTCAAACTTTTGCCATAACTCAAAGAATAATAACATTAAACGTTTTATAAATAGAAAAAATTAATAATTGTTCACCTAAAAATAAGTCGACAAATATAAAATGGCTAAATATTGCCTATATCCCTTGCCTCTTAATAAATAGCTCTTTCAAATCCCTTTAACCTAGTACTACTTGTTATTTTTACAGTGATATTTTTTTATTTATATTTTTTTTTTTGTGTCTACCCGGAATATTTTTTAAACGGCTAAAATCCCATTTCTTTACGTAGCAAGTATGTAGATCAGAAATTCTACCTTGAGGCTTAAAGGTACTTTATTGAGCAAAAGTTTAAAAGTTCACACCTACTCCCTTAAAATCACAAAGTGCCCAAAAAACTAAATATTTTTAACTACCGGTGCTTTTTTTTTTTTGAGCTGTACACAAATTGATAATCAAATTTGTTTGCTTTGGTTCTCTGACAATTAGTAAATTTTTTTTTAAAAAAAAAAGGTTGCCCGAAGTTTGTAACTTTAAAATAAATTGTCTTTTACCGCAACCTCCCATAACCTTTCGACGAATGAATTGATTACTTTGCGTCAACGTGAGCGAGGGAGTTAAATAACATTTCCATCGCTAGGAGCTATCGAACCAACTCGAAAAATGTCATTCTCAAATACATCCCGGTTGTTCTGTTTCCCATGGAGTGACGGTTGTATACTTTATCCCATGTAAGAAAGATGGTGCGCAGAAACCAAAAGGCATTACTTTCATATGCGCTTCTTGGGCAGCCAGGAGTACCGCGTTTTGGATTTTGCGCTCTACCTTTATTATATGGGATAGAGTATTCAGTATTCAGGTTACACGGCGCCAGCTCGGTGACTTTTTTTTTTAACAGGTAAACCTATTCATTGAACGGAATACAACACACGCGTGATGCACCGCACCGGTATTGGACGCCGGAGGCAATGAGTATTATTGTTATTTATTTTTAATTTTTTTATTTTTCCACCGGACACGTCGCATAATATATTTATTAATATGTTTTCGTTTTGTCCGGTGATCGATATGAATGAAACATCAAACGACGCCATTGTAGAGTTTATTATCATTATTATTATTTTCAATGGATCATTAAATCGTGCTTTGCTCAAGCCGTGTATATAGATAGAAAAAATAAAACATGTGTTGTCGACCGGTGTGCGCCGGCATATATAATAATAATAATAACGATAGTAAATATGGAATTTTTCACGTGGGTGTGTGAGAGACTGTTCCAACGAAAACATTAGATACGTATTTAATACAGGTACGGGTATATTATACACCTAAGTAAGAATGAGCCCACACGTCGCAGGTACGCATTATAATAATATAAACGTTGTCTATGCGGCCAATGGTACACGGGGATTTGCATAAATAACACATTTAACGGAGTCAATATATTATACACACAGTCACACACACACAATAAACAGAGTGATATTGTATGTTTTACGTTTAATAGTTTTTTTTTCTCCTCGGCTGTAGTTAAAATTATGTATTTAAGATATTATATCCATTCGTTAAGTGCACCGGTACAGGGAACACGTTTTAACTTGGGAAACTAAAAAATTACCCTCGACGTACCATTAAGTATGAACACGAGAATAATATGAGAAAAAAATCTACTTCATTAGTCGTTCGCATATATTCTGTCGAGTGTCGACCGACGATGGTATATAATATATTTAATAAACGTGTATTAACTTTATCGAACCTGCCAAGTGCCAACATAGCACGATGACACTGTATCAATATGCGACGTGTCCCGCCTTGTTTATGGAAAACCACTTGAAATATTCTGAACCGAAAAATACATTTCCCTAACTCACAAGACATATTATACAACATTAGAAGGTATAATAGTACATAATAGTGAGGAGAGAGGCCTAAATAACATAACATTAATTTAATTATAAAATGATAAAACAGAATTAATACACTGATCAATAAGTGCTGTAGGTAGGAAAATGCGGTATAAATTAGGATCTGCCAATTTTATAAATAATGTCAATCGAGTATTATATTATTAAAAAGCTCAAATCCCATACATGTTAGGTTGTCTTATGAGAAAGCAGACTGTCCAGTGTCGATGCCTTGCACGGTAATTCAATTACTAATATTGTTAACTAAATAATTAGATTGTATAAACTGAAGGTTGGCGACGGCTCATAATGACTTCAAAAGGAAATGTGGACTTTATCTCGACAACAATAACGCGTATATATTATAACGCACGTGTAGAAAGTATTGTACAGTTTAACCGTTACCGTCGATCGAGTGTATGTGTGCTAAAGTATTTTGTATTATACTATGCTAAGTAATCATCACTTTCATTGTGTGTCCGTTAAGTAGAAAGACGTGTAAAATACGGTGTGAACGGGCACATACAATGGGTGTACATTTTCACATGTTATTCGGGTAACTTTTTAAATATTATTATAAGGCGCTATCGTCTGTATGTGTGTGTAAAGTGGAAACCAACCGGGCCGTTATGTAACACATAAGCCATTGGATCCTCGTCATCAAAAGTCTTAACATGATATATTATTAGCGTTATGATTATAATTTAGAAATCTATACCTATATAGATTATATTATTATACGGAATAACTTCCTGCACGAGTGACCTACCACCCCTACCGCGTCTTCGAGTAATCACAGGAAAACTAATTAACCACCCAGTAATTACACGGGCAAACGCGCATACTCGTTATGATTATTTGAAAATATACAGCGGAGATGGACGTAATCGAAACTAAGTGCGTATAGTAGTCGTAGTGTACTTATTATTATTAAAAAAATATTCGAGTACCGTGTAATTTGTAAACAATAATAATAAACTAATTGATTTTCTATTATTACTGCTACAACTGTTGTTGCTACCCGTGTACTAGTCACGACGGGATCAAACACAACACAGTCGACAAAACAAATACACAAGTCATCACATCATAATAATAATGGTAATAAGAAGCCTTCGCGTTTTTGATTTCCTCTGTTAAAAAAAAATAATAATTTTTATATTGATCGATCAAAGTGTAGTATACACATCGAATAGATAAAAAAACGAGCACCTCTCCACAACTCTCTCCATAACTCAAATCGGACCCGATGCTTATTGCTAATAGCTGCAGTAGTCGTAAATGGCTAAAGTACTTGAAAATTTGACGGTAAGGGCTGCTGCTTGACAACGTGACAAGTCATTTTCTTGAACCATCACTAAGATGCCCTTCGGATTTCAAAGAAAATTAGATACAATTATGTTTTTATTACCTGCTACAAAACATTTTTTCTATGAAATAAAAAACAAATTGGACCAAACAATAATAATAAATAGCAGTCGGTACAACCTCTTACTATTTTTAAGATTTTAAGACTTAGAAAAAAATTATTAAATAAAAATCGAGCCACGTAGGAAGCTGTGGCTTTAAAAATACATTTTTATTTTTTCTATTAAAATAAAATGTCAAGAACCGTAAATAATATTTAAAGCAAATAGGTCTTAGACGCTCAGGTAGGCCATACCACTGTTATTCTCTTGGTATATGCAGTAGGTACCCACCTATTTTCACAAGTATTCATCGTTGGACCCAATAGTCCATGCACAATATAAATAATACAATTTTAAGATGCCGACAACGTATTACGATAACGCTGTACACTTCCTATCTTTTGTACTAACTACAAAATGTTTATGAAAATAATGTTTTTTAATAAATCACTCACAGATATCATTGAATTAAACTGCCGTTTTCCATCAAATTAGGACTCATTTTCTCAGCCATGTGACTGATGAACAGACCAATATATGAATTTCGATTATGGTAATGTAACAGAACGTTTATTTTTGAGTAAGTATCTACCTATTTTCAGTTGATAAATTAATTAAGTCTTATATTTATAAGATGGATTTTTAAGTCTTTTTCTTATAAAAATAAAAATTTCCTTGCCAAATAATGTCAGCACGGATTCCTTTTATGTATTATCACGATGTAGAATGCATACTAAATGACACATAATACCAATAAATATTCATGTGATGCCAATGTCAAACGTGTCACGTCCCCCAGGGCTCTGCGCAGTGCACAAGTTACAACCGTGCTGTTGTTTCGATCAAAAGACAGAAAATCAATTATCGCTTTAATATTTAACATGCGATTCCGTTCCACCTGCAGGCTATTATCTACACAACACATGGTTCATGCGTGCGCCGCGCCATGAGAATAGCACACGGTAATGTTTTTAGTTTTGTTTTATATTTATATATAATAACAATAATGCATTTTTTTTCTACAATTACCCAGGTATTAACCGTCGAGACCATCGACGGCTCGAAATAAAGTTTGTCGAATTACAGACTGACGAGTTGGTAACTGTACTTGACAATCCAGCGTTTCCGTTTGCCCGGAAAATTACACAGGCATAGGTCATTACACGTTGTATTTAATTATATTCTCACAAATTACGAGCAAATCGTTAGTGTACTACATTAGGTTGCTGTTTGAATACCCCTTTTTTTGTTATAATGGATGACCAACGACGATTTAGAAGAATTTCAAACAAAACGGGGTTTATTGTCCCGACAAGGTCACAGCATAATTTCGAAATTAAGATGCGATGACGTCAGACGCTAATGAACATATTTGGTGGGGGGGGGAGGGCACTACCCCCCTACCAAGTGGTTGCGAGTAACCACTAGCAACAAAAATGATAACACAACGTAATTTTGCATTGAAAATAATCCCATGAGTGTATTAAAAAAGACCCAAATTTACTAGAGTAAAACTCCAAGATAATAAAACCGATAATTAGTTTTGAGTTTTTGCGATGTCCCACTAAACTACTAAAATCTAGTCTTGCTAAACGACAGTGTTTCTACGGTTAAGTTAATCACTAGTTTAAAAAAGAATAAACCACTTACGGCTGGAGTTTGGAATTGGGGTCCATTATAATATATTTCAATAATTTCTAAAATAACCAAGTACTAACGTGTTAATCTATGAAAAAATTACCGACTTACGGTCTATCAGACCACGCATACTTGATTGAAATGTACGAATTATGATCTAACAAATATTAAATACTTTTTATTTAATATAAAGTAAAAAAAGTAAATTGAAAACAAATATTTGATGCGGTCTGACAAGTTAAGGGTTTACACTATTTTAACGAGGTGAAGACCATTACAACAATTATACAGTGAAAACCAAAATAAATGAATGATGATCACTTAAAAATTGTATGCTGCTGTATACCAGTGTGGGTTTTCCATCCAACTTAATAATTCAATTGGATTAATAGGAAACGTTGTTTGAAAGTTATAACAGATGATCTATATAAGAATGAGTATTGAAAGTCATTAATTTATGGTACACCAAGTGTGAGCTATTATTTTTAATTGTGTAAAACTGACAAAGATAAAATAAATTATAAGTTAAGATTTTATAATAACTGCTAAGCCGAATACTTTTTTAGTACTTATATTGTTAGTATTGTGTTAAACTATGACTTTTCAAATAACACCATTAGGTTTAAACGTATAAAATAAAGTACTATTGCCTTTAACTTTAAGAGTATCTATTACCTTAACTTTCTACTCGGTAAGTGTAATAGTCTTGACAAAATCACATTGGAGAATATAAACTCCAACCCCCCCCCCCCCAAAAAAAACTTTGAGTTTCCAAAAATGTAGCAACCACGCTAGGCATTTCTCCATTTTTTACTATTATTCTATGACCGGGAGGTCAAGTATGGAGGGATCAATTGGGCTAAGTAACGCTAATGCAAAATCAATGAGGACCTGGTGGTAACCGGACAAACTTACCTAGGCGAACATTAGGTAAGATGAGGACTTCCGGTATGTCGGGACTGGATTCCTCCAAAGTCAGCGATAGTTATTTAAATATAATATCTATGGAATATTTTACGGGGGTAAGTTGCATGATTCAGTGATAACCAATTGATATGACACAATATCAGTGTTTTTTAATTTTAGCTCGAAAATTAACGTCTAGACTCTAGGGCATAACGAGACTGTTCCATTTTGTCCCTTTTACATTTTAATTATTAAAATATTTTTTAACGTAGTTTATAAATAATAATTAAATTAACTGTATGTTAAATGAATTAGGTATATTAGGCAAGTTATGAACTTTGTAGGTGTCTTGTCTGACCTCAGGTTCTCCTATGTGCATTGTTTAATAAATAACACTGAATATGACTTTTGATCGATGAGCGTGACCTTTAGGTTTAAAAAAACCAACAACAATGATTTATTATTTTTGTGAGAAAATAAATTACATTTGTCGTTTACATTTTCCCCGGTTAACCCTTTTGCGGTAAAATTATATTCGAGCTCATTACAATCGGCGACCGAGGTCGATCGACGAGAGGTCTAAGGACTTTGTACACAGCATACCAAAGTTGTACTTAAGTATATTATGTAAATATCCGTGTTTTATCGGGCATACGTGGTCGTTATCGGTCCAAAGCAAATGCACTCTGGTGCCCACCGACCGTGCTAGTTAACGTTAATTAATTACCGAGCAAGTAATAATCGGTCACGCTTTCCACGGATTTTGCTTGCGATGTGTGCCTTATACATATTATATTTTCATCAGCGCCAATCAGATTATAAGTACAAAACGTACAACTTACAAGTTCTAAGCACTAACACACATATGTAGGTACAGAGTAGGTTGATAATTAAAATACAATAATCATCTTCTTACTTTTTTCAGGTCTTCGAAAGTCGCTAAATATCTTAAAACGGCATACGTCTTTCGGATGTTTCTCTCATCATTTGATAAATACAAACATATGTATATTATTTTAAATTTAAAAAACAATACAACCGACTACGTTCATCAAACACCACACGATCGATATGAAACTCGCGTATACAACTGGAAGTCACTGTTTGAATATTATATTATTGCGACGGACGAACGGTACCTATTATTTTATTATTTAAAATCACCCGACAGTGGAATGCAAAACGCCGGTATGTGTGCGTGCGAGACACGGTGCGGACTGCGGCGGGATGTTGTGGGTCGTGAGCGAAATTAACAACTGAACCATTGACTAGCGGCTGGTTACCAAACGGGCACCGGATGGAACTGCTGCAGCTCTTGCCCCTCCGTAGAATAGACGTATTAACGCGTTCCTAAATGCAACAAAACACCTGTGTGTAAAAACCTATATATATATATATATATAAGACGACGTCAACGACAAGCGGTACGCACACACCACCTGGCAACCCCACCGCTTACAGCATAGCCCATTGATGACGACAATACCTTTTATTATTACCTTTTTTCATTACTTCTTCTCCTCCTCGAGGCAACGTTCACCGACAGGTCGAGACGCGCGTCTAAGAATCACATCTAAGAAAACCGCGGTCCGCCACAACAGGCCGTGAAGTCTAATGAAAGTTTGAATTCTAACGTGCCAAAATTCGAATTCGAATACTTCTTCTCTCCGAGTGATTTACGGTTTGGTAACTCACGAAGGTTCTAAAGCGACCCAACTTACATAAATGAGACAGCAACTCGACAACGAAATAAGTATATTGTCTTGTAACTTTGGGCAGCCATTTATTGAGATTATGATGTGCGGAAGACAGAGCTAACGATTAAACTAATTGATAAGACATAACCCGGTTAATATTTAATTCACATGGGCATACATTTGTTGGCAGTCCGTTTATGCTTCCAATACAGTCGACACAGGTTTATCAAACCTATTAATTGTGTCGTTCCAGACTATGTAGCCGATCCAGATTCCAGTGTTTGTGTGCACAAATCTCAATTGTTATCGTTTGACTTGATCGCCTTGAGCAAGAGAGTAAAAACATTAAAACGCGATTGTCAATCAATCACAGCCAGACGACTTGGAATTTCAAATGGCGACTACTCCGATAAAATGCGACTGTACAAAACTGTTGCAAATTTAATCCTGTTGCAATACTACTACTCTTTTGTTTCAAAGAAAATATTTTAAATTATTTCGGACTCCGCGTTGCTAAGCTGAATTTTTAGAATAAACGACAATAGAATGTATAACTATTACTTGATTACTATTTAGTTTGTGATATTCACTGCTTAACTCTCTGTACAGTCGGATAAATTTATTTTTATAATTTTTCAAATGAAAATTTAAAATTAATTTGAAAAATAAATTATTCGGCATTTTTAGTTTCGGTACGGACCTAAGAAGGTATTGCTTAAAGATGGTGTGTTTTTTATTTTTGTGTCTGGACCGCTGAATCGATTTTTTCATGTAATAAGTCTACAGATCAAAAGTCATACCTGGAAGATACTTTATTAACTTAATAATAAAAGAAATTCACCCCCCCCCCTCCTTCAGAGTTTAAAAAAAAAACTTTATTTTCATTTTTATTGCTTGTTGTGATTTTGCCTACTGGTAAATAATTACTATTTAAATAAAACCAGAAATGAGGCATCTAGTTTCAAAAACAGCTAAGATATTTTGTAAACGCCTTTTTTTTATTATTGAATACCAAATATAGATTACAACTAACTCAAACTGTGTTGGGAAAATCTTAGTTGGTTTTAAAATCGCCCGTCTGAAGAAATGATTTGTTCATCTAGAAAAAAGTTTAAGCAGCTTATGGTTATATATTTAGTAAATAAATTAATATTTAAAACTAATACACTAGCGCGTATACGTATTTCGGTAGTAATGTTGTCATCTGCAGTGCTAACGACAGACTGATCATAGAGTGTATTATTTTTTTAGTTAAGGGATTAATTATTAATTTCTTTACTAACCTTTTTGTCGTTTGTGAAAATTTTCAAAAATTGCTTATAGCTGGTTTTGAAACTAGATGCCTCAAATAAAAAGACCTAACCTAATCACAGTTGTAAAAACATTGGTTTAGAATACAATCATGGGCGCCTGTTTTAGTTTGCTTACTACCCATCGCAATTAGTAGTTCGTACCGTCACGTCGCACATATGTCGAATTATTTTATTTTATATTTACCTTAACCATGTTAGATTATTATGTAAAAGTTCATGACTGTAGTTTTTTTTCACATGTCAACGCGCGCTACTACTATTAAATTCAACTAGTTTTGTTTTAGTTAAAATACAATTTAAAATTGAGCCTTTTTTTAAAGATGAATTCTATACAAGATGGTAAGAAGATTTTATTTATGTTTACACATCTAAATTTTTACAAATAGTTATAGATATATATGGAATATTGATAAAGGAAATTAATTATTATATTTTGAATCTCAAATTTGTTTTTGAAGCAAAACTCTTATCGACTCTTAAAATAAAATTACATATATTTTATAGAAAATTTTCCAAGGAATAAAATAAGTTATATTTCATTCACTACTTTTGGCGTTTTAAATAGAAATCGTAAGATTTAAACTAAAAGAACAATTAAAAATTAAACAAAATTTCGTTTTACTTTTTAGAAACAACTCGTTTATTTTTGTATCGAAAATTCTTGAAAAATTCAAATTATTCAATAGTATTATTTAACATCAAAGAACATTTTATCTAGAAGTTTAATATAACTTCTGACCCCATAATTACAAACATTGGTTTAGACTATAAAAATGTGAAAATGATTAGCCGGAAGAAGTAGAGTCAATGTTTTTAAACAATTAACGAAGACAATTCTGAGTAATATGTTATAACTTATAAGTAGTATATTCGTCACTGTTATATACAAAAAAATTTCAATAAACCCTTAACCAAAAAAATAATATTCTATAGCTGAACCTCAATCTGTTATATAAACTAATGATGGTAACATTGCTACCGTAATATGTATATAATGTAAATGCTATTAAGGATTTATATAAATATTTTATAATATATAACCACAAGTGCTGCTTAAGTTTTCTCTATATCGATATGTTATATGTTACATTAACATTGAATTTTTAGTATACAAATATCATAATGCAAGTAATTAAACTAATACCGTTGTTAAAAAATGAATTGTATCTTAAAAATGTTTTCGTTGAATAAGAAAATTCCGTAAAGTAGAATGCGCGTGAAACCCCTCTATCCGCCGTTCCTATGTGCGTCGTCCGGTCTGAAAACACAATAATTAGTAAACAATAATTAATCGTAATTAGTCGTACAGGGGAAATATGAAGTAGCGAAGAAGCCGCAAAGACTAAGGCTGTCAGAGCCCAGAGGACCGAGCGGACGTACGGTGCGAACGGTGCCACACCGTCAGTCAGTCAGTCATAACACGCTACCCGATTTCCTGTGGTGTCCACCGGATGTTCTTTTGTGTCCCGTACCGACAACAGCGGCAAGCAGCAGCGGCAGCAGCAGCAGCCTCCCCCACCGCAGCCGCAGACGCGATTCATACAATATACGTGCGCGCCTTAATGTGTATAGTAATAATATGACTCGATGACTGCGGTGGTGGGCCTATCCGATTTCATCGGTGCGGAGAATCCGAAACTGATCATTAGGGTCCGCCGGATCGTGACCCGCCGTCCACCCCCCGTCCCGCGTACCACGTCGTCAATGGATCGCTAAACACACGCGGCCGCATCAGAAACAACGTTTTAAGCTGATTAGAAGAAAAAAAACCCGGGATGACGACGAGACGTGTCCGGGACAATGGTAGCGTCAAACGGGCGTTGGGACATTTTTTTTCTATATCATCAACAAACATACAAACCGTTTTCTATCGTTATTTATTTGTTTTCTTACGCGGCCCGCGCATTAATTTACGATATTAATATTGTGATAAAAAATATTCAAAACCGTTTGACGTACAGCCGCGCTATACATACATTGTATAGTGTATACTGTATACTCTTGTTCATTGTTGTTTCCATGAATGAGGCGATCGACAACGACAAAACGCATATTATTATCATTTATAATAACCCGTAGTTTTCACCGGCAACCTAATATTAACATCGTGTGTGCCTTTTAATCAGACCACCGGTGTCAGAAACACGAAGGGAAATTTAGCGCAAACGTGTGCGCACAATAAGGCCTATATTATAAGAACACAGAATAATGTCCGTGCGGTATAACTTCATAGCCCGCGCTGTACTTAAATATTACATGGATCAAATATTTCTACTCTATTGTACACAGGACGCGTCGAGTTTAAAGTTCTTAATAAGTAGGTAAAAACGGATGTACGTTATTATGGTTGTCGCCTCACATCTGAGTCCGCCTCGCGGGTAGAGCGTACAAAAAAAAAACATTTTCATATTAATCTATGGACGGAAGAGAGAGGACACCATTTTGATAAGCAATATTGAGATCACACAAAAATAAAAAGACATTTATCATCGAATAATAAAATGAGTCAATAGCATACCCAGTATTTCGAAATTGTGGGTAACCTCTAACGTACTCTACAGGCAACAAGTTACAATTTACAAGATGTTTATTATGAGTGTATCCAGAAATTCTTTAAATATTAAAACTAACGAAGCCTATATAGTATATACTGCTCTAATAAGATTATAACAAATTATTTATATTAGTAATTATTGAAGTCTCAAGTTTTTAATGAGGTGGCGTCCCAATTGTTAGTTGTTTTATCACCAAAACTACCACTGGACTCTAAATACAACGAACTTAATTAAGATGTCGGATGTCTTGTTTAACACTATAAATAATTCACTTTATTTTTAATTTCAGCCTGCGATAAGTCACGCTATATTTTGAATATTATAAATAACGAATTTGTTTGTATCACGCGCACGTGTAACATGAACGAAGACTTGTTCGCGCCATAGCATAATGTCACTTCCTCTTACACTATTATATCCCAAACCCCAGGAAAACGCTGACTTAAACATTTAATCAAGGCATTCGCCTGCTTTGGCGGCATATTTACATTTATTTACTACGGGTTAAAATTAATTTAAAAGAACACCCTCTCATTGGATGTTTTAAGTGGTGACCCGAGACTTTCTTTGGATAATCCTAGATGGCTGTTTATTGTTGACCATTGATGACTGACCATTTATTGTTATTTGATTTACAGACATCAAACTATACACAGCGCTGACCGCCTGTCATGGATTAATACTATTAAATTTAATGCATAAGCTGTTCCGGGACTATAAATGTAAAGGAAACCGCC